TAGACAGTAGGATACGCAAGCCGTGTCGTCTGAGTGATGATCTGCATCGTCCTGACTGGTGGTGGTGATGATGATGCTGATGTCGTTCCATGTCGGCCTCCCATGAAGTGGTCAGTCCTCCTCCAGCCTCATACACAACATCATAGACCTTGTCGTCGTCCAGTCAGCCAGCTACAGACATGACGTTTTCGGTGATTATCCGTTACACATTGGGCTGCTCAGATCCGGCTGTGTCTTTTTCCCCTTCAGCCGGAAGGATGAGCATGCTGGCAGTCTACCAGACGGCCTGTGCTTTTTTCTCCAACTTTTCTTCTCTCTAACTGACTTTTTTGGTTTAACTTTTGTTGTTGTTGCTGCGCCCCTGGTTACGACTCCTGGCGGGGTGGGTGTAGTCAGTCGGACCGTCTTTTTGATTAGACAGACGCGATCGGGTGTCGGTCATCTCCACGAGGATGATGGTCCCCCTTCTCCCAACACAGTTCAAGCGTGACAGGCCTGTGGGGATACCACCTGTGGGGACGGGGGAGGGTTGTGACAGCACCCAAAATTACATCCATCCACGTGCTGGTTGGGAGAGTTTTGAACGAGACAAGGCTGAGGACGGAGGGCGGGGCCTCCTCAAGCCCCTCAAGTCTACGGGAGCAGGACGAGGATGCCGTACAGATCTTGACGGGAGACGGCCTTTATTCGTGTCCACCTGATCGGGAAATCGATCAAGGATAATAGATGAAATTCGAGAGAAAAATATAAAACCGATTTATTAAAAGGAAAAGAAGAGAAAAACACTACTCATTTGCCCTCATTTATTTATTCTTGTTTCCCCCCCCCCCTTTTTTTTTTTCTGCTGGTCCGGTCCGGAGGTCCAAAGGTACACATCCGTCAGTGCTCCAGCGGTGCCATATTTTTGAGTTTGCGAACGGTGAGGCTCCGTTTGTGCTCCACGCCAGATCGAGATGCAAGACTTCATTCGCATGGTCAAGAAGACGGGACTATGACTGATATCTTCTCGGCTTCCCTAGTACGGACATCTAGACCTCCCATCGCAGGACACAAGCGAGTTTCTCTGAATTGCCCAAAGGTGCCACAGGATGTCACGAGTCCCAATTGATGAGGTGATGATTTAGTGCAATCAGCAGTGACATAACGCCTCGTGATCTCCCCTTTTGCGATTATGATTTCTTTCGTTGGTCAAAATAGATCCACTCTCCTCTCCTCTTATTCCTCCTTTTCTCGGCAGGTAAATCAGGCTATCAGGCATTGAATACATACCATACTAGTCGGATCACTGAGTGCCGGGTTCAAGGAACAGAAATGACGTCTTTATGCTGCCACTATTGGACCGGGCTGCAGCTGTCACAAATCGGGACCTGCATATGCAGCAGAGTGACATCTTCAGCGTATGCGGTCAGCCGAGGGTTCGCCTATAGCAAGACTGAGCCCTTGCATATGCTCTTCTGCGTTCCAGTCCCTGCATGCCACACTCGATCGTACTGAGAGCATTCGTTACAAAGCAAGGCTACAGGAGAAAGGGGGGGGGGCACCAGGCCAATGTGAGCGTGCAAGTTTGTTGTTAAGTGGCGTTCGTTTGTGCCTAAGTGGCGTCGTTTGACTAGCACAAACGAACGCCACCGTAATGGAAAGGCCCCATACTTCGGCCCTGCAACAATTAGCTACCGAGGCTGGGTAGAATAAATATAAAGATCATGGAGTAAATGAGTCCTTCCCCAGTCCGCCATGTTGCTTCTAGTGCATCAACACAGAAGCCACAACGGGGCAGGCGGGCTCAGGTGGCTGACTGGATAGATGAGAGGAACGAAAGTTGAGGAGATCACACGAAGCCGAGTAAGAGTACAACTCTCAGGGTATGATTTTCACACTTCGCCACCCAGGCAGTACATACTCGCCAAGTGAACTTATTATTACTTTCCCTATATTTACGCATTTTTTTTTTAAAGATATATTTATTACAGACAGGTCTGGCTCACTTTCTGGTATCTATTCACTAAATTGGCATTTATTTATCAAAAAGAGTCTGATTTCAGCCTGGATTCTGTATGGTATAGCATGTACAGCCTAGGTGGCGAAGTGTGAAAATTATACCCTGAGAGTTGTACGATTGATATGAACGAGGTCGCACTTTCACATGTGCCCGCATCGGGAAGGGAAACCGGTGGGTGGCTTGGTGCTACGTTTTTGGGCAAGAAATAACACGCTGAGGAATAATAATGATTATGACCGTGCTTGAATTATTCTATTTCTTTTTCTTTCTTTCTTTTTTTTCTTTTTTTCCCCCCTGAGGGAGAGAGACAGACCGAAACGGAACCATCTTTAGCATTCATATCCTCCAGGAAAACGGAACCATCTTTAGCATTCATATCCTCCAGGAAAACGGAACCACAGTCGCCGTCAGCAAAAAAAGGATGTGAATCTAATGTACCGTGATAATGTGAAGCCTCCAAGGACGATCATCACATTGGCTCCCCCTTTTCTTCCCGTGTGAATGACGAGTAACGTACATATCCAACCAAAGATCGATGCTTGGGACACGTCGCACACGCGCTTCAGCTCGAAACGGTGACGTCCTATCCTGTCGCGAGCATGCAGGTGTCATCACAACCCTTAACAGAACAGGTGTTGTATGCAAGATAAGGCGTGCGGAGGGTGCATCCACAATCAGTAGACACCACCACCACCACCTAAGCCCCCCACCCCCGGTTACGCAAATTAGAGCCGCGCTGTAGGCGCCAGCGCATCCCTTCCCCGGGGGTTCTGCTAGCGCTGTAGGCCCAGCGCCATGCAAGCACATACTGCACTTAGCACATGCACGGCGCTTGTTGGGGATTATTGATGCAACCCAACCACCCCTCCCCTCATTTGGTTCTTTGGTTGTCCTCTCTGCTTCTACTTGGTGTGTATAGATATAGCAACTTTGTGAATGTGATGAATTCATTGTCCTAATTTTTTCTATTCTGTGTGATGTCATTACGATGGTTTAGACGCGCCCCGGATAATGACCATTGTCCTTCAGTCCCCCCGGGCCCCCCCAAAAAAAACCCATGTCAGCTTGTGTGCCTCATCACCATGCACCTCTCCGACTGCACGGAGAATTGCTGGGCAGACGTATGGTGCCCATCTGTCAGAAGACTGCACACGTTTCAGATTATAATTTGTTTTGCATCGTCATCAGGATTTGCTTGGTATGTCTACTGTATGATTTGTTGTATAGTCTAGGTTATGAGTATGGTAAATGATAATCAAGCCCACAGAATATCCTTATGCCGGTAATTCTCAGCCCCAACTAGAGCTATCCAAGGGACTGTTCCTCTACATTAGAAGCCGTGATCACACAAAGGATTGTAACTTCCAAGTTAACCACACGATTTTTTCTCCTTGTTTGATGGCACTTGTTAGTAATTTCACTCACCACATAAAATCGAGTAAACAGATTACCTAGGCAGGCAACCATGTGCTCAGAACCGGTGATCAAAAAGGTTGAAGAAAAAAAATCTGAAAAAAAATCTTGAGTAGCTGTATTGCCATCAACTAATACCCATGTCTGTCATGGAGGTTATGCATATTCAATCTCAATTGGCTATAAAATGTTGCATCCTTTTGCTGGGAGAAAATATTGGAAATATCAATTAACCGTGCTACAATTCAAGTTTGTATCACAGGCAGTATTTCCGCAGAGGAGCCTCATTTCTGATAGGGGTCGGGGGTCCAGGTCATCAGCTCCCTCATTGCAAATTTGATATTCAGCTGCCTCATTCCCAAGACTGTTTTCAGCAATTGGTCTACATCATATATGAGAGCGTCTCTCATATATTCATGAACATCAAGATTATTACACTTATGCCATGCTTACCCCAGTCCAGTGGGCAACCTAATGAAAGGAGGCTTAGTGTGGCAGTGGTGTTAGTGCAAGCCTGCCAGGCCCACACGCTCTTTGTGTGGGGTAAATCCAGTTACGCTGCACTCTTGTCTTCAACCCTTATGAATAACGACATCTATTTCTCAATCTATGCATAGGTTTGGATAAGCAAAGCTTCTCACAGGATATATGAAACTATGGACTCTGTTTATGAAAGTAATAAAAGGCACTGAGAGTCTGTCATGATGTATTTTGATGAAAATCTGCCCGTCAACTCATTCTAGTCAAGATGGGTTGCCATTGCCTGTCCCGCATAGCACGCTGCTTACAGACCCTTGTGCCGACTTCGTTCATTGGTTCATTACTCGACGGGCGAGGCTGAGCAGTGGTGCACAGATTGAGCTCCAAAAAAATTAGATCGACATTGTCAAGCATCCTGGTGGATTATCCCACTTGGTGCTGCCTCAGTCTAGTCAATGGAATTATTTGTATCCATTGCCTACTTCCTGGCTGAGCCCTGTCAGCTCTTTGTGCAGGCCAGCGTTGGAAATAGTCCCACCGGAGGGATTACTGGCCTCGGTCTCAGAATCTGTTCAAGCGGTGTTAATACGTGATCATTCCTTCCAGGACAGGGACCAGTGAGGCAGATATTTTGTAGAAAACAATGGTCAGATAACCAATGGTAGAGGCACTCAGCACCAATCCAGAATGTTGTCAGTAAATTTGGCCCATATTTTGTTGGTATAGTTCGGAGCAGTGGGACTTGTAGGCAGCTACCTCCTTTCTTTGACCGCATTCCCGGACCATATAGAAATAATTACATCCATTTGATAAGTAGCATAAATATATGAGGGTCATTCCTGCTCCCTCACTGCCGTGACAATGCTTTTGAGAACTCAGAAGATCTTCATGAAACGATCCATCTCACGGCACTAATACTGGAACGGACCAAACAGTCACGATGGTAGGAAAACCCCTTCTCTTCCCTCAAGTCTGGAAATAGCGCGGGTGGTTTGAACCGATCCTAATTGATAATGAACCTAGGTACTCGTACCCATCTTCAAGTCCGCTTTAGATTGCGAAGGGATTCCAACGAATTCGCAACCTGGGACCAAGTACGAGTTGAACAATGCCGTCGTCAAAATCCACCCCTTACGTGAGAGCAGGGGAGTAATTGTCAGAGTTGAGCCACCTAGGGTTCCGCGCAATGAGAAGCTCTCGCACGTTCCTTGCGACATTGCCATGGTGATCGACGTATCTGGCAGCATGAGCGCCGATGCACCAATTCCTGGAGAGACCGACGAGCTCACGGGATTCAGTGTCCTCGACCTGGTTAAGCATGCCTGTCGAACTATCAGTGAGTAACCAGCCTTTCACTCCTCAACTCTCCAAAAATTGTTATTTCAGGGCAATGGAAACGGATTCTCTCTGACTTCCATCGCGGAGCGATACCATGGCGGCTTTTGATGAGCAACTTACTGACTCTACGTAACCAAAAGTATCTACCTTGGACGAGAGAGATCGGTTGGCAATTGTCACGTTCTCAAGATCGGCCAGAGTTCTTTGCCCGTTGACTGCCATGACTCCTGTCAACAAGAAGGAAGCAGAAGCCAAGGTCGACTCAATGATGATTGAGACTTGCACAAACTTGTGGCAGGGACTGAAAGATGGCATCAAGCTGTTTGAAAACGAGGAAAACAATGGTCGCGTCCCGGCTGTCTTGGTTCTCACAGACGGCATGCCCAATTACATGTGTCCAGGTCCGGGATACGTGCCCGCCTTGCGAGCAATGGGCAACATTGTGCCCTCCATCCACACATTCGGCTTTGGCTACCAGTTGAGGTCCGGCCTGCTGAAGTCGATCGCTGAGCTTGGGCGAGGTAGCTACTCGTTCATCCCTGACGCTGGCATGATTGGAACCGTCTTCGTTCACGCCGTCGCCAACTTGCAGTCCACATTCGCCATCAACGCCAAGATATCTCTAGAGTACCCGACTCATATCCTTCTCGAGCCAACAGCTGGGCCGTCGGTCGGCCAACAAACAACGGCTCATCTGCATTCCCCTTCTTCTTACATGCTTACAATTTCTCTGGGGAGTCTACATTATGGACAATCTCGCGATATTTACTTGTGCTGGGACCGGCTTCCTCAAAGGGACTCCCCAGGGGGCGTTCCTAACCTATCTGCGACGTTGCAGTATAACAAGATGACTGCATCGCAAGACACCACCACCGACTCCTGCAGCCTTTCCAACCACACAACGTCCCTGTCCGAGGCAGAGATTGCCTACCACATCTCTCGGCACCAGCTCTGCGCTTTCATCGCCTCCCTCTTTCCCATCGACGTTCTTGGGGAGCACCGCGCAGACAAGTACCTCCGACCCGGCCGAGACGCCACAAGATCCCCCATCACGGCAAAACAGGCCCAGCTTGATGATCTGATTGTCAACATACCCGCCTCCAGGTTTCCCGAGGACCCAAGGTGCGCCTCTTTGATGCAAGATCTCAACGGCGACGAGCCCCTCGGGCAAATTTCTCTTGCCCTCTGGCCCGAGCACTTCAAGCGTTGGGGCCAGCACTACCTGCCCAGCCTGCACGACGCTCACAGCCAGCAGCTGTGCAACTCCTTCAAGGACCCTGGTCCGCTGCAATACGGGACCGACTCGCCGCTGTTTATGAAATGCCGCGACCGGCTGAACCAGATGTTTGACAATCTGCCAGTCCCAACGCCGAGCAATCTGCCCACGCTAGGGCCGAACAGTATGCACAGTATGCCCTGGGGCTATGGAGGACCCCCAGTTGGCCCGGATGCAGGCGCGCCTCCACCTTATTTTGATGGAGGCGATCTGCTGCGCTCGACAGCGACCAGATATTCATCAGACGGCCGAAGTTACGCACAATGTTTGTCCATGTCTCGGTACAATATGCCGGGGAACACATGCTTCGCGGGAAAGACGAGGGTGCTGCTCGCGAATGGGAAGACGGTGCGGCTCTCGAGTCTCAGGCAGGGCATGAGTGTGGCAACACCGACGGGCGCAAGAAGAGTTGCCGCGATGGTGGTGACGCCTGTCAACAAGGCCGTCATGATCAAAATGAAGGGCGTCTTGGTCACGCCCTGGCACCCCGTCGCTCTTCAGGACTCGCTGCGTGCTGACATGCAGAGCCGTGAGTGGGTATTTCCTTGTTGCCAGGCCACGCCTCAGCAGATGGTCAGGTATACCGGCCGCATTTACTCTGTTCTCCTGCAGAGAGACGTGGACGTTGATGCGCACGCCATTTTGCTCAGTGGCGGTCGGGAGCAAACGCCGCTATGGGGCGTCACGCTCGGCCATGGAATGTTTACTGGCTCGGATGTCCGTGCTCATGGCTTCTTTGGCGATTATGATCGCGTGGTCGGCAGTCTGCACACATTGCGAGCCAGAAAGGGCGGTCGGTACGTGGCAGCTGGCGTGAGGAGGTGCCCAAAGACGGGTCTGGCGTGCGGCTTTCGACAGTTCTGATGCCGTATCACACTTTCGCATGCTTTGCTGTCGACGAAAATGAATATTTGATCATGTGTCTCCTGATACTTACTCATGATGGGAAATCGTGTTTTTGGAATTGGGAGATGTGGGATTTTCGCTGCCCGAAATTGTGCATATTTTCGTCAAATGATTTTAGATCAAAAAAATACATTCAGCTAAATAATCGCTTGTTTACAACCTTCAATGTTAATTTCAGGTGAAGGCAACTTCACAAAAGTCATGAGCTGCATGTATACAGAGTAAAATATATATCCTAGCTACTTATAAAGTTCCGAGGCACACTCTTTGGTATGTTCTAACCATGTCTTGTCTAAGAATCTATCTATAAACGCCCATTCTAATGTTCTACAGGATATCTTCATTTGCCATACTCGTTTCCAAACAAAACATAAAATCTAAACAGCAACATCCGGCTTGCCAAACTCCTTGATAAACTCCTCGCTGTACGGGTAGTCAACGTAGCCCGGCTCACGCTTGGCACCCTCCTTCTGGTTGATGTAGAAGGTGAAGCGGTCATACTCGTTGAAGGGAATGCCCTTCTTGACGCGGTAGACCAGGTCGGGCGTGGAAATGAAGCGGCGTCCAAAGACGACCGCCACCTCGTGGTCGTGGTACTTGCTCTCCACTGCCTCGATCGCAGTCTCGGTGGTGAATCCGCCGGCGATGAAGACGGGCTTCTCACGGCCCCAGGACTGGAGAGCAAAGTCGAGACTCTCGTTCTCGGGGTCACGGTCGACAACTGACAGCCTTGTTAGTTTTATGTGTCCTAGTACTAGCTGGTGCGGTAATGCAGGAGCTTTCTCCAGCTGGGGAACTGAAGCAGGTTGTTAAGTGGCACTCACCTCCCGAAACTCTAGGCTCGACCAGGTGCAGGAAGGACAGGTCCAGCTCGCGCAGCTGGTGGATGAGGTAGCTGAACTGAGGAATGGGGTCCTTCATCCGCATGCCCTGGAACTGCGCCCAGGGGGAAAGACGAATGCCGGTGCGGTCTGCGCCGACGGCCTTGACGACGGCCTTGGTGACCTCGAGAGCAAAGCGTGCGCGGTTCTCGATGCTGCCACCCCACTGGTCGGTGCGCTTGTTGCAGGTGTCCTGGGTGAACTGGTCGATCAGGTAGCCGTGCGCGCCGTGGATCTCGACGCCGTCAAAGCCGCCCTTCTCGACGGCATTCTTGGCCGCAGTAGCGTAGTCGTTGATGGTGGCCCAGATCTCCTCCTCGGTCAGGGCGCGGGGCGTAGGGCCCCCCTCCCACATCTTGACGTCGCTTGCGCTCACAAAGTCGTTCTTGTAGTCGAAGTCGTCGTCTGCAAAGGCACCGCCGGAGCCAACGGGGTCAGGGCGCGCCGCGCGGCCCAGGTACCAGAGCTGACAGATGATCTTGCTGCCCTTGGCGTGGACGGCGTCGGTGACCTTCTTCCAGCCTGCGAGCTGGGCATCGGTCCAGAGACCGGGGATGGTCGGGTAGCCGCCGGCCTTGGCCGTGATGTAGGTTGCTTCCGAAATCAACAGCGTGCCGGGCACGACAGCACGCTGAGCGTAGTACTGTGCCATCGCGTCGGTTGGGACGTGGTCAAAGTCGGCTCGGAACCGGGTCAAGGGTGCCATGACGACGCGGTTGTCGAGCTGGATCGAGCCCACCTTCAGGGGCTTGAAGAGCTTGGTGTTTTCGGCCATGGTGAGATATGTTTGTGCGTGTGTGTGTGTGTGTCTGGACGTTCTGATTATGAGTGTGGTAGAAGGAAGGGAAAAAAAGCCTGGCACGACGAACTCAAAATTGAAAGTGGTCAAAATGTCCTGTAACACTTAAACTTGGTGTGGACCAACATGTGAATACTGCTACCTGGCTTGCCATTTATATATCGAGAGAGCATCATCTTTGTTCGACGTTTTTCCATGGATCCGCTTGGTAAGGATAATAATATCCCCACAGCTCCATACTTACTGATCGTGTTGCCATCGAAAGGCTTACGTTATGCGACTCGAGTGCATGACCTACCTTAGGAGGAGGCAATTGTATAGAGGCCCGCGTCTATGTCAGGGTTCCACTGATACGACGAAGTGACCTGATCACAAATCCATCAGTAGCGTCCCATAACGCCGAAAATTGTCTCACAGAGTGTCGGTGATATTAGAACCCGAAATTTCATCAATGATGCCACACATTGTCCCAGAGCGCTGTCCAGTCAGCAGTCTGTGTGTCTCTCTCACGCGCATGCGTCTCGACCAGGACACAATTGATCTTCCGCTGGCTGTGACTTCTTGATCGAGATAGAAGAACCAGTCTGTAGAATAGCAGCCCAGGTCCTCTTGTTATGGTCGAATGATCGAGTGAGGAACAAATGTTTGCCCCCCTGCTTGCAATGCTCAAATCATGTGATGTCACTTGGGTAGTGGGTGGGTGACTCGCGATACTGATCCACAAGGGGCTAGAATAGAAAAAGGGAAGAAAAAGAGGGTCGAATGAGCCTCACAAAGTGGAGCCGCATGAGCTTAATAATGCCATGGGGCGAGGGAAAACATGGTCCCGCGGATATGCCGTACTGCAGGGCAAACGTAGCCATTAGTAACTGCACTACAGTACGGAGTAACCGACGTCGACCCCCAAAGAAATAGAAAATCCGTTAAAAAAAAATACGTACAAATATTTATTTCTGTATATTCAATACTAATCATGGTAAATGCCAGCAGCCCTGGGACCCCTTATGTCATGGTTCCCTGCATTTTTCAGACTTCTGAAGAATTTGTAAAGCTCAATATTGGGCGTTCGGCCGAAATAACACACGACATCATTGTTAATCAGAGGGAGTGTGTGCCCTGACGTTCGTTCTGAACTTAATTCCGACGCGATAGCATGTCCACGCCGAAATCTCCTCGCAAACAAAACATGTATGCATGTGCCTTGCCTTCAAAATTGGTCTAGTTTTTCCTTCACTATCAGGCATCAAGGACGACATGAGTTAATTCGTGTGTACTATTGCGTCTGGAGTCGAGGTCCCTGACGCGCTCACGCGATGGCGAAATCCTCGGTCGGCTTACCGGTCCGGAGGGCCTCGCCCTTCATGAATCCATCCACGAAACACTCTCCGACGAGCTCAAAGACCGAAATACCCTGGGGGTCTTGTTGTTCTCGCCGGCGTAGAACGACCGGAACGTTGCAGCCAAACAGTACACACACGGCATCCCCTTTTTGTGCCCGCCTCGGAGCCATGCCGGGAAAGCCTAGATTGGTCACCATGAGCCGTCTGTTCTGAGCCTCCATAGTACCCCGAAGCCTGGACAAGAAGCTTTTTGGCCCCATCGGAGCAGATTGCCTGGTTTCATCACGCTGGTCCGACACACACAGCTCCCCCAGAGTCCACCCTTTGATGCGCAGTGCTGGATCCGCATGGCGCCGCCACCACCGTCCGAACCATTTAGGTGCTGCTCCGCTGGCGTTGTCTTGGTCGCCATAAGCTGCTACGAGGTGCCTGAGATCTCGTGCGTACTGAGAAACGGGCGCAGCACGCTCCAGAAATCTGTCCAGCCGATCGAGGACGAGGGCTCGGGTTACGCTCTGCAGTATAACCCACCTGTCTTTTTCTTGTTGTGCGTAGTGTGTAGTCTTTATGTTCATTCGAGATGTGGACTCGACTACCGTGGCCGGCTCGTGCGGGATGGGTCCCAAGCCGTCTATATGATCAAGCAATATGCCTTCACATACAAGATGCCCACCGCCAGGCGGCGAGCCCCAAGACTTGATTCTAGGAGGCTCCTCTTTGCTCGCCTTATAGGCAGCGTCTCTCTTGTGGTCCCGCGGCTTTCTCACCGGTCGAAAGTTGGCTAGGTGCTCGTTGGTGCTCTGGCTGACCATCAGCGGCACAACGGAGGGTTGCAGCACGGGGACTCGCCAGTCGGGGGCCCACGAGGGCCAGTCTGGATGTTGATTGTGGAACAGCTGTGCGAAGCAGATGATATCGAGGCAGTTGAATGTATCCACAAACTGTCGCACAAGCCTTATCCAGAGCGTGCTCGCGTCGTCGTCATATGTTGGCCTTCCGATCATCTGCCGGTCTTGCTCTCTGGCCAGGCCGTGAACTGCCCATATTCGATCTCTGGCATCTGTCACCCCGTAGTCCCCACAAAACGCCATCAGCGAGATCAGGCTCATATTGTGGCGGGTGGGTTCCACCTGGTACCAGTCCATGATGCGACGTCGGTTCCACGCTGTCGTCCACACAGAAGGCCGGACGTAGGCCTTGAAGCTGCTAAAGAGCTCGAGGGCATCGATGCCTTGGCGGAAGGCCTCACGGGTCAAGGACGTGGGCCCACAGTGGAAGCACAAGTCTCGCGGGACGATAAACTCCTGCAGCGTCCATACACGCCGCCACCAGGTGTTCTGCAAAAAACCGTCCAGAGATCGCCAGCCAGGGTGGCCTTGGAGGTCCGGCGGGATTCGTATCCTGCGTTTGTGTACAGCAGCCCGAAATTCCTTGCGTCTCCGGCCCAGGAGTGACAGGAAGGCAATGGCTTGGTCCGTCTCCTCGGTCCGCTCCCCGAGCCAGACCAGCGTCCGAGCTGCCTGATGATAGATCTGACCCATCAGATGGACCTGTGATGCCCGCTCGGCAAGGTCAGTCTGGTTGATGCATATCGAGTCAATCCAGAGCCATTTGTCGGCGTCGTCGTCGTGATCGTCGTCGTCGGTCTTCTCCCCCTCCTTGTCGTCGTCGTCCTCCTCGTCACGCAAGTCTTGACCCCCCAGATGTCTTCGCGAGCTGATCATGCGCAGGAATGGCAGGAGATTTTGTAGGACGCGGATCTGATGACCGCTTATATGGATGTGCTCATCGGCATATTCAGTGCCCCACGTGTACGAGACGGTGGTAAAAGAAGGGCAGTCAGGTTGGTTAAGTGAAAAGGTCGCAAGCTGGCCTGTCACCGCCTCGGAAAGTTTGTTGCTATTGTCGCCGTTGCCATTGTTTGTCTTGTTGGCGAGGCGGAGGAGCCGGATCGAACCTGGCGGTAGAGGCAGTTGCTCATAGAGGGAGCTGCACCTGCCTTTAGATGATGCCTCGGCCATGAAGGAAGGAGGGGGTCTGGGGCCTGGTCTGGCCCGTCATCAATTTCCGCGCGAGGTTGACTCAGTGCCGAGACTTTGCGGACATCAGATAAAAAGAGGTCAGACTCCACATTGAAGATGGGTCTTTTTGCAGAGAATACCGTAGTATGTGGTGCTTCATTGGTGAGAATTGCAGTCGGTCAGTCGTTCAGAAATTCAATCTTGGAAGGAGCGGCAACCCTACTGAACTAGCGGCGGAGCATTTCTAACTCGTATGGTAGGGTTAGGGCTCAAGGACGCTTTTCTCGTTGACGATCGCTGAGCAGTAGGAGTATTTCATATATGAGCACAATTTGGGTCGACAGAGGGAGACCGAATCAACAAGCACACGCAGGGTAAAGAGGACAACATGTACACGTCAATGTATATATATATATATATATAGTGACAGTTAGAAGATCAAAGAATAACAAGAAGGATGAGAGCTGAAATCGTGCCACAGCGCTGATGCAGTATACTTAAAGACATTTCTTATTTGTTATGCTACCCCAAGCCAGTATGGAGGTTTCGAGACCAAGTTCAATTCCCAGCATCCAGAGAAGCGGTGGTACATGAGGCTGTATCCTCCTCAGATTATAAATACAAACATGAATCTTGGATTCGTGTAGTATTTGCGTCAAGACGTTGAGTATCGAGTTCAGCAGAGAGCCGGATTTTGACATTTGACAGCATATTGCCGGATTCTGTAGCAATGTCTCTTCATTCCCGCACAAAAACACCCGCCATACCCTGTGTAGTGAAAGAATGGTTATTAGCTTTTTGGTTTCATCCTTTTCCCCCCTAGACACTTTCAAAAGAGAGAAAGAGAAAGAGAGGACAGAGATAACTTACCATGCCTGTGCCGACACACATGCTCACCACGCCAACCTCGCCGTCCTGCCTCTTCAGCCCGTGCATCAGAGTGCTCACCATCCTAGCACCAGTCGCGCCCAGCGGGTGACCCAGGGCAATGGCACCGCCGTCCGGGTTGATCTTGTCCATCTGGCCCTCGAGCCCCAGCTCCCGGATGCAGTACAGCGCCTGGCTCGCAAAGGCCTCGTTGATCTCCCAGCGGCTCACGTCGCTGTTCTCGAGGCCCAGCTGGCCCAGGGCCTTGGGGATGGCCAGCGCAGGGCCAATGCCCATCTCGTCGGGCGCACAGCCCACCGTCGTGGCGCTGACGAACTTGCCGATGATGTCGCCGGCCAGCCCCAGCTCCGTGGCCGTGCTGCGGCGCATCAGCAGCGTGGCCGCCGCGCCGTCAGACACCTGGGACGAGTTGCCCGCGGTGCTGGCGCCGTCGGGCTTGAAGGCGGGCTTGAGCTTGGCCAGGCCCTCGACGCTGGCGCTGGCCCTGATGCCGTCGTCCTCGGTCACGGTGATCCTCTTCTCCTCGCCCACCTTGTTGCCCTGCTTGTCGACCTCCTGGAACCGCGTGGCCACGGGCACAATCTCCTGGGCAAAGGCGCCCGACGACCGTGCCTTGGCGGCGCGGAGGTGGCTCTCGACGGCAAAGGCGTCCTGGTCCGCCCTGCTGACGCCGTACCTCTCTGCGACGTTCTCGCTCGTGAGACCCATGGCCATGATGCAGTCCCTCGCGTCCTTGTGGGGGCTCTCCTTCAGCTCGGGCCACAGGTCCACGGGGATGGCCCGCGAGCCGTAGTTGCGCGTCATGCTCTCCATGCCCGCCCCGATGCCCACGTCTGCCATGCCCGTGCGGATCTGCCCTGCCACGGCCGCGATGGCCATCAGCGAGCTGCTGCAGGCCCGGTTCACCGTGTAGAGCGACGTCGTGTTGGGGTAGCCCACGTGGTTCATGGCCATGCGCGCCGCCTTGCTGCCGCCCAGCTCCGAGAGCACCACGCCCACGGCCACGTCGTCGATGCGGGAAGGGTCGAGGCTGGGGTTGGCGTCGAGGGTTGCGCGGAGCACCACCGAGAGCAGCTCCTCTGGGTAGGCATCCTTGAGCGAGCCGCGGTTCGAGCGGCAGATGGGCGTGCGCAGCGATGAGAGGATCACGACGTCGTGGGGGGACTTGGTGAGCACGGCGCGGAGGCCCTTGGGGAGGGTGGCAGCCATCTTGTTTCTTGTTTCTTTTCAAGACCAATTGCTCCTGTCGTAACAATTATGTTTTATACAGACGACAAGAGAAAACGCATCCCTCTTGTTACCGAGAAAGAAAAGAAAAAAAAAAGAATACATACAAAAGAAAAGTAAAGAAAAAAGAAAAAAGACACGCGCGAGGGTGAATAGAGCAGTCAAGAAAAAGAACCGCCGGCGGATAGTGATTCGGTTTACCCGACACCCTCTTCCATCGTCACGGGCCCAAGGATCGGAAGAGAGCTTAAGCTGGATGGCCCCCCCCCCCAGTATCCGGGGTAAAAGCAGCAAGTGCTATGCCACAGGACAGCTAGGCGCTGGTTAGTTTGTGGGGTTGCACAGAGTGGGCGGGGTGGGTAAAGGAAATCCCGGGTACAGCTTTACATGCTTCGGCTCGGGACCTTTTACTGCCTATTATCTGCCATTGTACTTACTTGCTTGTTTGCCGTATATGCTATAATATGGTAGCTTTGTTTGTGACCTGAGATCCTTCCCAACGTACTGAAGTAATCGTCGTCGTCAACCTCGCTGCATGTGGTCATCACATCCAAATTTGCATCTTCAAATTGCTGTTTGCGACACATGCACTCAATTATAGACAAATCAAGAACATCCTCTCACATGACCAAAATATCGTCAAGTGGCTGCGTTATTAAATCAGTCTCGTTCCTAAAGCTGCTCCCAACTGCTACTTCAATGCTATCGAGAAAGACGGTAACAGAGGATACTGTACACGTGCATATACGACACTTGTAGCGCGGGTCAGATGACACCTGATATAAAGTAATAATGATAATCTTCTGCTGTCTCCTTGCCTTCAAAGCACCGTAACCTGTATTGCGGTGAACCCAAGCTGCATACTGCCCAGAGAAAAAGAAAAGAAAAAAACCACCCCCAATAAAAACGCTGTCTGTCGATCTTTTCAAGTGCCCAAACACTGCACACGATAAACTGACCAAGTTGGGGCGGGGGGGAAGAAGAAGAAGAAAAAAAAAAAATGAAAAATGAAAACAAGAAAAGAAGAAAAGAAGAAAAAGCAAAAAGCAGTATCCAAAAAAAAAAAACCCCCACCACCCCAAAAACCCAAAAAACTAAAGGCCCAAAGACGAAAAACAATGGGGGGGTATCATCAGTGAACCACATTCAGTCTCCTCGGATCCCAAGTCCAAGTCCAATGGGCGGGTTGCCCTCTCTCAGCCCACCCGCCATTCGTAGTTTCTTGGTCGGGCTCGTCGGCTCCCTGCCCTGCTGCTCGTCAAGTTTCCGTTTCGCGGATGTCGTCAGGGTCGGCTTGTTCAGTGGGCCGCGCAGGGTCGATTGCAGCTTCTTGTCGGCCGTCGTCGGCGTCGGCGTCACATCCCTCGAGCCGTGGGAGCTTGCCACCTCAAAGCTCTCCCGTGGGTCACGACGGAGCATAGACGTCGCCTCCTGGCTCGCCTGGCTCTCATAGATCTGCGCATCCTCCCCACCAGCACCACCAGCACCACCGCCGCCGCTCTGGCCGCGGTAGGTCGGAAGCGGTACACGAGGCCGCGGTGGGGGGGACCCACGAGAGACAAACGAGTTTGCCTGTTGTGCCACCGACTCCAGGTTTGCGCGAGCCAGCGTCTCGTTGTCATCTGCCGAGATTGTGCTCTCCCGGCTGTGACGTCGACCCCGCTCCATCCGGTCTGTTGTCCTCCCAAAGCTCAGCTCTCGCTCGGGGGTGTCGGGCACAAAGCTTCGGCCGACGAACCGTCGAGGGGGCTCGGTGTGGGGGACGAGGTCAGGCGGCGGCAGCAGGTCAGCGCCCCGAGGCCGGGACCTGTTGGGTGTCGAAGGCAGTGAGGACATGGACTGCGCGCCCCGGGAGTGCTTCAGTGGGTGGCGGCCTGAGGTGGAAATGGCGCGATTCGGGGTCACGGGGGTGGAGGGTACACTGCTGTTTTCCTGCGTGGCGGCCTGGAGCAGGACAGCAAAGGGCTGGGCTTCACGGTCGACCCTGTGCTTCGGGGTCCGGCGTGGAGTCTGTCGGTGCTGGACAGGCGATGCTGCATGAGCCGTCTTGGGGGTGTGGAACATGCCGCCCGGGCTGGCGAGTTTGTCCCATAGCTCGCGCTTGTCGAGCAGGCGGTCTCGCAGCAGCTTGTTGTCCTCGCGCAGGGTGTCGATGCTCTCCTCCTGTCGCATGATGAGCCTCTTGGCGGCCTTGAGCCTCTTGCAGGCCTCGTCGTAGTCCCTGAGGAGCTTCTCGTTGTCTCTGCGCACCTTCTCGGCCAGAGCCCGCAGGGAGTCGTACATGGCTGGTGTGATGTCGGGGCTGGGGGGGCTGGCAGTCCGCTTCACCCGTCTGGGCGCCTCGGCCTTCTGCTGCTGCAGCGCCTGCAGCTGGCGCAGGGTCATCTCCTGCTCGACAGCAGCACGGTGGGCATCCTCGTCCGCGCGGACAGAGAGGAGCTGGTACTGGAGCTTGTGGTGCGCGGCCTCCATCTTCAGGCGTGACTGCTCGGCGATGCAGGTCTGCAGCATCGCACGCAGCTCGTCGGGCGGTGCAGCAACGACCTGCTCGGGACGCGGTGCGGCGTAGTGCCCAGCGGGTGTCGTCGAGTTAGGCCGCACGGAGTGGAGGCCGGTGACGGGAGGAGAGAGCATCCGCTGGCGAAGGGAGGCGGCGGCTGCCCTGCTGGCGCCATCGTTGGAAGGCACCTGGGAGGAGGGAGGAGGCGTCAGGGAGGAGGGAATCACAGAGCTGGCTGAGGCGGCGCGCTCGTCATTGCGCTCCGTCTTGAAGGACAGCTCAGGGTCGGCAGGCGACGCTGGAGGTTCGGTCGAGGGGAGACTTTGTTGCGATGCAGAAGGGGGTCCGTTGGGAGCTGCCGCGTCCATCGGGGTGGTGGGCCCGTCCTCGACGATCACGGCCGGTGGTGGAAGTTTGGCAATTGAAAGCTCTGGAGACATCGTAAGATGTTCGTATGACGATCGGAAAAGCGTTGGCTAGAATCAAGGTCGAAGGCAGAGGGCACAGCTGTCTATGAGGAGGGGCGTGCGCGGTAGTTGAGGGCTGTCGGATATGTGCTGTGACCATGCTCTGCATCTGAGAACAACAATTGCAAAAAGAAGCTTGGGCTCCTGTGCGACACTAAGGGTAGAGAGCGACTGAAGGTCGGCTGTGTGTGACGGTTGTTGATGCAAAGGGAATTCGAAGGAGGAGGCTGGAGGAGAGAATGTCGTGAGTGAAGCGTTCTCGAACGGCCTTTCTCCTCTTTCAATGAGCCGAGAACCCAAACCAGACGCAAGACCACGCACAATCCAGTGTTCACGATGGTCGCCTGCAAATAGGTGTCGCGGCGTGCAGGAAGGGTGGTGGGCCTCGGTGTGCTGCGAGGGAGGATTGGGTGACGAGGACGAGGGAGGAGGAGCCCCTCGAGTTTGTTTGGTCGCAATCAGCCAACGTGGAGTTGTTTTCGGTCGGGGGGGGGGGGTGGTCGGGCGCCTGTTGTTGTGTTCCCAAGGTTACCTGCCCTGCCTGCCTGCGTACTGTACTACCACAGAGTCATAGTAATCGTACCCATGAAGTGTTAGTGGATCCAGCCGTAGCCTAACGCGCCTAAATCGAAGGGGGCCTGGTTGACTGGTTGTTTAGTAGGCATGGCTGGCAACCAAAACTGCGCCAAGCCGTTTTCATCACTAGACCGGCTTTCATTCCAATACAAAATCTCGATGACGAGCGAGTGAGTGATGAAAGGGTTAGGGTTCTTTATAAATGCTCGTATTAAGTGCAGCAAGAAAAGACTGAAATAATAAGAGAAATCGCTAACAACAACATGTGATCTTAGCAGTGAAACAGCCAGACAAAGCTGATTTTGGCCCTGGTTCTGGCCTGGCTAGTACTTCCACACGTGCTCCTCTTAAGTTCCACAAATTCTCGCTTCTCATGGACGACATGACCTCACAGGGCCATGGCTACTCCGACGATGCCGGCGAGGCCCGCAGCAGCAACGTTCAGGCCTTCCTTCCTCGCTGCGCCAGTGGCGGCCGCAGAGCTTGAAACAGAGGTGCTAGACGCGGTCCCCGATACCTCTGTAACACCGCTGCTGGTCTTGGACGCTCCAGATGCGGCTGATGACGATGGCTCAGCCGTACCAGTGGCGGACGATGACGCCTCTGAACCCGTGCTCGTTGCGCTGCTGCTGCTGCCACTGCCAGAAGAGAGCTGGTCCAGCCCCGCGGTGATTGTGACTTGTACCATACTGTCCGTGATATCACTCAGGACCGTTGTGGACGTCCCAGGAAAGTTGGCCTCGGATCCGGCGTCCGTCTCGGTGCAGCTGGCTGTGTTCGAGGCGACATTGCAGTCGGCGTCCAGGCTTCTACATGTTTGAACGTGTGATTAACATATGCAACCCGGCCAAGGAGCGTTCGAAAGGAAGTAGGAAGGATGGGATATGCTCCCTTCCCTCTTCTCGGCGTTCTTCTGCAGACTTACATGGCACCGGCCTCGGTGTAGTGGATACCCAACGTCGACGGGCCTGAGGTGAAGCTAACGCCCTCTCCAAAGCCGCAGTCGCTGGAATCTGTGCCCGCGGCGCAGTTTATGAAGTAGGTAGTAGCCTGTGGAGCGGCTGACACGACGGACGCGACAATATTGTCGCCCTCAAAACCATATAGGAACAGGCTGGTGACGGAGGTCGACTGGGCGACTGTCAACGCCGCGAGCGAGGCAGCAATGAGCAGAGAACGGGACGTCATCCTTGAGAAGAGCGTGTGATTTAAGACTAGAGAAAAGAACAGAAACGAGTGAAGCACAAGGTGAGGTGAAGAATAGAATGATTGGTTATGAAGAAAACCCAGAAAAGCAGAATGAAAAAGAAGAAAAAAAGACAATCAAAGGAGACGAGAGTTGATAAATTGGGATGGTGTCGACCCGGAGGAGGGAACATTACCAGGACGGGATTGTCAGAGTTTAGTGAGTTCTCGGGCCTTGAGGATAATTAATGTTAAATTTAAGCGTGTCTCGAAGTTGCCTCCTAAAGCGCCATCATCCTTACTAGGAACTTCAGCCCCATACGCTAGGCATCGCCGCATCAGAGAATCGTAGACTCCGGTGCCGATGGCAAAAAAGATGGCGAGCTTGCCCTGCAAAATGTAAGTCTGTGGATTTCCCCTATGCAATAGAGACGGGGTTCTCAGGGTCCCAGCATAATGACCCATAAAACGTCGTCTTTGAGGATTTCAGACACAAAAAACCCCGGTCTTTCCCCTTTCCTTTCCAACATTCCTACGGGATGATGAAATGGTCATGGAAAACTTTCACTGTGACAATCAGTACATGGCTTTTACCCAAGAACAATGCCTATGGCTATAAGAATTGCCTGTTATCAAATCTACGATGAAATATACCGTGTTTAAAGGCTCTTGGTGGGAGTGGATCTTGAAGGAACTGGATCTTGTACATATGATGGTCACAGCGACCAGTGGAATCGCCATTACTAAGGCCCTCTGACCATGGTACGAATTGTGGTGTGATTTGATTTTTAGAATCATAATCATGGCTCAAGAATCCCGAAGTCCGAGCAGTTGCAGAGTAGTGAATGTGCATACCCGGCAGCTTGTCTACCTTGGGATCGATAATTCTTGGAATCAATCATATCATTCGGAAGCAATGGTGCTGGACAGCGTGCATGCAGATACCGATGAAACCGAATATACAAACAAATTTTGGTCGCCAACCCCTGGCCGTGAGTTCCTTATGGCCCAGCCAGATTTGGTCCCTTCGCTGCACCACCCGGCACAGCAGACCCTAGCCCCTTTGTACCAGGTTCATTCACCGGCTTCCAGGTTGCCTTGGTTTCGAGGGCCTCTTCAATTCGGCCGTCAGGACCCGGGAGGCCGCTGTCCGAGGCGACAGGTGCTGCTCCTGGTATGGCTGCCTCGCTATGGGCTGGGGCGTTCTCCGCGCCGAGTCCCTTTGCTGCCGAGGGTGTTAGTCTTGTCCCCACGTTGTTGGGGCAAAGTCGAGGTGATTTGTGTGGGACTTGCCTGCTGCATCCCTCTTCAGGAACTTGTCAGATGGCTCTTGGCCTCCAGGAACCTTTGTGTGAGACATGGTGGACTGGTGAGTTTGAAGACGTAATCGAACAAAAGTGTGACGACGGTAAATTCTGTTGATGTTCGGTTCTGGGAAGGATGTTTTCCTGAGAGGTGTGGGGAAGGTGATTGGAATTATTGCTCAAGAGGAAACTTAGACAGTCGTCTGCCCGACGGTGTGAATCACCCTTGCTATATAAATAGTCATCGAGGCAAGACAAACGTCACTCTGAAGCCTCACAAACACCAGCCTGACGTCACATACTTCTGATCGACTCTTTCTTATGCAACACGGCCAGATAACGGACCTCCTGTTCCTGGGAAGATGATCATTGCAGATCAGAGAGCTGTGCCCTATCCCGCTGTTCCTGACGTCCCCCTTGTAAGCATTGAATTCTTAGCTGTTCGCTATAGTATCCTTTGGAGCTTTTTACAGGTCAAGTTTGTAAGTCGTGCCGCGCAAACCCCATGTTATGTACGAGGCTGGAGACACCATCGGACTTCCGAGGCTTGATCACATTATCACAACCATAATTACATCAACTCTTGACTATTAGTCTGACATGTCAAGAATTGAGATCTAAATTGGGAGCTCGTCATGGCTCGAGTAATTTCCTGCATTTTATTTCAGCCTGTCGGACGGCTGACTTGATAGTGAATGGTACTCAGGGTTAGGGTTAACGGGCTGATACATTTCGCACCAGCCTTGAACTTCATCATTCTCATCAACCAAAACATGCCAAACCCTTTCAACTTTCCTTTGTCATCTCACGCAACAGCCATCTCCCCAACGACATAACCCTCGCCGAAAAATAACGCTACCGACACTCATCAGAGAACTTATCCAACGTCTTTCTGCGAGGCTGCAACTGCACTCTACATTCTTTGTCGTCGTTACCGTTGCCACCTTCCTTCTTCCTCCCAGGTGCCCTGCCTCATCTTGTACTCACTCCCTTGAGGGTTGCACACCCTCGGTTCTCCTTCAAGATGCAAGGCTTCAACATGGGCCGCTACGTGCCCCCCGAGCACGAGGGCGTCCTCTCCGCCAACCAGGCCTCCGGCAAGGGCTACGCCCTCGGCGCCCGTGCCTCCAAGCTGCGGACTGAGGGCGTCATAACCGTCCGTTTCGAGATGCCCTTTGCTGTCTGGTGCGACCACTGTCGGCCCCACCCCCAGATTATCGGCCAGGGCGTGCGCTTCAACGCCGAGAAGAAGAAGATCGGGAATTACTACTCCAGCCCCATCTTCTCGTTCCGCATACGCCATGCCGTCTGTGGCGGCGTCATCGAGGTGCGCACCGACCCCAAGAACACAGCGTACGTGGTTGTGTCGGGCGGCCGGAAGAGGGACACGGGTGAGGGCAAGGCGGCAGATGAGAGCCTGGTGGGGGACGGCCCGCTCATCACACCGGCGGAGCGCGAGGAGCAGCGCGAGACCGCCTTCTCGAACCTCGAAAAGACCATCGAGGACCGCGCCGCGCTCGAGAGGGCCAAGGAGAGGATCGACGAGATCGGCGAGGTCAGTGCACGGCAGTGGGACGATCCCTATGCGAGGAACCAGGCGCTGCGAAAGTCGTTTCGCGTGGGGAGAAAGGCGAGGGAGAAGGAGGCCGAGGCTGCGGAGGACATCAAGGAACGGCTTGGGCTGGGCATCGAGCTGTTGCCCGAGACGGAGGAAGATGCGCGGCGGGCACGGCTGGTGGAGTTTGGTGCGGCGCCCGACCGGGACAGGGAAGAGAGCAGGGCGGAGGGTCGAGTGCTCGCCCAGCCGCTGTTTGGTGGAAACCAGCCGAGGCAGACGGGTACGGCAGCGGCGACGACGACGGCCAGCGCGAACGCGAGTGTGCCACCAAGAAAGCTGCTGAAATCGGAGCGGGCTGCTTCGAAGATGAAGCAGTCACTGGTTTCAGAGATTGTCGGCAACACACGCCTGGCGAGCGACCCCTTCTTGGGGCCGAGGGGCAGGGAGCTGACGAGATCCACTCCTTCTATTCATGGCTTGAAGAGGAAACGGAATCCCGCCAAGGAATATAGCTCTTCACTGGAGGACAGACCGGCTGAGAAGGTGGCTGCCGTGTCTTCTGGTCTTGTGGATTATGATTCAGACTGATCTGATTGTCCAAAAAAGCACCACACCCCCTCCCCTTTGGTCCGACTATTTTGTTTCGTCGTTTTATGATACCATCTTAGGATTTGCTAGGAAATCCTGCACCTAGTTATATACCGCCTCCACGGCTTGTGCTCAAGTTATGCCGAATCATGCAAAGTATAATGTAGCGAATAAGCTTTGTGAGCAGGTATATTTGCCACAAGTGCTGTTTCTAGAGACCTCCGATGATTACTCCTTGAAAATGAGAGACAGAAAGAAAGAGAGAGGAAAAAGAAGTAAATCCAAGTGTGTGTCTCCTTCCACTGCCCCTTCTGAGGGCCACCCCCCTTTAGACCTATTGAAGTCCAGCCTGGCAACCCGACTTCGTCTAAGGCCAAAAGATCAGGAAGACAAGGGGGGAAGAAAAAAAAGGACAAACAGCGCGCCCGACATCCAGACATGTAGACCCCGCGACCTACCAATGATGATCATAACGCCGTTGCTGAGGGGGAAGAATAGGAAATTTGATTGTCCATGGAGGTCCCAGGTCACACATCGTCCAGGCGACCTGCAGGCTCCTCGTCTTCATCCTCACCGAAGCTGGCCACGGAGCTCATGTCGTCGTCGTCCTCGCTCTCTGCACCAGCCTCCTCGGCGGCATCCTTGCTCGCATATCGCTGAACGTACTCTGTTCCAAATGTAAGCGTGTGAGGCAGTTGAATGAGAATAATTATTCGGGAAACGGGGAGAATGTTCAGGGAAGACAAAGAAAAAGAGAAGGGAGGAGGGAAAGAAGAAAATAGAAGGCCTTACCTCGAACCTTGGAGTCATACGAGGCTTGGTCCCTGAGCATCAAGGCAGCGGCCTCGCCGTTCAGGGGATCGGAGGGGTTTGGATAGCGCAGGAGATGGGGGAGGAATGCCTCGAAGATGTTGATCATATCATACATTGGCGACCAGGTCTGATTGATGACGTCGAGACAGACGGAGCCGGATCTGGTATCCACGCGACACTTGTTAGTGATGTCTTCTTCCTCTTCCGGGCTTGAACCTCCTACGTTCTATTCGCGCTCAGAGAATAGGAAATTTCTTCCCCCAAATGATCCCTCTAGACATAGGAATGATTGGACTCGTGTCCGCTGGTCCACTTACAGCTCGTCTATGTTGGGGTGAAAAATTCGGTTGGTGAAGCCGATGCTGGGGGACTTGTAGGGGTACTGGTCGGGTAGCTCGACGTGGACCTTCCAGACACCGCCCTCAAAAGGTGCTGCTCTCCTCGTCAGTTTATTGCCCCCGCCTTCTTTCCTTCTCTTTGCCGCGACATACTGTCTGTAGGTCCCTTGAACTTGACGTAGAATTCCTGCCTGTTCGAGCATCGTGAGTAACGGGCCGAGGGGAGCTGTAGCGTTCATCGTCGACGGTCGGGGATTCCTCACACTGCAGACAAGAGTTAGCCACACCATGGCAGGATTCTGCAAGAGGATACATATTTGCTGTTGAGGATTGGGACGAAGGAAAATGTTTGGGGGAAGATCACGCACTGTTGTCGTTGACCAATGTGACCTCGTAGTCGCTCATGAGCCTGCTCCAAATTAGCAATCACGAATGGTTTGCCAGAGCTGGGACAACCCATACATCCTAGAGACACGTTAGCAAGACTATAGAGGACTCCCAAAGAGCAGTTGCACCGTCATCGAGGCGGGAGACGCACTTCATGACCTAGAAAGAGAAACGCCGCCAAGGTTAGCATCTAGATACGACCGAACAACCTCTCGACCAAGACCAAAGAGCCTACTCACATCAGTCTCGATCCGCCGTCGGGGGCTCGCCATATTGCCTGCGCGTGGTGGTAGTGATGGTGGTGGCGGCTTCAAGAGTTCCACGGGTTCGACTGTTGTGTCTTGAAGACTGCTGCAGATGTTGGCGGTGGCCGGAAGGGGGAAGGGCGTGGGGAGAAAGCAACGACGTCAGTGCTCTAGTTCGGTCGGGCGCGGGCGTCGCGGAAAGAGTCGAAGGTCGCTACAATGCTCAGAGAGATGCCAAAGAAGGTCAAAGTGACGAAGAGAGTCAAGAAAAGCTTGATGGGAAGGAGAACAAGGTGGGAAAACAGATAGTGACTGTATGGGAGACTTGTCGTGGTTCGATGTGAGGCGTGAAGTAGAGTGAGGCGAGGTGAGTAGAGTTCGGATGCCTGACGTTTACCCTTTGCTCTAAGTAGATTACAGAGGCCGGGACCGGGAACGGGGGAGGGGCCAACGTAGGACGAGGGGGGGGGGGGGGGCAATTGTACAGGGGACGACAAAGAGGTGAAGGGCTGCCCTAACCATCAAAGGGTAGGACAGTATGGAGCTACGTGGGGTTGTTCCTACGTCGTGTGGGTGTATCACAGTGCACTCTGTCTGGGCGTGTATGGCCAGGTACCCCGGCAGCTGGGTCACAGGGATCATGACGCCCAGGATGATGGATGTGATGGTACATAGGGACATTTCGGGCTTCATGACTCTTGAGTCACTTTGTTTCTCTCTCTCCCCCTCTCTCTTCCTCCATTCTTCTTGTTCCGATTTCTTCTTCTCATGGTTATTCATCTATCATTATTGTTTCTTCTTCTTCTTCTTTCCCTTCTGCTTTGTCCACTAGTTGAAGGAATGAGGGGTATTCTCATGACGAGAGAGATGACTACTAGTAGATAAGGAAGGCTATTATAATAGAGCAAGGCTGACATGATATATGTATACTTACATACAGTTTATAAAAAATATTTTATTTTGCATCTGACATTGAAACAACACGTATATCACCAACGCTTGTGGAAATCATTCGGCTCACGCTTTTAGTTGTCTCGTGTGTCGATTGTAATTCTCCAGTAAAGGGCCTAGTACTGGTGTGTTATTGAGTAGCACTATAACATTTAGTGGGATGCCTGTCATAAAAGGCCATGCCTGTCTACGTACTAAGCCTCGGCTGGACTGGCCCCGGCCCCCTCCCAAACCCCTAAACGGCCCTCACAGCAGCGGCTGGCATGCAGTACATAAACCACCTGGAGAGCAAGTACTAAAGTATGTAAGCAGCATGGGTCCCGCCGCCCCCCAATAGGGAAAACCAATCCGAGGCTGACATGCCCTTTTCTACGCCTGCAACTATCATCATGATGAGAACTTTCGGTGTATAAAAACTGCCAGCTTGCAAATTACTGTCCGCGATCGAGGATGGATACGCTCTTTTCGTTCTCTTATCCCTACCATTTCGAAACCGGTCAATGAGTGATTTCTGATCGGGAATGGTTTTTGAAGAAGGGAAAGAAAAAAATAAATTATTCCATAAATTTCCTCCCGAGTCTTTCAGATCTTAGCCACCATCGCCAATCTGGATACATAAGTACTCAAGTACACAGCATACACTTATATTTCATGCTTTGCATACACGATGAACACTTTCTCAACAACACTACGGTCATGCGCTACCCTGGCGCGGGTCTCGCCTCACCCACCATCACCTTCACTGCGCATCTCACCATCCCTTCTCGTCGCCCGCCCCCTCCTGTTCTCGTCCCCGTCGCCCTCGCAGACCCGTCACAGTTCCCACTCCCCACTAGGCACACCACATGCTGCAACAAGAAAGAAGATCACCCTCGGCACACTCCGATCCATGTATCAGAAGAACGAGCCCATCACCATGATCACGGCCCATGACTTCCCGTCCGCTCACGTTGGCGATGCAGCGGGCATGGACATGATCCTTGTCGGTGACAGCCTCGCCATGGTCGCTCTCGGGATGGAGGACACAAGTGAGGTGTTGGTGGAGGAGATGCTGTTGCACTGTCGAAGTGTTGCGAGGGCGACCAGGTCCGCATTTACCGTAAGAAAACCACCGTCTCTCCTTAGTACATTTCATCTTATCATCTTCGCTTTTCGCCTCCCCACCCAGCGTGGCACCGGAGTGGAAAATTCACTTTTAGTTCTTCTCGTCTTGTCCCCCTCCCCCCCCCCCCTCCTCTTTCTTTTTGAGGTCAGGCCGTTCTGACCACCTTACAGGTTGGCGACCTCCCAATGGGCTCATATGAGATCTCGCCCGAGCAAGCCCTAGAGACGGCGATCCGCTTCATCAAGACTGGGAGAGTACAGGGCATCAAGCTCGAAGGCGGGAGAGAGATGGCGCCGTCCATCAAGCGCATCACCACAGCCGGCATCCCCGTCTTAGCACATGTCGGCCTCACGCCGCAGCGGCAAAATGCCCTCGGCGGGTTTAGGGTGCAGGGCAAGACAGCAGCCGGCGCACACAGAGTGCTTGACGATGCACTGGCCGTGCAGGAGGCTGGCGCATTTGCTTGTGTCCTCGAAGCCGTGCCCGCCGAGGTCGCTGCCCTCATCACCAAGAAGTTGTCCATTCCGACCATCGGTATCGGTGCAGGCAATGGATGCTCTGGTCAGGTGCTGGTGCAGATTGACATGATGGGGAACTTCCCACCTGGACGCTTTCTGCCCAAATTTGTCAAGAAGTATGGCGATATCTGGTCCGAGAGCATGAAGGCCATGAAGGCATACCGGGATGAGGTCAAGAGCCGGGCATACCCGGCACCTGAACACACATACCCGATATCGAAAGCAGAATTAGAGGCGTTCGAAAAGTCCATATAGCCGTGCGGATGGGAGCATACGTGCTACAGCTCGCTGTAGGCGCCTCGAACCTTTGGGTCGAGTGCAAATCTGTCCGTCAGCTGTTCTGGCCCCTCTTCTTTCTCATATCCTTTAGAATCTAGCCGTCCATTGAGCGCAAATTCTGTGTGTGTTTTCGTGCCCGACGCATGGCTTGTATCGCTCAGCCGAAGGCGGGCGTCAACGAGTATCCAACATTAAGCTGGTCATTTGAATCCTTGAAGCACTATCCCCAAGGGTACAGCCAGATCTGTCAGCACCAGGCAAGGGTTTGACACGGGCCACAATGTCGGGCTCACCCTCCACAGATTCCCAACAATTTCATCCAACGCAGGCGCAAATGTCGAGTTGACATACAGGAACAGGCTCTCGCCTTCCCCGACCTTTAAAATCCTCCGCAAGTACGCCACGACAGCCTCAAACTTGGCCGCCGCGCTGATCCTCGATAGCTCCCTCTTCTGCGACAGGGGAGGCGCCGACCCGCCGACGGGCTTGAAGCGCACAATGACCTTTTGCTCAGTAGGGAACAAGCTGGCGTTGGCTTCGGCAAGCGCCGAGGCCGAGTCGCGTGGGAGGCTAGTGAGGATGAGCGAGGCGGTCATCGTGAGGGGCAGATCGGGTGAAGGGGAAGCCGAGGGGATGTCGGGTTCGGTGGGGGCGCCGCCCGGCGTAGGCGTGGAGGAGGACGACGAGGACATGATTGCGAAAGGGAGAGTGGAAGTGGCAGGCAGCAGAAGGATGGTGTCAAGACACGGAAAGAAGTGATCTTTGCAGTGTAGAATTGCAGCCAGAAGATGTAGGAATCCGAGGGCGTTGCGAGGAGCGATGGCAGGGTCTCCCAGGACGATAGCGTAGGTAGGGCCTAGGCGGAGAGGATAGCGGCTCCAGGGCCGTTGACGTCGAGGGGTAGCTACTGCTTTATCGATAAGAAGTCTACTTGATTGAGCTTGCGGCAACCCCACCACCCCACATCATGGCCACAACCGCGCACTGCTGCTTGGTGCCTTGGCACTGGACCTTTATAGGCTCTTCACTGACGAGCAAAGCATCGCTTGCTCTGTACCTTGGTTGCGAGTCTTGTCTTCCGGTCTCTAGGGATCAATGTTCATATTCTTTGTCAACGTATGATGCATACAGCTTAAGATACGTGAGCCTTTTCGTTCTTGTCCTCTACACATCTCTTGAGATGGGACATCGCCGTCATAGACTATGCCCGTCTGTTGCCCTAAGATCACGGTCTTCAATGTGACCGTGTGTCGGCCCCAGAAATGGGTGAAATGTGTCCCTCGACATGGAATCTGCCTCCCATCCGACCACACCAACCTCGTCATCATGGAAGTTTGGACGCCAGAAGCAAAAACAACAACCCAACGCTGTCTTAACACCATGGTATGAAGGCATACCAGCGAGATGCTTCCTGCTGTAGCGAGGACGCCGCCTCTTGGTGTCATGGAAGTCACCCTGTCTGGAATTGTTGTGATAAAATGTGGCAGAATGCACATCCCCGAGCAAGACATCAAGCCGAGATGATATAACAAGAAACAGCCGGCGAATCATGAAAATAAGGGCTGCCGCTGGGGACGAAAATGCTCAAAAACGCAGTGACCACAACACCTCAAATGCAACAGCGGTACAATCAGCCAGCAAAGCAAATGACGCCTGGTGCAAAGCATTTTATGATGATGTCGGTACGGCAGTTACCTCTGCAGAGCAGGGCTTGATCATTAATCCGAATTCTCTCCATCCTCGTCGTCGGCGTACTTCGGGGTTCTCTCCAGTTGGCCCAGCAGAGAGTCCAGCCTGGACCAGTTCCTATCATTCTCTGCGAATTTCCGGTGCTTCTTCGACAGGATATGCTACTCTTCTAGATTAGTTCCTGCTCACTCGTGTCGGACTGACTGGATACGAACCTCCTCGAAATCATTGAATTTGTCCTGGCAGTTTTCACAGTAGCCAGGCTTGAGGTCGCGCTTCTTTGTCTTGGCCGTCGGGACGGCAGCCGGGACGCTCATGGTCCGCTTGTGCTCCTTTGACTGGTCGTCACCAGCCTGGCCGAGTTTTCGAGGACCGTGGCCGAGACTCGCCGATCGTTGATAGTGACCCGCGTCCAGGCTTACCTCCGCAAGACGGCGGGAGCTCAGGTCCTGAGAGGTCGGAATGGCCGAGAGATTGGCCGAGGTGGCGTTGCTCTTCTGCAGGACTTTGCGTTGGAGGCCGTGTAGCTCCTTGCTGGTGCCTGCCTTAGCACCGAGAACACCTGTGGCGGACGAGATCATCTGTGACCGGATTGCGGAGGTAATATTTGACGGCTGGATACCGGACGCCACGGGCTCACCGGCGAAAAGGCGGGCAGACTGGGCACGGCTCGTAAAGGCATTCTGAGGTCTGAAATCGAGGGCAGGTGGGTTGGTCGCCTTGGCAAGGTCGAACATCTCCGGAGGGCGGACAGATCCGGCTCGGGAGTTGTGGCCATCTTCCATCTCGGACAGAGTTCTCTTTCCGATGACGGGTCTGGCCATCGGGGCTGCTAGTGGCGGCGGCGGCGGCGGCTTGTGCTCCGGAGCAGCCTCTGCAACCACCTTCTCCTTGCGCTCTTTCTCACGAGCCTGCTTCTCCACATGACGCTTGCGCTCTGCGGGATCCTCATCCTCCACAAAGGGGCATCGGCCGCCCGAGGAGGCTCGAAATTGAGGCCACTCCCCATCTTTCTTGTCGGCAACCTTGGGGTACTCTCTGACCATGATTGGTTTCTGTTTCTCCTCGATATCGTAGATGTAAATATACGGGCCCTTGAAGTAGATCAGTTCCTTGGTGGCGACAGTCGGGTCGCGATCAGAAGGTCCATTGGTCCGCTCCTTGTTGAGAAGTTGCGCAAGGTTGGTCTCTTCGGCCGCCTTCGGAATGCTCGCGCTCAAGCCAAGAGGGTTCGGGTCGAACATGACCTCGAAGACGCGTTGGAGCTTGCTGAAGTGCCATATCTTCTTCTTCATCTCCTGGGCACGTATCAGGATATCAGTGTGCCGCGAGGCAGCTGGCTGTCTTGGAGCATTCTCCTCCAGGATGGGGGCCACAGGGACCTTCCTGGTGCTCTCGAGAAGGCGCCTCCGGATATCCTTGACGCTGGTGTCACGGCTGAGGAGTGAGGGATCGATGGTCTTGGGCATGTCGTATTGGCCACGCTGACTCTGTATCGAGGTAGAGGCATCGTCGGCATGAATGCGGGTGGGCTTGTCGGTAGGGATCGAGCGGGTCGTGATGACGTGGGTAATATCCTTCGAGAAGAACTTCTCTTCGCGCTGTTCATCGTCGGTTCGTCAGCGGCACCTTCTGGGGCATTGGGGGGTGGGGGGGGGGGGGGGGAGGTTGTTTTTATATAGTCTCGACTTACGGCACCCAGCTGGGTCAACTGCTTGACCAACTTGGACCTCTGCTCGGCAGGGCAGCTCTCAAAGTAGAAGACGTAGCTGGGGAAGCTATGCCGCGTAGCCTCCTTCCAGCGCTGCACGCGTGCTGCCTCGTCCTCCTGCTGAGCAACCTTGGAGATTGAGGCCTGGGAGATTTTCTCATCCTTGTAGGCTCGGGAGAGGTCTCTTCTAATGACCTTGACCTGGCGGACTGGAGATCTGAGGGGCTGCTCGGTACCATCATTCAAGAGCTTTTTCTTGGTTGGGGGCGGCTGGCCATAGTGCTCTTCCCGCTGGACGCTGGCATAAGCCCTCTTCTGCTGACGGTGCTTTCCCAGAACGGAGGCCAGGGCAGAAGACTGGCTGCGAATGGGAGAGTTGGCGACATTGGGATTCGAGGAGAGAGGAACACGTCGGCTAGACATGGTGGAAGGATGGGAGATGGGGGAGGGTGAGAGGGATACGGCTGCCATGTAAGAATAGTGGTTCTAGGTCAACATGCTCTGCAGGTATAAGTGTGAATCCAGTGTCGTTTTGAGATCGTGTAGCATCCACGATAGATTGCGTCGTGGTGCTCTGCACCCTGGAGTGTTTTTGGTCACACAAGTGGACGCGGGGGGGAGGGTGGATGGCGGGTTGGGCTGGTTGAACCGCAAGAAATCAGAGCTGGATGTTTGGGTGGACGGACGGAGAGGCACGCGTCTCTGCCTTGGCCCCTCGCAGGGCTGGTTGGTCGAGCCTCGTGACACAGTTGGATTTGGGGTTGGGGGGGGGGATGTAAAGAACCAGAAAGGGAGACAGACCCGTCAATTGGGATTGACTGTCGTTGCTGACGCCTCTTTGAAAACCGAGACGGGGCGATTTTGGAGGTCGTGTTGAAGGAGTTGCTGCTGTTGGGCAAGTGTGTCGTGTTTTGGTGCAACTCGCTTCTTCTTCCTGCGTTTGTCGCTCGCTCTAGGAAAATCGCGGTACGGGTGCAGGTGTGGCCCAGGTCAAGGCCTGCAAGGCTGGTATGGCGGCTTGTGTGGCAGGCTAGGGGGGAGCTTCCAGAGGTCCCGCCAACAACAAACGCGCACAGGCCAGCACTGCCCCACTAAATATGCGGCCCACCAGTAGAAGGGGCAACGGCCCCCAGCAGCCTACCTATTTGGGCAATACGATGCTACATAGCATTGCTGTAGGAAGTACTATGTTAAGTAAGGCACATTTTGAAGGTACAGATCGAATGAAATACTAAGGAGTAATATTGTAATCATCAAGTATTCCATCCATAATTATGTACGTAGTAGGTTATAACTTGAGATCTTTACCGAATCCTCCCAACTGACTTACACCATTCCAATGTCCCTGCCATGTCGTGGCCAACCATGGAGGGAAGAGGCAACGCTGCCCTGAGATCCTGGCCAAGTAAGTACATAGCAGGGACCAAACCCGCGTAAACCTGCAACCCTTCGTCAAGCGGTTGTTATAATATGCTCCGTGTATGGCATTAGCCAATGCGGCGGGGAAGAGAGCCAGGAGCCAGGAGAGCTGGCTCTCACATCCTCTGGTCGATTTTGTAATGTCAAAGAGTATAGGAATAGCTGTGAAAATCTCGACACTTCTGCCTCAACTCCGTACCTCTGCTGTCACTGCAACGAGCGTGGGAGAAGAACATTAATGCTTATAATAGAGATTGGTTTGCATGTGTAATCAGTGCTTCTGAGGAAACCCGAACAACTCAACGATGCCTTGTGGGAGGACATGGTAAAGGCTCCAGAGTAAGGCCATCGTAGTTTCTGCCAAAGTCGTTGAGTAGAGGGCAGGATGCAACATATATTCATATGCTAGAATGTCTAACATCGTGTGACCGATGTCTTTTCTAATTCTTGGTTCCCAGCCCTGCTCACAGGGTATGTGCATGCTTGAGTGCAATTCATCCTCTGCCCATGGGTTCGTAACGCTTGTAGTCAGTGTGCGATTCAGAGAAACGTACCAGACATTGAGCTGTATGCACTACGGCGCACTATGTACCATAATAAGTAACAATCACCTAAGCACAATAGTAGTATGAAGTATGCACCGTAGTACGTATTATGTTCTGTACGGCAGAATGATGAGTGGCTGACCCCCTGCTTTGATACTGCCAATTGGGTCGCAGTGAGTGGTACGGTACAGTACAGTTTGCCGGGATGCACCCATGTCTGGTCGTGCAGGGTTCTAAGCTCTCTCTGAATCTGGGGAAAAGAAATGCTCTCAACCGACTCACAATTCTAGTCGCCTGCTGTTTGGAATTAACTCTTCTCCTCTACAGCTCCCTTCCACGTACCGCAGCCACGATGCTCATGCGCGGCGCCGTGAGCCGTCCCAACCTTCAAGAGACATGAGCGCACGATCTTCCATCGCCAGGCTAGTAGCAGCCAGGTCAATCGCGTGGCGCCGCTCACCCCCCCGATCGCAGACGCTGCTTTCGACAGCCTTCGGTGCCCTCAACCAGCGACATCACCTCCAACCGTGTCGCAGATTCTATGCCGCCGTCTGTGCATCTCAGCTGCAGTTCGGGCAGCCCGTCTACGAGACCCATCCTCACCTCCTGAAACCAGGCGAACGTGTGTCTCCCCTTGGTTGAAGATCCTGTTTCTTGTCGACGTCTCGACTCGGACTGTCCGCAGACTAAAACATGAACCCTCGCCTCCAGTGACACCGGGCATTACCGCCCAAGAATATCACGACCGCCGCGCCCGCCTGGCACAAGCTCTTCCGAAGAATGCCGTCGCGATCCTACCTGCCGCCGAGATCAAATGGCGCTCCGGTGCCGTTTTCTTCCCATTCCGCCAGGAATCAAACTTCCTCTACCTTACCGGTTTCAACGAGCCCGAGGCAATAGCAGTGATACAAAAGACCGGCGACAACCTTGGTGATTTCATATTTCACCTTCTCGTACGGCCGAAAGATCCCGCCGCAGAGCAGTGGTCCGGCCCCTGGAGCGGCGTGCAGGCTGCGGAGGACGTCTTCAATGCAGACAACGCCGGAGACATCAACAAGGCAGGGGAGCTGCTCCAGCCGATACTCAAGGATGCGAGCAAGATATATACCGAAGGCACCAGCGACTCTTCGCTACTCAAACGTCTTCTACGCATTCCTGCTGGCCATACGGCCGCCGCCACCTCGCCTCTCAGGCCCCTCCTCAATTCTTTACGGATCGTCAAGTCAGCGGGCGAGATAGCCAACATGCGCCAGGCAGGCCGGATCTCCGGGCGCGCCATTACCAACGCGATGCGGAGGGGCTGGAAGTATGAAAAGGACCTCCAGGCCTACCTAGACTATGCCTTCACCGCAGACGGATGCGACGGCCCCGCTTATGTGCCTGTCGTGGCCGGCGGGAGCAGGGCAAACATGATACACTACGTCCTCAACAACGCACCTCTTGAAGGTAAAGAAATGGTGCTGGTGGATGCTGGCGGGGAATACGGGGCATACATCACCGACATTACGCGGACGTGGCCTGTAAGCGGCAAGTTCTCGCCTGCCCAGAAGGATCTGTACGAGGCGGTCCTGCGCGTGCAGAGGTCGGGTGTCTCGCTCTGCCGCGCAGACAGTGGCTTGAGTCTTGATCAGATCCACCGCTCGACCGAGGCTGCCCTGCGCACCGAACTCACCAAGCTTGGGTTCGAGTTGTCAGGGCCCGGAGCGCTGGAGACGCTGTTCGCGCACCATGTAGGTCATTACGTCGGACTGGACGTGCACGACTGCCCTGGCTATGGCAGGAACGTCGCGCTGAAGCCGGGACATTGCGTGACCATCGAGCCAGGTGTGTACGTGCCGGATGACGAGAGGTGGCCGAAGCACTTCAGGGGCATGGGCATCAGGATTGAGGACAGCGTGTGTGTGGACGAAACGGGGCCCATCGTTTTGACAACGGAGGCAGTCAAGGAGGTTGTTGATATCGAGGCTCTACGGAACTGAACGGGCCTAAATCTTCTCCGCCAAGCAGAGAGATTCGGCACAACATCCATGCAGGAGGATCTCACGCTGGTGGAAGAACAGCTCTCTCGTGTGTGTGTGGATGTTGGTTTGAAACAGACTCACCTCTCGACTCGCAGGCACGCTGCACTGAGACGTACATTATCACACACAAAATCAAAGTGAGGTGTTCAGATAGTAGCAGAAGGCCGCGTACGTTGTTGGCACGCAACGTGTCTCGAAAGGAAGGACAGACTTCCCTCAAAATGTTATGTCTCGATCGTCTCTCATTTATAATAGCTAGATAAGCTTCGTCTTGTCGTAGATGTGTATTAGGACCCTGTCTCTGGCTCACCTGGCCGGGGCTGTTGACGCCTGCCCAAGTACCCATCCATAACGTTCCCTTATGCCCGATTGACTCGAGATTCCCGATGGAACTCCCGATGAAAAGGAAAGGAGAGAGGGAGAGAGAGCGAGAACTTCGTTGAGAGCGAGAACTCGTCAATAGTTCAGTGTTTATATACAAAGAACTGGTCATTCTTCATTGATAATGCCCCCTTACTGAGAGAGATGGGTTGGGTCTATGCTTGGTTTTGTTTCATTACACCATTCGGTGGTGCATATCCGTGATGACGCCTCAATGTCATGATATATCATCTTTCTTTCCCATGCTCGTGATAATCCCGAAAATGAAGCGGTTGTAGGGTGTGGGAGCCATACTGAAAACGCCGGTAGCTATGTTGATAAGCAATATGGGATATTCTTTTCGTGGGATTTTGCTTTTTTCTCTCTTCCTTTGTGAACTTCGCGGGCCTGTGCTGACAGCTCTAACAGAATGCTCGAGGGTCAAACAGCGTTCTGCTATAATTCGGCATTTGGAATGATGGCCGCGCTGTTTGGCTGAGCAACTGCTCGAAGGCCGCCAGTCGCCGTGAGAGCTGTTGGTGTTGTGCCATAATCGCCCGGTTCTTCTTTTCGAGATAGCTAATGTATTCCGTAGCTTTGGTGAGAACAGTACCCTGCGTATAGTTAGTTTTCCCTGTCAAAACTTGCACACAAATCTTCTGAGGGCTATCTCTACTGACCTTGCTCACTTTAGGCCGGTTGCCTGGAGTGTTGTCCTCGCCTTCATCAACAACGCCTTCCTGAATCGTCCTGAGGGCCGGGACCGCATCTCGCAGCTCCGAGATCTTGTCCTTCAAGTTTGTCCGATACTTTCTCTCAATGTCGTTGTGCGCCGTGCGGTCTCCCGATTTGCCTTTTGACTTGTTATCATCATCGCCCTCTTTCTCCTTCCCTTTCCCTTTCCCCTCGCTCTTCTCGGTAGTTGATCGGGAAAGTCGTGGCTGAGGTGGTTTCGCTACGGCGGGCGTCTCCGGACGCAACAGGGGCGCGTCGTCTGTGATCAAGCCCATGCCCAGGTTTCCCAGACCGCCAAATCCGCCCAGACCTCCTAGGCCGCCACCGATATTAAAATTTTGCCCCAGGGACGCATGGAGTCCTCCTCCTGCAACGTAACCCCTGGATCCGCTTGCCTGGCCAAATTGGCCCGACCCCAGCCCGCCCATGACTGGGCCGGTATTCATCGCTATGGCGATGAGACGGCGTTGTTCGTCCTCGCTCAGTTGCTGCGGGTTTTGCATGCTCATGAGCGAGTCAAGACGTAGCCCTGGTTGGGGCTTTTCCCAACTCAGTGGTGTTGAATACAGTCCTTCCCGTGGCGGAACCTCGGGCGGTGGCATATTGTCAATTTTGGACATGTGGTCGGCCAAGTTCATAGAGCCAAAATCCTCTGCGGTCATGTCGCCCTCCTCGGATAATGCGTAATCCAGCGCGTCGTCATCCAGCATATCTTCGGGCCGTAGTGATCGGTGCAGCGGCCTGGAACTGCTCGGCCCTGCCGCGGCTGACCTCGACTCTTGTTGCTCCTGTGGACTCCACTGTTGGCTATCCCGAGTGGTAGCTATTGTGGAAGGTGAGGTATGTGAATGTTGCAGCTTTGGTCTTGACTCAAAAATAAAACAACTGTCAGTCAGGCCACACTATCTTTAACCTGATGCGCCGTAATGGCCCTCACCTGATGTCGCCGGGTGAAGGAGAGCTTACCTCTTTGGTTGCTGTGATTGCTGCTGCTGCTGCTGCTGCTGCTGTGCCGATAAATGCTGCGCGTCCTTGCCCTTCTGGTGATTGAGCTCCGAGCTGGCGCCTTCGCCGGCCACGCCCTCCTCATTGTCGAACTGAATCCAATAGTCAACGTTGTCGAAGGGTGTCGACTCGGTGCTAAGCTTTGTCCGCTTGCGTTCATGGCCGGACTTGGGCTTCGGTGCTCGAGGGGGAAGTATAACTCTTGTTCCCTGACCGCCAGCCTGCTGGGACCTTGACTGCTGGGGCCTGCCCGTCGCAGGCGTCGCAGTCTGTCCGAACGAGTCAAAGGACAGGCTGGTAGGGACAGAAGACGGCGAGCCGAGGGCCGACTCGACATTGAGGCCAGTTGTGTCCCAGAAGTTTTGGGCCGAGGAGCTGGAGCTAGGAGCAGCGAGGCGGCGCTGCTGCTGCTGCTGCTGCTGCTGCTGCTGCTGCTGCTGCTGCTGGCTCTCGAGGTCGCCAGTCTGGAAGTGATTAGCACTGGTAACGGCACGCCAGCCAGACATGGTTCTCCTCGGAAAGGTCATTCACGACCACCGAGGCTGTTCATATGGCAGATGGCAGGAAAACCTTACTTGGCTGTTGGGTTCGAGGAAGTACTCGAGGTGTCTGAGAAGGTTGGGGTCCATGTTCGATTATCAGCTGAGCATTGCAGGACAAAAATCAGGGTCCAAGCGGGCTGGGAAGTCAGGAGACCGCTCTCGGTATCGATGGGAGCCGGGGAAACCGTCGGCTGAATGGGTGCGTGGTTTGAGTGAATGGTCAGTCCAAAGATGGTTATCGACGGTAGTCTCACAGGTACTAGAGGGCGGCTCGAGGCGATGGGGAGGCGAGGTGGTTGCTGGATCCGGCCTGGACGGGCTATCTGCGATGGGACATTGGAATGTGAAGCTAGCGGCCGTGTGAATGACCGTGTGAATCAACTTGCAGCGCCGACGGGACTTTCGGACGGCGGTACAATCCCCACTCAAGCCCTGAGATGGAAGACAGGGGAGATCTCTGGCCTCTTGACCAACTTGCTCTATCAGGTGATAATCGAGGCGGACAAGGCTTTGCAGGCGGTACGTGGCGCCAGCGTGCGTCCGTCCTCTTGATCGAACGCGTTGTAGACGTTCCTGGAATGAATCTGGCAGTCGTTGAATTGGTGGAGATTGATCACGGTGTGGGACAATTAGGTCACCAAGGGCCGATTGTTGAAGGATTATCTTGTTCTGTCCAGGGTGCGCAAATCGGGTACGACCTGTGCAAGTTGTGTCGCAAACCTTAAGTCGTTGGCCAACCAGTGTGGTCTGCTATGGGAGCGACTGGGCTCGCGTAGAGGCAGGTCGCCTTAGGCTCGGTACAACAGGCGCGACAGTTGAAAAATAACAATTAAAAAAAAATAATAAAAAAAAAGGGCAGAGGGGTCCCCCGAGAATCTCTCTGTCGATGCTCGCTTGTCAGTGCTGACAATGGAAAGTTTTGCGTGCGGAGGGGAACCAGAAGATGATGGCTGGCGCGCTGAGGGTGTTGAAAGTGGGCTGATGTTGACAAGCCCAAGTGTGGCGCTCCAAGGCCTGCCACTGCTGGTAGAGGCGCTGCAGGTCAGTTGCTCAGGTGCTGCGCTGCTTGTCGTGTAGGGGAAGGGGGAAAAATATTCCGTTGAGAAAGGGGGGTCAAAAGCAATTGTGAATGTTGTTGTGTGGACGTTGGACATCACCCCTCGAAGAACAAATCGCCCCAGCATCCAGTCAGAAGCATCTGATTCAGGCCACTTTCCAAACAAATCACGCCACTTTTGACAGGCTTGGACAGGGAACTTTTACAGGGTACGTACCTCACGTACCCCACCCTTGTCTCTTTTTTTTTCTCCTTCCCCTTCGCTCCTGCCTCTCAACTTTTACCCCCACAACTATCCTGCATCCCAAAGTCCTGGACGGAGAAGCATAAAAGACAATGAAGAATTCCACACTTGGGCCACAATGAAAACAACACGGTAATCGATTTGATGGCAGATCAGCTTAGGAATCTCAGCGTTGATGCCCCTATCATTCTCGTGTGCTCAGAGCGCTTGGACTGTGACTTCCTGAATATTCGCCGTGGTTCCGGAGCGGGCCGCCGTCAAGTCACAAGTCCAAGCCTCTTCTGGCCTAGGTCGACTATAGCCAGGGTAGGTGCCCCCCTCCCCCTCTTCTCGCTAAGGGTCCTCCTGCCTGCATCTGTAACAACTTTTCCCCTGTCGTCATCTTTCCGTTCTCTTTGAATTCACTACTGTACATCACGACCGACACATGTACTGTATGTGATGAGCATCACCCGAGGCGACAATGTGCAATACAGCATATGCTATGAGGGCGGAAGAAAGACACGTATATCTTGTATTGGCCTGCATACTTGGATAGTCATTCATGCCAAGGGAGAGGGGGGGGGGGGAGAGACGGCCTCCCCCATGACATGACATGTCCTAGAACCCGGGACGGCGACGGCCGCGTCCAGTCGAGCATCTCTATAAATCACACAGCCGGTGGACGCCAACTAAGTAAGTCCTTACTGGTATTGAATCTTAGTGCCTGACGAGGCAGCTAACTTGCTTCTGATCAACGCCATCCTCCTCAGGTGGCCCGCCCACAGCCCATCCACTCGGGCCTCCTACTATTCCCATCTTCCCATTCTCGACCTGTAGGCTCGACATGTAGTTGAGCGCACAAATTTCTAGAGTCTGGAACTGTTTTGGCGGCGTTGACTGAGGTCCGAAATGAACACGCCTCAGCCGAGCACTGGGTGGATAAGGTCCATGATGACCTCAAGCTTCATAAAGCAGAATTGATGATGGGTATGAATGATTGAGAGGCGAAGGCAAATGCTGATGCTACTCAAGTCACTGCAACTCTTCCAGCTGTCGAAAGCCATACTCCTCGACCGGCACGAAATGTGCAGGTGGTCCCGCTCCCAGCCACAACGCGACATAGAACAGTTTCGAGCGATCCAGCAGGAACATGAGCGCGTTGAGGATCCAAACGCCCCAGGAAGTCTGCGGATGAAGGGCATTGGGCATGCCAGGCGCAAGCTTGTGTGCAAGCTCGACAGTGGGTCGCATTTTCTCCTCGTACTGTGCAAAAGCGCGGCCGTGGTCGTTTGGGTGTTGCAGGATAGCGCCCGCGAGATTCCATGCGCCTGTCAGGCCGAGCGTGGTACCCATCCCTGAGAAGGGGCTCGCACAATATCTAACCTGGCGTCAGTGAGGGCTGGCGGGATACTGCGAAAGAGGAAAAAGAAGAAGAAAGGGGGTTTAGAACAGGACGCACCCCGCATCACCTAGTAGAGCTACACGACCTTTACTCCAGTTGTCCATCTTAACCTGCGCGATCATATCATAATAGAAGTCCTTCGTCTTCATCATCCCGTCCACTATCCTGTCACACTCCCAGCCGGCATCTTGGAAGAACTCCTTCATCAGCTGCTTCTGCGCCTGGACCTCCTCGCGTCTATTAGTAGCAACCACAGAGAGCCTCTCGTCGGTATCATTGATGAGGGTCATAAACACCGTCACCCTGTCCCTTTGTTCATCCGGCCGGACCATCACACCTCTTCGCCCAGGTGCATGAAACCACCTCCGCCACATGGTATCATTCTGCCCAGCTGCCATGCTGAAAAAGGCACCATACACACCACCAGCGAGCTTCTTCACCACACGATCAGCATGCTGGCCCCAAACCATGCCCCTCGTTGTGCTCTGAAGCCCGTCAGCGCCAACAACGAGGTCAAACCTCCGCCGCTGGCCGCTTTTGGCGAAGTGAACATCCACCTTGTCCCCATCCTGCTCGATACTGTCCAGATGGTCACCCCAAATGAACTCAATCCCCTTCCCTCCCTTGGCTCTCACCTCCTCGCCCACCGTCCTCGCCCTTTGGTACAGGATCTCTGCAAGTGTTCCCCTCAAGATCTCCACGTCAGCAGTGGGCGTCGACATCTTGCCGCTCTTGTCAGCCGAGAATTGAGCCCAGATTCGGTTCTGCATATCCACCAGACGCACGCCCTCCTCCCCCGTTGTCCTTGCTTTGATCTGCTTCTCAATCCCTAGGCGGCGGATGATAGTGATCCCGGCCCCACGGATGTCGATATTCTGGCCTTCTGTCCGCAAGCCCGGCGAGCGCTCGAGGACGGTGATATGCGGTTGCTGATCGGCGGGGAGGTCGGATAGGAGCAAGCAGGTCGCCAGGGCTGGGCCAGCGATGGAGCAGCCTATAATAAGAATGTTTAAGGGAGCCATTGGGTGGACTTATTGAGATTGTATAAAGAGGCACTGATTATTTGCAGAGACAAGCTCACACATACGTGGTGGGACGCCTCGACTTATCTATATACTTAAGTATATAGGACCTATTATGTTAGTAGGGCTCGTCATGAGACTACACTGTACGAAGTGGTTCAGACGTAGGAACGAAGGATCAGATTACAACTTGTCACTCTTCTTACTCTAACGTGGTCTATTGCCTTGGTCCAGCCTGGCAAATTATCGTCAACGTCATCTACGGCATCGTTGTAGGCGCCTACCTAGTGGCTTCGGGCCCGAGATGTCAGCATTTTCGGGCCCGGCGCCTTGACCCTGTAGTTTAGGGCAATCCGCGTCACTACCAAAATCGCTAGGCCCGTAAAATGCCGGAAAGAATCATCGTATTCTCACGGCACAGTCAAGTCCAATCAGCTGGAATTTTCATTTCTAAACTTCCTCTTCGTCATTTTCAATTCGCTGGGTTATTGCTTGCACCCTTCTCGCTCGATCCTCTCCGCATCGTGCACAGCATGGTGCGTACGCGGCGGATCCCGCTGACCATTCTAGACACGACTCCGGCTTAGTCACGACATCTGTGCCCAAAAGTCATCCTCGCTCGGGCCCGAAACTGTCCTTGTAATACGTTGTTCTCCTCGAATCTTCCTCCATGAACTGCGCCGGCCAGGAAATCGCATAGAGAACTGCATTACAATCATTCAGCAATGGCGACTAAACAATCGGAGACGGCCCAGAATTCTCCCTCCGATGCTGCGCATAGAGTCTCGGAGATGATGCCGCCTGCAGCTACCTCGATGCCGTACAACTGCCAGTTATGTGTGAGGCGGAAAGTCAAATGTGACAGAACCGTGCCGACATGTTCATCCTGTGTCAAATCTAAACAAAAATGCGTCTATCAGGCCCCGCCAAAGCCACGAAGGAGGAAGCGTAGGCACGATGAGACTGAAGCTTCCTCCACCCCTGAAGAAGATCTTCATGAGCGCCTCGCTCGTTATGAACACATACTACGAGAAAACGGCCTTCTTGAAGTGGGAGAGGACCAACCACCCGGTGAGACTATGAATAAGGCCAAGTCCCAAACAAAAATCAATCCAGAGCCATCCCATGCGCCAGCGGGACAATTAAACGCCCCTTGCATGCTTGAAAGGCCAGGAAGACTCGTCTCAGGGGACGGGAAATCGCGATACATCGATAGCACGCTTTGGCTTGACACTGGCATGGACGACATACATGAACTTTCCGACGATGCAGAGGGCCCGCATGATCTCAACCTGGGTCCCTCGTCCTTCATGCACAGCTATGATCCGGTCTCTGCCGCCCTACTAGGGATCTCGCAGAACCTTCTCGAGTTCCATCCCAGTCACGAACACGCGATGAAGCTCTGGCAGACCAATGTCCATAACGTGCAGCCGCTCTGCAGGATATTACACGTTCCGACTACAACCCAAATGGTCACCTCGATTTCGAGACAACCGTCAACGGCCACACGGGCACAGGAATGTCAGCTTTTCGCCATATATCATTTTTCCATCTACACCTTGAGCGACGAGGATTGTCTACGTGATTATTCTGAATCACGAAGTGTGTTGTTGACCAGATATGAACATGCCTTGCGGCAGGCGCTCGTCAACGCATCGTGGCTCAAGACCACAGAGATGCCGATCATGCAAGCCTACATGCTGTTCCTGATCTGTGGGCGCTCCTATCTGGATCCACATACGTTTTGGATGCTTACTGGTATCGCGGTCCGCATTGCCCAGCGCATGGGACTGCATCGTGACGCCGAGAGCCTCGGTTTACCTCCCTTTGAGGTTCAAATGCGGCGACGCCTCTTTTGGCAACTGGTCCCTCTCGATGGGTTCGCTGGTCAGCACTCAGGTACCGGCATCAGCATGCCGCCTAACACGTGGGATGTTAAGAAACCGCTGAATCTCGACGATGATCAGATCTATCCTGGCATGACGCAGCAGCCTGAAGAGGTCAAGGGCGCCACTGACATGATATATGTCCTTATGCGAGTGGAGCTCTCAAATTTCTACTCCCGAAAGGCATTGCGTTGGAAATCCGGAGGTGCTGGGCCCAGCGTCCACCTGAGGACAAGTGGGGATGGTATTGAACTGGTCGATCAAGTCGAAGCGGCCATCGAGGACAAGATTCTTCGATACTGCGATGTCATCAGTAAGTATTTCAAGGACATACAACTTTTCTCGGAGATCAACTGTCGAAGCTCAGGCCTCGGGATCAGAACATAATATTAACATACCTGATATTAGACCCTCTTCATTATCTCGTTATGTTAATCGTCAGGTCTGCTGCAAATATAGTGCGCCTACGTATACATATGACGCCTCTGATGAACAGCCACGCGATCAGCGACGCTAGGAGACGCAAACTCTACGAACTTGCACAGAGGATCCTCGATGTAGACAACGCGGTATATCGTCACCCGCAGCTGCAATGCTGGCGGTGGCAGGTCAAGGAGTTTTTTCTCTGGGATGCACTCATCTGTATCCTTACCAGCCTCGCGAAGCCGGGTTTCTTCTCGCGTACAGAACTGGATGCGGCATGGGCCAAGGTGGGCGAGACCCTCACCAACCACCCGGAGATTACCGGATCAAGACGGCCTGTGTATAGTGCTGCTTGGAAGGCCTTGATCGAGGCCTGGGAGGCCAATCCGCCGAGCAACTCAGACCCTGAGCCCAAGTATATCATAGAGTTGAAGCTGAACCGGAGCAAGGTGAAGAGGGTCCCGACAAGCCAGACCCGCGATGTGACGAGTGGAAGATCAGATATTGAGGCCGTGGCACCCCTGGACTCGACCATTTCCAACTGGAACGAGGCCAGCTTGGACACCTTCAGCGGATATAGCCCCGGCGTCGCAGATTGGGTGTTTTGGGACCAATTTTTCCAGAATGCTGTTGCCAATCGTGACTAGCAGTTTACTTGGAGTCTCCTCCAGAATTCTGTACTCAGCAGCTACGAGAGCCTGTCCCTTCCCTCTCTTCAACACACCTCGTCTTGAACCCAACCACAGCCGCAACGCGACGTGCTCGGAAATGCATTGTGCATTTGATGAACAATGGTAAAAAGCTAGGCTGTCAGTGAGCCCTGTAGGGGTGGACTCTGACAAGATTGATTGGTGGCTACTAGCTGAATCACCGGATCGTCTCTAGCTCCTTCACATAGGACAGGAGCACTTGGGGGGAAAAAAATAAGAAGAATGAAGGTATAAGGAGAGGAGGGAGAGTGATGATGCAACCCTACAAATGGAGCGCAATTAAATTACAGGTGATCTTAAGCACAAGGAGGTTGTAATGCAAACGATGCAAATTCACTATGGTTCCATGACCACTTCTTCGGAATGCAACGTACATGGCCTGTGCACCAGCTTATGAGATCTACTGTTGAGGATCGGCTTCTTCCGAAAGCATACCTTGAAGTTCGAAAAAGGGAGGCTAGCTTAGTCACTTTTGAGGGCCTCAAACCCGGCCATTCTCATAGGCTGACATTCGCTAATGATGTGACTGGACGGGCATCGAGCGGTGGGGACAGGCCTTTAGCTGAGCCATGACATCAGAGCTTATGCGACCCCCTGAGCAGCACACCGCGTACCGTAGCTGTTTTCATGCCCCTCCTGGCTCGTGATGGGGTCCTCCAGACGAAGATTTTGGAACTGGAACACAGCAGCAGCAGTGTAAATCACGGAAGTTGATGATAAGTATCGAGACAGCACTTCTAAACACTGAAGACCGACCCACATGTAGAAGCTCGCAGAAGACGACGAGAGTGATTCGTGTCAGTAGACGATTGTTTGGTTAAAGCGGATGTTGAGCTCTGGCCTGGATATCCCCGCTTGTGCCAGCATGCAGACGGTGCGGGGCGGGGCCTGACAGGTTTACTGTAACGGCAATCGTTTGACCTGAGCATGATTTCGGTAGGTCTCAGACCATAGATTGGCTAGGCAAGAGCAGGCCAACAAGGGCCACCAGGCTGACCCAGCCGTCGTGGCGTTGCTGAGGAAGCTACTATGGTGGGCGCCTTACCCCGCGATTTCTCCCTTGATATCATCCTCGTGTTTCTCCTCTTCTCTTTCCTTTCCTCATTCCATTCTCCATCCGCCCCCAGTCAGATCCTGAACAGAAGAAAGACCAGCACTGTCGTCGTCATCATCATCGTCATCACCAAGTACCTCTCTTATCTTCATCACACAATCACAGCAGTACCTTCCAAGGCAGTACGATACCTCCTACACGATGTCTCAACCAGGAGTTTGCCCCGTCGTTGGTACCACCAACTCTGTACTGCCCCCTTCCCATCCCGACGTCGACCTCTCAAAGCCTGGCCAAACCTGCCCTGTCGTCGGCGCAAAGACGGAGCATCATGGCAATCTCCACAAACACCCTTCCGTTCCCGTTCCCGCCGATGCGAAGAACGATGCGACCTCATCTGCCGACGCACAGAAGTGCCCCGCCCTGAAGACCATCGTCGATGAACCCAAGTCAAAGGAGATGGACGACCAGGTATGCCCCGTGGTGGGGCCAGTCACGACGATTCTTCCTCCTCACCATCCTTCCACCGAGGGCCAGCCCGACGACGCTGTCTGCCCCGTCACAAAGGCTCATATGGGGCATCATAAGGGCAAGGTGGCTGAGCATCCGGATGTCCACAATGCTGGTGCCGGTGCGGTGTGCCCTGTTGTCGGCGCCAGATCCTCCTGAAAAAAACAACTGAACAGCCGGACGAAGTGTACAGAAGGGCGGAGGTTTGGAGTGCTCGACATCGGAAATGAACGCATAGGGTAGTAGTGCTGGCATTCAATCCAGTCGCATTCGCTCTCACCTGGAAAGCCCTTCACTTACTTACGTAGGCATTGTTTCCGGTCTTGGCGTGCACTCCCCAGAACATCTTACAATCTGTGCCGGCGGAAGGACATTTGCAAGGCTACTGGGATCTAGTGATACACAGCCTCTCAACAACAAGCTGTCCTCGATGGCCAGAACGTTTGATGTGATGCTTCAAGGTTGTCTATTCAGACAAGCATAGCTTCATAACCAAGAGGCGTCACCGCAAATGCCATCCCATCCACGAGAGCCTCTGGAGTGACATTTTCTATTGTGACCTTACAAACGTGGCTAGTCGCCTTTCATGGCATTCGAGCCGTCCTATTTATACATATGTCAGCCAAAAGAAATGTCTGGTAGTATCTGTCGAAAATGAAAGGGGTTCAACGCGCGGCCTTGAGTAAAAGTACTGGATCGAGAGACAGCGGGCTGGGGTATGGTGTTGAATCCTTCCATATGCGAATTGTGCAGGGTGTGAATTATGCCTCCATGGGTTCGTTGCTGAAGTGAAGCTTGTATTTAGTATTACGCCGAACTTTCGTACATGCTTCTGTCGTGCAATTAGCTTGTGATATGTCGACTGGAAAAAGTAACGAGAACAAAAAGATGGCGAACGCGTAAGCTCCTGGCCTTTTATCCTGATCAGGACACTCAAAGTCGCACACCTTGCTGCAGGGACAGGGACCATGTTCAAACTCTCATATAAACATAATTGGGTCGTCGGTGGACCTCGCCGTCGCTTAATGCAACGGTATAGGCCTTGGTGCTGTTGGAAGGCAGATCGCCCACAGTTTAGAGGACATGGGCTTTATAACCCATCCTTGTAATATGGGGCCGACTTCTTGAACCTTCCGAAAGAGTCACATTACCCTAGCACACATCAAATCCCACCCCCGGAACCTGAACTTCGCAATCAACCCCGGAGTGTGGGGGAGATGCATGCGGCTGGGGATGTCGTGGTAATCTCGACAACATCACTGGTGGATGCAATCTAGCCGACGAGGACCTACAACAACTACCTGCATAATTTATGCAGGCGGCCTCGAAGATGTGCGGTGGCGGCTTCTTAGGTGGTGGAAGGGCGCCATGTGGGCATGTTGTCGTCAACGAGCCCCGATGCGTGCACACATGCAGATCCTGTGGATATTGCGCCAACCATCCTCTGGATAATGTCAACCTCTTCGAACGGCCTCTATTGATTCATCGAGCAGGTGCCAGAGGGGGCAGTCACCATGTACCTCGGATCCGAATCGAACAACCCGCCACAACACTGCTTCTTTGGGCACAACGCATTGCTTTCGCCCCTTGCAGCAGGCTCGGCTCGTAGCTCAAGGTCATTTCGTTGTCCCCATGGGAGTCGAAATATAAAAAGGACAGGAAGGTCGCTTTCCTTTCCGGTGGCTATGTATCATTCATTCAGAGGCACCGAGGCTACTACACTCATTAGAAACAATCATACATGCTATTGAAAAAGAGCAACATGTCGTCCATTCGCTCCTCTCTTATTTTGGCTTGCCTGGCCGCGGCCGGCCTCAGCCCCTTCGCCACCGCTCACCCTGGTGAGAGCCAGGACGTCCATGTCGCTGAGATGAGAGCTCGCGACCTCTATTTGAGGGACCAGGCTCATCTTCGCAAGCGATGTGGCTCTCACCTCCAGGCTCGCGGCCACGAGACGCGGGCCTCTGAGCGTCGCAAGGCCCTCGTTGACAAGCTCCGAGCGGAGCGCGGTATCCACGCCGACAGTAAGTGTCCCATAGTTGTGATAATCACCACAGAAGAAGACTATTTTCCCTACCTAGACTTGGTAGCCAAGTACTGATCCAACATTACTCGAACAGCCCCTTACTATGGGAAGCGCAGCCTCGTTTCGGTTCTTGCCACGGATCATAACGAGACGCTTGTGGACCCCGACGTCGATCTCAGCACTTCCCAAGATGCCGTGTTCGGGGACAACACTTCTTGTCTCCTCTGGCCTTCCATCGAGCCACTGGCTGAAGGACCTTACTGTAAGAACTCGACCTCTAGAAATAATCACGTCGTCGCGGAAATGTGCGTGTATGTGGACGTGGCCATTAATGAGCGACCCCAATATTAGACGTCCGTGATGAGTTGATTCGCCAGAATGGCATCGAGGGTCTCCCCGGCATCAATATGACACTTGATGTCCAGATCATCGACACCAGCACTTGGTAAGTTTATACCGTATCCCTGGTCAAGCACTGTCTGCAAGACACTGACTCTAAGCCGTTCAAAGTGAGCCGGTTGCGAACCAGTACACGGAATTCTGGCAAGCCAACGCGACCGGCGTGTACAGCGGGACTGACAACACCGACAACGGTGACGGCACCGACCCCAGCATCCTGAACACCACCTTCTCCCGCGCTATCTGGCCGACGGATGATGAGGGTGTCGTCCAAGTTGACCTGCTGTTCCCGGGCCACTACGCCCCCCGTGCTACCCACACGCACATCATCGTTCACCAGAACACCACCGTCCTGGCCAACGGCACTCTCGAGTGGGGCGCCGGAACTTTGGACTACGTTGGTCAGATCTTTTATGACCAGGATTTGATCGATGAGGCTGATACCGTCTATCCTGTAAGTACACGCCTAGATGGCATTCTTTGGGGTGTCATTGCAGGTCCAGCTATGCTGTGTGAATCTTGCTCCTTTCTCCGACTCGCCCAAAGCGAGCACTTCAGATTTCGAATATTGACTGTTCCACTAGTACACCGAGAACCCGAACGTGATCAAGCCCAACAGTGAGGACATGGTGATTTCGACTCTTGCTGCTGACGTTGACCCCGTGGCGTGGTACGTGTACCTCGGCGACTCCCTGGCCGATGGTATTGTCGCGTGGGTCACCATTGGTATTGACACCAGCGCGGTCTACGATGTGGAGTATGCTGCCACTTGGACCGCCGATGGTGGTGTCGAGAACCCAGATGCGCCTCAGCCTTAATTGGTAGCAGTGAAAATTGGGGTATTTGGCTGTGGCTTTGTGGAGACGCGCGCCCAACCGGGGTAAAAACGTGGAAGACTCAAAGTATACGGCTGAGTGTACATGATTATGGCATACATTGACTCTATACTACAAAAATGACTAGGTTCATAGCATAACAGTGCTTAAGCTTACCTATCAGAAACTTGTTGCACCTGGAGATGATCTGTAGAGCCCTGCCTTGCTGAGAGAACGCGTCCGTCTTGTTGTCTGATCCGCAGATTTATCTCTGTAAAGTCATTGGGGCACCTTTACACAACTACTTTTCTGATGTTATAGAATAAGTAAACCAATAATGCAGGCCGGAATCAGTCACCCTCACCTGCGCTCAAGGAGAGCATGAATCGCCGGATCATATCCGAACGGAACGGAACAAAGATATCCCCCCCACAACGCCATGTCTCTATCGATACCCCTCAATGATGACAGAGGCTTACAGGCAGCCACTAGGACAGCACACTCGTGTGAGTATTAACATACTGTACTGCTCGCCTCACATTGGTTGAATTGCAGACTGCTTCTCCTAACAGAGTCTACTTTTCTTCATCATTGTACCGACACCTTTATCTGCGCCGCCGCCCTTCGAGACTTGAATAAAATATCAGGCGCACAGCACAAGATGGCGAGTCTTCTCAATTTCGGCGTGATCGGAACCAACTGGATCACCAACAGCTTCGTGCAATCGGCCCACGAAAGCAAGAAATTCAAGCTCGTGGCTGTGTACTCTCGAAGACTTGAGGCAGCACAGAAATTCGTTTCAGAGACTCCCTCCATCTCCGATGCGTCCTCCGTGAAAACTTACGAGGATCTCGACGCACTGCTATCGGACAAATCACTTGACGTGGTGTACATCGCTTCCCCGAATTCCCTGCATTACGCCCAAGGCATCAAGGCCCTGAATGCCGGCAAGCATGTCATCGTGGAGAAGCCTTTCGCCTCCAATCTCAAAGAGTTTGACGAGCTTTGCAAGCTGGCAGACTCCAAGGGCCTCTTCGTGCTTGAGGCATATCGGCACATCCAGGAGCCGAACTTCCTTAAGCTCCAGGCCCTCCTGAACGACCCTGTGAAGAAAGCAGAGAAGTTTGGGCCAATATACGGAGCAAGTGTCAACATGGCAGTGTACTCTTCCCGCTATGCCAAGGTCCTGGAGGGCGAGGAACCCAACGTGCTCTCGCCCAAGTTCTCGGGCGGGAGCCTCTGGGACATGGGATGCTACCCAATCATGTTCACACTCGCCCTGTTTGGCAAGCCTGTGTCGCAGGCATATCATCCAGTCATTATTCGCACTGGCGTTGATGGCGGGGGCCACATTATCATGAGCTATTCTGCCGAGGCGTCGAAGCAGAAGGAGAAGTTCACTGTCCACGCTCATACAAGCAAGATTTACACCTCGACCGCGCCCACCGAGATCTATTGTGAGAAGGGCACAATCCGGGTCAACGGGGCAACAGGCGTTACGGACATCAACACTATAGAGTTTGTGCCTAGTGGTTCCAAGGATGCCGAGCAGTTGGCTGACACAAACCCCGAGTATACGGGCATGCTGAATCTGACGTGGGAGGCGAAGGAGCTGGGACGGATCGTGTCTGAGAACGATAGAGAGGCAGAGAGCGCCTTGAGGAGTTTAAGTCGGGATGTCCTGGAGACCATGGAGGATTTGAGAAGGCAGAATGGTATTGTGTTTGCCAGTGAGCAGTAAGGACGAAGTTTTGGGGATATTCCAGTCTAAATTAGACCAAATACCGATTGATCATCATGTTCTGATACATTTGAGCCAAGCTGCCCAGGGCCGGCAGGGTTCGCAACGTTCATGGAGCTAATGAATGTTGTGCAGTGCGCGTATACCACTTGATCCTGCACTCACTATTCTCGAGGATGCAGTATTTCTAGCCCAAATGGATTTTTGCTAGACATGTCTTGACAATCGGCTTATTTTAGTGAACCATACTGGACGGCCGGACGGTGCGGAGAAAGAGGCGGGAAGCGCTCGACATTCCACACCAGTAGCACTTGGCGCCCAGGACTTGGCAGATGATCTAACCCGGCTCATTTCCACGTTTAACCAGTAGGCTCACTTGGTTGTTGCTAGCAGCGTTAAATAGAATGTGGTTTCGATGGATTCAAGTCGAACGAACCGCGTTAATTTGTTAATACCACGAAGAATCACCTGCGTGTATCGGCGGACGAATCTGAGACTGCCAAGGGCGAAATGGCAATGGCAAGGGCGGCAAAGCAATATTCTGACATCAAGAAATATAATACGTTGTCTCAGCAACCAAGCTGTGATCCCAAGCTGATCTGAGCGACTCGTTAGTTCTTTCTCATCGAATGCCCGGGACTGCCAAGCAACGGCCAAGCAGGCCAAGTCTGCATCGCCTCGTTGTTTGCTTTTTGTGCCCATCTATCCTTGGACAATACGAGTACCTAAGCTTCGAGGAAGTCTCCTGAAGTACGCAGTTGAACTGGCACGGCGTCTCGGTCTCGGACACATCATTAAGTACTTGCACGTAAAGCGCGGAGTCGCTTTTTAGATGGTGATGCAAGCCAAGGCCCAAGAGACGCCCATCTCCTGAGGCCGGGTTTATTATGGCAATTCTGTTCCTTCTGGATTCTGCATACCTCCTCCTTACAGAAATGCTTTCATTTTCTTCAAACTTCTTTCAGCATGTTGCAGAACCTCCGTTGTCTCGGTATTGTCTCTTTCGCCCATGCAGCGACGGCTGCACTGACATTGAACGTGGACGAGCCCCGTATGTGTATCCCATGAAACTCTGTGTCCAATACCTGCCGTCTCGTTTCGGGTCCTGACTGTCACCTTCCAGAGTCCATCAGAGACAATGCAGCTCTTGTCGCCTATGACCTTCTCGCGACCTTCTACCAAGGCAACCAGACTGGCAAAATCCCAGGGATCCTACCCGGCCCTCCTCCAGATGGCGACTACTACTGGTGGCAGGGCGGTGCCTTATGGGGCACGATGGTCGATTATTGGCACTATACGGGCGATGAGTCCTATGTGAACACGACCAAGGAAGCACTGCTGTTTCAGACGGGCCCAGACAACAACTACATGCACCCAAACTGGACGGCTTCGCTGGGGAATGACGATCAAGCATTTTGGGGACTCAGTGCCATGCTCGCTGCAGAGACGTTGTTTCCGGATCCACCAGCAGATGACGCGAGGCAGTGGCTTGCCCTTGCGCAGGCGGTATTTAATACCCAAGCCCATCCAGATAGGCATGACGACACGTGTAACGGTGGACTGAGATGGCAGATTCCGGTCCACAATAATGGATACAATTATAAAAACAGTATGTGTCACTACTCCACACCCCCCATCTTGAATGTCTCTATCGACTAGAATGGCCCGCTGACGTTCGAAACCTTATTAGCTATCTCGAATGCCTGCTTCTTCAACATGGGAGCCCGTCTTGCACGATACACCTCGAACTCATCCTATTACTCTTGGGCATATGATACCTATGACTGGCTCAAGAAGCTGCAGTATATAGACGATGAATACAACGTCTATGACGGAGCACATGTGGGTACGAATTGCACAGATGTCAACAAGGCCCAATTCAGTTACAATGTCGGCATGCTCCTGCAAGGTGCGGCTTTCATGTACAATTATACTGCAGGGCAGACCGACAATACAACAATGAGCAATGGAGAAACGGCATTCTGGGAAGGTGAGGTCAACTCACTGCTGAATGGGACCCTCAGGGTCTTCTTTCCAGATGACATTGCTCACGAGGTCGCCTGCGAGGACGGTGGTACCTGCACGTCAGACATGCTGAGTTTCAAGGGCTATGTGGCGCGTTGGTTGGCGATGACAACGCAGCTGGCACCGTTCACGCGCGACAGGATCATGAAGGTCTTGCGGACGAGTGCCCAAGCAGCAGTCAAGACGTGTACCGGTGGCACCAGTGGGCGTATGTGCGGGTTCAAATGGCATCAGCAAACTTGGGACAACACAATCGGTGCCGGACAGCAGATGAACGTCCTGGCGACGCTGGTAAGCCTCCTAGCCACAAATACCGCAGAGACTGTCGCTGGAGGAGATGGTGGTGCACCAGTGACAAATTCGACGGGCGGAACGAGTACTGGGGACTCGGCGGCTGGATATGGGGACAAGCCATGGGAACAGGTTCTGAAGCCGATTACGGCTGGAGACAAGGCCGGGGCGGCCATACTGACATTTGTGCTATTGTCGTCGTTCACGGCGGCATCTGTATGGGTTAGTCTCGATGATAGTGTGGCGTTCGGCTCATGGGGTTTTGGTAAAGCGTAATTAATGCACAATAATGAAGAAACGAAGTTACAGAGTCTCCCGCTCGAGCATGAACAAAAATATGCCAGGGAAAGAAGACGGCGCAGACCCGATGAGCTACAGGAGGCTGCTGAGAATCATTTATGGCTTCGAATGAGATGTTAACGTGGCTCGCTCATCAAGCCAATAGCGCAATGTGCCTGAGCTCGCTATCAAGTAATGTCAGTACCAGAGAAATAGAAGATATTGAAGATGCTTTAGGTAGATCAACTCACTTTTGCACCTGTTGACCAACTTTCATAGGAGGATACTGAGTCTCCTCGCCCTCGTCTCGACCGAGGTTGAGCTGTTCCACTCTAAGCCGCTTCGCCCGGTCAGAAAGATCCGGGATGGGAGCGAGGTCGAAGTCACTGGAGAGATGCCAGAAGAAAGTGCTTGAGATTCGGATAAGAGGTCGTTCGGAAAAGTCTCTCTTCCTCTTTTCAATCGTCCCAAGTGTCTCCTTATTCACGACAACCTCATGATATCCTGCTTTCACGAGGCCTCCGGTCAGGTGCTCCAACTGCTTTCCTGCCTGTACCAGCAGGTAGTTGCCTGGTGGGATCTTGACGGCTATACGCTTGCCCGTGTTGCGTGCCCAGATGTGCAGTCCCGGATATCGTGAGCGACCATGAATCGTAAGAAAATTCAAATCAGTGTGGAAGCCGGCAAGGATCGTGTTCTCATCTCCGTATTTGCGAAGATCTGATGCGGTCGGAGCCAGGATGTGAGGGCCATACCGGCCTGCGTCGCTGAAAGTCTTTTCGGAGAGTCCCAGCCCAGTCGCCGCCATCTCTGCGAGACCAGCCACCCTGTAAGTAAGGACACATCGTCAGTGTCACAGAGAAGAGAAAATGATACGGAGCTTCATTTCCACTTACGCGTTCTTCATCGATGACCCCCATTGATTCATTGTCGGCTCCCATCTCTCCCTAATGGAGGGTGACTCGGGAACAATATTTTTGGCATTTAAGCCAGGAAATTCAGTCTTGTAAGGCGGGTGTTCAACAATCTTCCAGAAAAATCTGCATTTGGGATCGGGCTGATGGCCGGTAATATCCAGCGGCCTCTGGCTCGGTGCCAGTCGCGCAATAATGTCCAGACATGGCTCGTCGACCGCACACTTGGGCTTTTCCGTATTTTCTAGCGTAGCACCTATCTGGTAACCCAGCTCGGGCCGTTCGTCCTTCTTCAGAGCCTCCTCAGGCTGGGCAAAATAATCCTCGAGGAGATCCAGAAAGTCATTATTATCTTGTTCTGAGACCCGGCTGTCGTGCAAGAGCAGAGCACCATAGGTGATAAGGGCGTCGGCTGCTCGATCACATTCTGCGACAACAGCAGGCGAGTCGTGAGGCTGATCAAGAAAGAGATCGAGGTTGATGATGGGCAACTCCATCGATACGTCGTGGGTGGCGGCCATGAAGGAGGAACCCGAGTGTTTTACGGTTGCGCCCTGATACGATTCTGCCCGGCCGAATTCTGAATTTGTTGTCGTTGGCGATTTCAACTGGCTGCCGCAAGCAAGGCTGTGATGTTCATATGGAACTGGTGTGTTATCTTCACTTGATGATAAGATCTAGCAACTATCATGTGTCAGAGGCGGGGCAACGTGACTCTGTCTTATGATCTTGAACGACCTAACTTGATCAGGTAAGACCTTGTTTTTTTTTTTGTTTTTTTTTTGTTGCTGTGAACCACTGCAATCTAATGGGCTTAAATAGGGCTGATTTGACAGTGAATCCCCCACCATAATCTTCCCTTCAAAGTTGATCAACCGCCCGAAGCAACAATTTTTGATATGACTGGATATTTTCTGGGCTTACTATGCTCTAAGGTTTATTAGATCCAGCTTCAAGACGTAACGATATAAGCTGCATACTTATCTAGTATCGATCAATTTTTATTGTACCAGTCAGAATGACTTGCATGGTTCTTGTTATTAGCCTTGGCCACGGTATGGCATGATCAACGGATCAACTCGCCTGCACTCCTAACATGAGGTTACAGATATGTGTATTACGATCTTTCAGTGACTGACCACAACGACCAGCCAGTAGCAATGTCCGGATCCTGGCTCTCGGCCGAGTCATAGCTGTTGACCTGCCAGAAGCGTCAGGAAACGGGCCACTGATTCGTGGCGCATTATTGTTCGAAGGTACGGCGGTTGCCATCCTTCGAAATGCAACCTCAATTACGTCACGCATAGGCGTCATTATATAAATCGGTGTCTAGAAGAATGTCCTTTCGATCCTTCCACAATGAGTAGAGTTCAAGGGTAGCATCAAGGTTGTCGCTTTGCATTCCACACTGAGATTACCACCAGATGCTCAACAACGATCAGCACCTCGGCCCGTCGAGGTTGCTTTCGGAGAGGAGGAGACTTCCCAAAACGGCCGAAGCGAACATGCGGACGCGTCCACGAATATATGAAGTATGTCGACCCTTGATAGGCTTATTCTTCCCCCGGTTCGACGTGACAATCCCAAATTGTGAAGAGATCAAATTTGATGTATTGAGGTGGAAATCTGCAGACCTATGCAATATATAGGAGGTAACCCTTTACTACGAGTGGCTCAATTCCAGACAAATTTATCCCAAATCACCGCAGCTCCTTTGCCTTGAGCTCTGATATTAGATATCCAGAGCAGCCATGGGGGTGAGAGTTTCTCGAGACGTCAGGGCTGCCCTGATTGGCCTTCCTCTGGCCCAAGCAGCGCTTTACAGTGGAGTTGTTCAGACCGAGTATGGCCCTGTCCAAGGGTACCAGGCCTTCAACGAGAGTCAAGAAGGCCTGTCAGCTAACTGGGCCGACGTCGCTGTGTGGAAGGGAATTCCCTTCGCAGCTACGACAGCAGGTGAGGTTAGTTTGCACGCGCTCTTCCTACGGCCAGCATTCTAAGGTGTGCTGTGTTCGGCTAACATGCCAATGCACAAGAACCGGTGGAGACCTCCCCAAGCGGCCAACCCATGGAACACTACCTTCGATGCAGGCGAATTCGGAAACATCTGCCCTGGTGTCCTCACGGACGCCGGTACGTACACCGTCAGCGAGGACTGCCTGAACCTCAATGTCTGGAGCTCAGCAAACTCGTCCGACGCAAAGCTCCCTGTTGTCATGTGGAGCTGCCCAGCGGAGTCGACAGCTGCTGATTCCGAGTTCAACGGCGGCGGCATGGCTGATGCTGGAGTCGTGTTTGTCAGCTACAACTCTCGCACTGGTGTATTGGGATCACTCGCCACCCCAGAACTATCTGAGGAGCGCTATGAGGCAGTTGGTGTCAACAGCTCTGGAAATTGGGCTATGCTGGATCAACGTAAGTCATCTCTAGTTATTCAAAAAGCAACATTCTTCGTTAGGTAGCTGATTAACTACGGTGTGCAATAATACCAGAGGCCGCATTGAAATGGATTCACGCCAATATCGCCGCCTTTGGTGGTGATCCTGACCATATCACTGTCCAGGGCCAATCCGCGGGATCCGCGGCATCCTACCACGTTGTCAACAGTCCCCTTGTCGCAGGTCTGATTGTCGGGGCAATCATCGAGTCAGGCGTTCGTGACCCTCACGACCCGCTGTGCACCTCGCTTGCGGAAGCTTATGACAATCAGACCACCGCAATAGCACATGGCGAAGAATACCTGACAAGCCTGGGTGTGTCTACCATTGCAGAAGCGCGTAATCTGTCATTGGATACAGTGCTGGCTGCTACTTTTGGCGGCAAAACCGCTGCTATCGACTACTATGCTATGCCCTCGACGTATTTGGAAGAACTTCTCCAAGGTCCAGCAAATGATGTGCCGATCATCACCGGAAACACACGAGATGAGAGCGGTGCGACGTACGATCTCCAGCTCACCTATGCGGAATATTTGCAAGATCTAAACGAAACGTTCTCGGGCGAGTGGTTCGAGAGATTTTTCGAGGCCTACCCTGCGAATGAGAGTGGCAATGCTGGCGTGCCTTACAACGCACAATGGTCTGATCGTTCCAAGGTTGGGACATATTTCTGGACCCTGCTATGGCAAATCAGCGCATCCAGTCCTGTCTACAATTATTACTGGGACCATGCCCCCCCTGGACAAAGTTCGGGGGCGTACCATGAGTCCGAGATCTACTACGCCCTCAACAACCTCTATGCGAATGCTGAGCAGTTTCCCTGGACGGCCGACGATTATGCTATTGCACAAGAACTGAACGGCTACTGGGTCAACTTCATTAAGACTGGCAACCCCAACGGGGGGAATCTGACCTACTGGCCTGCTGCAAGCAACGCCTCGCAGGCGGTCCAGCATGTGGGTGACGGCTGGGGCCAGATCCCCGTCGCTCATGACTACCAGGTCCAGTTGTTCTCGGAGTGGTTTAACACCCTGGTCGCTTACTGAGCGTCTTGTGGGCATGCCCCTGGATTTATTTTTCCTCAAGCGTTCCCGGTGGAGATCGGCAGGCTGGTATTTTGCTCTTTGTGCCTGTTTCCCACCAAGAAGGTTCATCTTATGATTGTTGGGAGATGGAGGGTGTGTCGAATCGGGATCATCTCTCTGCCGGAACCATCTGGGCCCCTTCAGGAAGGATATCGTGGCGGGCAATGGTTGGAACGTGTGTAACGTGTTATTTTTTTCGACTGAATTTATTCATCCACTATTAAGACAAAATGTCAATATATTCCCTTTCCGTGGACACCTGTGAATTCTTTGAGGTTTTCTCCAACCGCAAAGAGAGATGGAAAAAACCGCAAACTATGAAGTAATCTGTGCTTTTGGACTTCTTATCAACAATGCGAACAAAGCAAATCATACGATAATGATGTGCTACATTTTCTCTATGAAGAAAGCTTTTTCGAGGTAGACGGCGATTACTTTCTTCGCAGGGGTATCTGACGGACTACTTCCCTTTCTCATTGGCATTCTGTTATCAGACCCAGCCATTTGAAATACATATGTATCTGGCTCGCATCGGGGCCGCTTTCAATACGACCGCATTGCCGATCTCAAGGCGACATATCAGATACAGATCGTGAAAGCGTGGAGCGAAGTAGCATTACGGAACGGTTACGCACAGACAGTCAACAAGATAATGTTCGCAGGGCAGTACAGATTGCCAGCCAAGAGAGAGAAAGATGTTAAAGTATTTCGGCAAGCTCCGTGATCACCAAATTCGCAGTATCCATGTACATTTGTGTCCTTCTTATACACACGGAGCCTCATAGCTATTTTTAGCGGGGGTTCTGTGGCTGTATACCTTTGGCCCCACACCTTGATGATATTGACCTTCCGACTACCCGTCCTATCCCCTGTCTTGCTGAAAGCGCAGATCAGGTTCTACTCTATCACTAGTAAAGGGGGAGCGGGTATGCGTCAAAGTCGTAGATCCACGTGTCATACGAGGCCTGGTCAAACACACAGTCCATAGTAGTGCCATTGTTGGTCCAGAGGGGCCGGAGAGGCCAAGAGCAGAGCTTTCCAGTTTGTCCCTCGTTGTCACCAGATAGAACAGTGGCATTTAGGAGGACTGGCTCCACTCCATTCTCAACCCAGTCAATCATCACCGCGAGATTGGTCTGGGGGAATGGGCCGTTAGGCTGCTCGCTGTTGGTGGCGCAGTGAGCAGCGCCAGGAACAAGATAGAGGCGATAGAATGCATTTAATGCCTCGCTGGATTCATTCAGGGACATGCCAGGGAACATGATCTTGCGCACGGATTCGCGGTAGTGGACGGATGAAGCTGTTGGGACGCTAGGGTCGGACTCGCCGTGGAAGTGAATGATCTTTCCACCGGACAGCGCGATATCGGTCAGATCGGGATTGTTGACCTGCAGGGTATCTTGGTACTTGGTCCACGCATACTGCATCCAATCGCGGACAGTATCATAAGTTACATTGTCCAGTGACTCGATACTGGAGATGTCGAGAAGCTGGACGAACTTGGCCACGAACTCTCCACCGTTCCCGTCAATGCTCAGGCCCCAAGTGCCGGTGGTAGAGTCGTAGGTAGTCGCGGCATCATCGAAATCGGCACCTGGCTGGTAGGACAGGTAGGCTTGGCGACCTTTGGTATCTTTGAGGCCGTCCAGTATAGTCTGAGCGACCTGGACGCCCAGCTCAGTGACCGTGCCGTTCTGGGCTGGGGTTGTGCTCGTTTGTCGCTTGCCAAATCCAAGACCAATGCTGCTGCTCCCGCTGCTGGCCGTGCAGTAGTAAGCAGCGCCGACCAGGGAACTGATATTGAAGTTCAGCTTGCATAAGTCGCTTCGGGCAATAACACCATCAGACTTTCCGTCCAAGGCATCGCAGGCTCTGATGGTAGCATTCACAATGAGCTCTAGCTCACAAGGAGGAGGGTAGTAGCCCAGGGTCTTCTCGACCACGTTGGAAGTAAGGTGGTTGATTTGCTGCTGGGCGAAACGGAAAGCAGGAGCGCCGACGATGATTCCGTCGTAGTCTGCACCGAAACGTTGCGCCTGAGACCAACCCTCGCGGCCGCCCTCGGAGCAAGACTGATAGTAAGTGTAGATCTTGTCCGTTGTGTTATAGAAGTTCTTGCTGAATTCGCGGCCGATCGTCATCATCTCATGTATGCCCTGATACCCGAACATGTAGGTATTCTGCCAGTTGACGGTTCCATTGGCATCGAGGAACACATCATCAAAAGCCTCGCCGTTGAAACCTCCGTCAGTGAGGCCAGAGGCAGCACCGTACATCACACCACCCGGCAAAGACCCTGTGGTGCTGGAGCCCTCATTGATCTCGTATGCCTCGCCGCCGGTTGTGAGGAACCGGTTCTTGAAGTTGGCCGGTCCCGGCATCCAGTAGGTGACAGCAACAGTGTCATCACGGGCGGTATGAGTGTAGTTGAAGGTGACGACGCAGTAGTCAATGGTAGCAGCCGGGTAGAAGGTGCTGCTGCTGATCGAGACATTGTAGTGAGCCGTCGTGTTGACCGAGGTCGAATCGAGTGAAATGCCCAAAAAGGTGCCATCGGCAGGCAATACGGATTCAACATAGGACGTGGTGCACACATCCCCCAAAGTTGCTGCATTTGCAGCTGCCACGACGGCCGCCGCAGCCAAATGAGTGTCGGCACGCATCCTGGAAACGGACGATTGTAAAGAATGGAAAGGTTGGTCGAATTCTATAGCTCTATAATGAGCCCAGATCCGGTGGGTTTCGATGATGAGTCGGAATGAGAAGTTCAAGAACATTGTTCCTTCTTGGCATCTCTTTGTACTATTATACTTCATGGAGGTCTGGTATGTTGGTCAGCCGTGACAAGGCTGAGTTTAGATCGTGACAGCCCGGCGGTAATGCTGGTTTTCGATACTACGTCAAGGCTTACGCGGTCGAGATTGTCGAATATTTGGCATTGTAGGCGAGTGCTGAAGTAGATACCCACCGACGGCGATGCCAGTATGCCGTTTGCACGCGCTACGGTATTTGCTCGGCCAAAGTCGCGGGTCTTTGCAGAACTTTAACTAAGGGTACCTGTGGACCCTCTCTGGCGTAAATGAATTTCTTTTTTATGCACATCGTGCGGACTTTTTACTTGCTTGTTCCGCATGCATGCCCAAGTACATTTTAAAAAGTCAGATACGGGAAGGCAACGATATGAAGTCTACAAGAGCCGAGTTTTCCGGTGAATGTTATCAAAACTTAAAAAGGATAAGAAACAGACGTGTCGACGGGCTCATCCGTGGAGATGTCACGACTGCGAAACAGGTAAGCAAAAAGGAAAGAGAAGTAGACGAAGAAGAACAGAAACGACATTTCCTCCCAAATTCCAAAATTATTCATAGCATGCTGCACCAACTCAGCCGACAGAGATCTGGACACTCCCACAAAGCTTGTTTTTGCCGTTCATCCGATATGATTCATAGCTTAGTGAGTGCCTCCACCACGTATATTGTGGCAGGACAAGACACTGGACTCCGAGATTGCAGGGTCGAGGAGGGTCTGTCATGCAAGCGTGGACATTGCCGCAGTTGAAGTTCCCCACCTAGTACTGAGCCTCATTCGACTATTTCTGGTCTTATGAGGGATCTAGTGTTCATCCTGACGAACCCATGAAGAATGTTTACTTGGGTACTCGGGCAAGTAGTCAAAAAGGGTTCAGAAAAAGAGCCGGGCTTACGTGGTCCTCGGGAATAGCCGGCCTGCCTCATCTGACCACATGATTGCTCAATGCCTACCGTGGACTGAACGTACTTGAGCCTCAGGGTTAGCGCAGGCAGTGTTGAACTTTCTGTGAGACAGAAAGCCGGACGCGACAAGTTCTCGTTGCAAATCCTAGCATGCTGCGGACCCCGATGAGGGTATCGAAGGCCTCCATAGTCTATAGGATATCTTGATTTTAAGGTACGTCATCTCGCATTTGCAGATTGTTCCTGTGCGTGTGCGCCATGCCTGCAGGTTACCATCTGCTAGGAGTCTCATGGCCTGACTGCCTGAAGAGGTTGAAATTCCACGCTCTCGAATGAAGGAAGATTTCAATCCAGATCAGAATCATCAGCAAGTAATTTTTCTCGCAGAAGTTGAGAAAAACAAGAAGAAGAGAGAAGAAATCCGACATCCAGAAACCCTTCGTCTCTGAAACGATTACGGCCTTATGGTTTGGTTTATTCAAAGGCCTTGGCGGATCGCGGAGGTCAAACAATCGCGCACCTTTTGGCATTGGGCCTCATATTCTGTTGTAATCACACATATTTGATCCTGAAGATATACATTATTTTTCGTTTTCTTTTACTGACATGCAACAAAAAGAGCTTAAGATTTCGAATTTCTTTCGTCCCCTGAAGACACTAGGTAACACATGCGGCGGTTGGGATTGTCTTGTGAAGGTCTATAATTCTTGTGAACTACCTTCATGGTCTTGGTTTACTCCCTAGCGCCAATTAGCTCCTCTTCCAGTTGGTAATGGATCAGTATCGCCCGGCTTCAAATTTGCCTTGGTGCGTAAACTGAGTGTTGCAGGTCAGGAAGCGATCAAACAAACAACGGACAAGACTACAAAGATAGTGATGAATACGGCAGGAGCGACGCTCGTGAGCATGTCAATGTCTTTTGAATTCATCTTCTGCGGATCATCTGCTAGTCTCGAGTCGTCACCCTAGACCATTTCGTGTTCATCTTCGACTCACGTCTCTGCAAATCCTCCGACCCTCCAGATCTGAAGGAGTTCGACCATCTCATGTCTCTGACTGTCAAACTATTTCATCAACCGGGGCTACTAGGAAGGTATGCCTCATTAACACAGTGGGCTCATCTCACAAGACTTGCCTGAGATTCTCGTCCAGCAGCCTAGGCTGCGTCATTTCACTTTAAATATGCCCGTTCCCGTTGAGGCTTTCGATAACCCACACCGCTTTCACAATAGTCACGATGAGGATATGCTGTACGCTCTGGGGGACACTAGTCTCGAACAGCTACTAGCATTGGAGAGCTTCGAGCTGCAAGGGACTTTGTGCTCTCTGAAATGGTGGCAAAAGTCGCAGCACTGTCAATGAGACAGACTGATCTCCGTTGAGACCAGGATAGTGACATCAGAGCTGAGTTTATGAAAAGTTTGAACAATGTGTCAACAGCTCAGAGGCTCGTTAGTCTGCTCTCAGAATTATATGAGAGGATGCTTTTACCTTATTTTCTCCAATATGGAGTGGGAAGAATGGATGAGGATTATTCAGTGATGATGGAAAGAATGCCCATCAGTCTGCACTGTATCAAATTCTGCCCCTTGTTATATATAACCAATTAGAACCTAGGACCTGAGCAAGGGCAACCTCTGTTTGCTCAGCCCGAGGCGTTAGATGATGCTAAATGTCTGGCCACCCCCCCTGTTGCCATCTAAAGCCTCACCCTGCATGATTCCATGCACATAACACTCTCCGACAAGAAGGTACCTTTCGCCCCAGGGTCGAAGACAGAAGGGCAATTTACCCCCAAATAAAACGCATATAATATCTCCCTCCTTCATGACCTTGGGCCCCAAGACGTACCTCCCCCTCTTTGTTCTGGCAAATACCCTGTTGCCCGACGCTCCGTTGGCCGCACGAGCCCATTTATATTCGTCGCCTGCTTTTGCGAGTTGACGTATCCCCTCATGTACCGTGCAAGTCCTGCCAGCTGCCACGGAGATATATGCTGCACTATGGGCAAGCCACTCGTCTCTTGCTGCAGAACCTGCTAGTCCATCTTGCCAGGCAAGAGCAACGCAGCCATTGCTTAGAGTTTGAGTGTATGCAAAGACTGCAGAGTCTCCGTTGACGTATGGAATCTTCAGATCGAAGTCACTGTGACCACATATTTCACGCCATACTCTTTCGATAGATTGTGGCCAGATTGCGCCATCAACGTGGAAGTGCCTTGGTTCGAAAGGCACAGCGCAGACCTTGACGGTATCCACATGCAAGCCCTTTGCATAAAGAGTCTTGGAGTTTCCGTCCACGACAAGATCTGGGCGTATTCCTCGGCTGGCGTCGTGTGAGGTCGTGGGCTCATAAAGGATATGCGACTGATAGATTCGCCAATCCGGCACCCATGTCGGTAAGGCGAGCCGTTCTTCAGGACCAGGCACCTCTGACAGAGGGGAATGAGATGGGAGCTCGACATGCTGGACAGCTGCGAGGGTGATCATTCCCTCATCACCCCCTTTCAGAGATCTGATGGAGACATCGCAATACACATCCTCGACCGAAGTAGCATAATTAGCCACTACTCCACGGATTTGCGCGTTTTGATACGCCGAAAAATGACCAAGGAAAGCGAATACTCGATCTCGCGGATCGGTGGCCCCAAGATGCCGGGCGCGGTGCAGCTCGTATATGAAGTTATAGCGATTTGCGTGACGACTTTCCTTATCGGGTTGCACGTATCGATAGTACAAGTATTTGATCTTAGCCGTCTGTATGTTGACCTGTTTCCTCAGGTGATGATACTCTGTGAGGTCCCTACAAACCGAGTGTAGAAGATCCCATTCCATGGTTCCCTCGCCCCAGAAAAGGGTTGCTGGTGTCCGGGTGCCTATCTCCTGAATAATCCAGACCCGACCGAACTGTCCAGGTTTAGTGCCAACGGCCAAAGGCAACGAATTTTTTCCTATGAAAGGGTTGGCTTACCCAAGGTCTGGTCGTCAAAGCTCGAATGGAGGCCCACTGGTCGTCGCTTAAAGCGTTACTGTCAATCTGGTGATCCTTGATGATCTGTGAAAGGTGCTGAATGGAAGTGAATGAACTCGGGGCTATGGATTCCTTGTCTTCACCAAGCCACACTAGGATTCGAGCTGCATTCCGGTATATACCATCCATAAACTTCACTTGCTGACTTCTTTCTTCCACGTCGTCCTGGTTGATACAGACTTGATCTGCCCAGATGCGTCTTGGACCTGTCAACAGCCTGACTCTTTTCAGTGCCATGAATAGGCTCCTAGTAAGGAGGATGGGGGCGCCGTTGCAAACCATGGCGAAATCTCGGCTAGGAGAGCCCCATACGTATGAGATGGCTTCGTATTCCCCAGCCGCGCCGCTGTCGACTGTTTCCAATTCGCCTTGGAGGACATCGTCGGGACCTCCAGGACTCAAGATCAATACCCGGAAAGAATTGTTGAGCTTCAACGAGTCATACTGAAAGAGGTCCATGTTGGAGGTTTTCGGTATCTCAAATTCCAAGTTGATTCCGGTTTGGTACTGCCTACGACGATATGTGCACAGCGGTTGAATCCTGATTATATTAGCGCGGCAAAGGATGGTCCGGAGGATTCCCGTTTTTCCTTGCTGGATCAGGCTTTGTGGGCCTTTTCATGCGGGGGCGTAAGCAGAATGGCACGAAGGATTGCGGGTTCGCAGATCACAGTTTCACACGACTAGTCACGTTGGTAAATATCTACAATGCCTTATCACAACAGATCCACTTCTACGCATCAGAAAACCTGCATGTGCGGCTGAAGCTGTTATTTGAGGCGCGAGGTACGACTTCAGCAAAATTTGCATATCTTGCCAATCTTCAAATCTCTTTTGTTGCCGTTGCGCTTCGAACAGCATTCTTCTTTTTCCAACAATAGTCTCCACCAAAAGTTCCTCATCATCTAACATCAGATCGAGACAAGCAATGACGACTCTGCAAGGCATGACCCAGGAAGACCAAGTCTTCGAACAGTGTCTGCGGGATTTCAAGCGAGAGTTTTACAGCCGGGAAAGTCGTCTGGATGCGCATATGAAGGAAGCGAAGAGGATCATTGAATCCGGTAGAGGGAACATTCCTGGTCTCAGCAAAGGATTCAATGTCCGGCACTTTCCTATCAGCGCCAGACGAAAAGAAGACAACAAAGCTCTGAGAACCTTGCGCCGACGACAGAAAGAACGTGTTCAGCTCAAAACTCTAAGAGCTAGAGTCATGGCCCGCCGGGTCGAGACTGGCCAACACGACGCCTGGGAAAGCTACTGCAGAAGATGGAACATGGAGGACAAAATCAACGAAGTGATCCCGTTCACAGATATGGACGAGGATTGCCGCATTGATGCAATGTTTGATGCCATGCCTGACCTTGCGGGGCTTCGTATCTCCTTGTACTTCCCAGGAGATGTCGATAAAGTCATTGTCTTCCTCAAGGATAACTTTGAGATTGTCCAGGGCCCGAGTCGAAAGGGGGGTCTCTCACGACAATTCCAAACCATCAGAAAGCTAGTGGAGCAGGAGGAGAACACGAATATACCCACGGGCCCCGAGCAAGGTGCCTTGATGAATGGAGCCAATCAGGACCATTCCTGGCAATCAACATTCGCTGGCTACAAGGCAACTCATGTCATTGTTCGGATGAAAGAGGGTTATCATTTCGATGATTTTACGAGAGGAGACAAGCCTACGAATATTGAGATCCAAATTGGGAGCATCATCATGCACGCCTGGTCCGATATTGAGCACGACATTCTTTACAAGCCCTCCGAAGGCGAAACAGTATCTGACGATGTGACTCGCATGCTGGATCTTATCAACGGTATTGTCATAACCGGGGAGGTTGCGCTCCAACAACTTGGTGCCGTTGCTGCCTCGGAAGCCAACGCGCGTGAGCAAGAGAGGAAGAAAGAAGCACAAGACTTTACCTACCTCCCAGTATGGCTCGACAACTACTTTGCAGATAAACCCAACACCAAACATTTCAAGCGGGACTATGAATGGAGCGGTACAAGATGCCTCCATCTTCTTCTCAAAGCTTCGAACAATCACAATTTTGGAAGACTGGAACAGCTGCTGAACAGTATGGAAGATGTAACTCCAGATGCTTCCCTCCCCCTCAGGATTCAGGCTCTTTTGGGTGCCGACCAGTGGCCGATAGAGCACACCAATCTCTGGACCAAACATAATGATTCAGCACTACAACTCGCGTGGACTGCAAGATACTGGGTCACATGTCTGAACCACACTGCGACTATGGCACTTTTTCTTGGGCGCCAGAGTTTGATTACTCAATACTTACCATCTCGCTCAAACGAATTTTTGAGCGAGTTCGGGAAGGCCAAAAATACTTTGCCAACGTTTGCAGAATATCTGGACATTTTGCATCCCCGGTACCCTCACTACAAGCGAGACTTGAGCAGGACGATGATGATCATTGACTTTTGTCAATACTTGCTGAAGTCAATCATTCCTACTGGTAAGACATTTTGTTTCCTTCGGCTTGAAAACCAGTATAAGATTTTCAGATGAACTCGATCCAGTATACTGACATTAATGCAGACACGATCACTGATCAAATTCATTATAATGCGCTTCATATCACCAAAGCTGGTTATGTTGCGCGACCACGCCTTTCGGATGAGGAGGAACGGAATCTGAGCGAGGACACCGTCGTTGTATCATTTCTGTTGAAGTGGCTAACCCCCGAACCTTCTGTATTTGTCGGTTTGGCAATTTCCGAGGTACGAGCTTCGAGAATCTCCTTTCCATTTTTCTTCCTTTGGATACTGACGTCCATTGCTGCAGGTGGACCCGGACCTCAAGTGTGGCAGCAATGAGAGCACCTCCCAATTATTCTTCGTGCCACAATCTTCAGCCGACGATGACTTCACATGGAAAGCCACGAAGGCTCGCCAAATGGGTCTCTTTGATGTCAACATGGTCACGTTCGACATGAACTCCTCTTTGAAGTTCGGAGTCAGAAACGCCATATGGACCCAGCACATCTGCGAGCTACTTGGAGCCGACCTGACCAATGTCCAAGCTTTGAATGATTTGGTTTACGCAGAAAAGGGGCTTGCACTAGCTGGTCCTAGGCAATCAACTGACTGGGCAACCATATGGCCACTCAAAGGTATAACCCTATCACTGGGCACTGTGGAGAAAGATAGGGTTGCTGAATTTCTCGACGTATCCCGGAGACTTGGTGTCAAAGGGCCACTGGCCAATCGCGTACTGGCCACTCAAGTGAAGGCATTACAGACGACAGACACTGGCCAACTGGAAGTTTTCCGAAAACTTGCTCAGAGACTTAAGGTTGAGGATTTGAAGGAGCAGGAGGACCTGGCCAAGTTGTTCCCATGGATGTGTAGCTTAAATGAACAAGACGTCATGGAAAAGTGGGAGTCTGCAAAGATGCTCGGGATCTATGACTCTGAAGAGCTTCAAGAAAGGTTAAAAAGTCACGTGCTCGAAGGGCTTGAAGGGATTGTGGAATAGGAGGGAGCGGGCAAGCAGTGAATACTTAAGTACTTGTGGTGTTGTGGTGGCTAGTATGGTGATTAGACTTCAGGGCGAGGAGGGCAGTTGGAATCTGAGCTACCGTACAGTTGTAAAGGGCCATGGTTCTCGAATGGCATCAGACAGAGAATGACAACAGACGATCCCGTGACCTCTTTTGATTTTGAGCTCTTTTGGCATATCTAAGACACATTTCACACCCTGTCTCTGCGTCTTCATGCTTTTTGTCGTCTCCCACACGCCCACCCTACCCAGACAGTATATCAAGATAGATATTCTTTAAAATTGTCAATCCCATCTTTTATGTATGTATTAACAGGTTGCGTTGTCCGACATTTTGTGTGAGAGTATATACCTTGAACGCTCAGCATGGAGTCTCAATGCCACCGTCCAGGTATTTGAAATTTGAACTTAGCGGCTATTTTTGCCGGGTCTGACCATGTCTCAATAATATGCCGGTCCCTCTTTTCACAATCTTCCTGTCCAGTTGTAACAACACGAAGTCGACCGTTATGTCTCGCTGCCCGGACCAAGGCTGCTGTGCGTGGTCCTCGTTCTTGGGAAAATGCTGCAAAAATTCCCTCCAAAGTGTCAATGTCAAATTTACCGTCTGAACCGATGTCTGGCAAAGCGCTGCCTAACCGGTAGCAATCCTCCAAAGCCTGATTGGCGCCCTGACCTAAATGCGGGCTCGCTGCAGCAGTAGTTGTCAGTGGATAACAGAAAGGATAGCCAGGAGATGGCCCAATACTAAGTATATAGGGCACTTACTTGGATGAGCGGCGTCTCCGACCAACACCACACGCCTACCATGCCAGAGCTGCGGAGCGAGCTCGTCGCGGTCATACAGACCAAATTTCACCAGCCTCTCCGCGGTCGCGAACATCTCCTGGACACAAGGCTCAAACTGCGCCACGCCTCCCGGACCTGACGATGCTAAAAGGCTTCTTTGCGCAGCCTCTCGCTCGTTTGAATTGTAGAGATGCCACGATTCCTTGGTGCCCTCCTCCTCGGCTCGGGTAATGGCCCAGGAGCTGTGGCTGGCGTTGATGGTGTAGGAGACGACATGAATGGCATCGCCATACCAGTTCCGCAACCCAGGTCCCATGGCGGCGATCTTCTCGGGTGTGCGAGTAATGCCCGCGGTTTGGGTCATGCCGGTGTAGGTAGCTGGAGGATGTTCAGGGTCAAGTCCTTTGGTTTTCAATAGAGCAGCGCGGGTACTAGAGTGAAGACCGTCGCAACCGAGGATGAATTCTCCCGATACCGTCTCGCCATTAGAGAAGAACGCTGTAGCCCCGGAATCGTTCTCGGAGAACCCAGTCAGGGACCAGTGCTCGCGGAGCTCTATGTTCTCCTCATGTAGACGCTCACTCAGCCTTTTGCTGAGTGCCGTGCGTGAAATCCCACAGGCCTCATAGTCGTACTTAGCTTTGTACGAGCTGGGAAGGTCTGACTGGCCGAGAAGCGTGCCGTCGGCCTTGAATTCCTGAAACACCTTCAGACCTTCTGCTGTGGCGTAAATCCAGTCGGCGACCGCCACGGAAGGGAGACCGAGTACGTGGATACCATTGGGCATAAGACTGAGTGTGGCACCGACTTCACCTATCATACTGTGTTTCTCAAAGACAATGGGGCTGTAACCTTTCTCCTTGAGTATAAGAGCTAGGACGGCCCCGGCGACACCACCGCCAATGACAAGAACCTTTGGACTGGCCATCGAGTTGCGACTGTTTTCTTAAGGCATTGGTTGGTAATCCTAGGTGTGTCGAGCATCTTCGCTTGGGTAGGTCCTTTTACTCTGGCTTTGGCGGATTTTAAATAAATAATTACGCACGTGGATTAATTGCCCATAATTAGGTCCATGCTAGAATACCGCGGATCATCCGCATCTTCATTTACTTAAATATGCAGCCAGGCGGTGCTTGTCCACCAAATAGTATACGCTATGACATAGTGGAGCACCATCATGCGAGGCCGCGGAGCATCCACGGAAGCCGGATATAAGTTGAGAAGCAATTTTATGGTCTAAGGGTTGAACTTCCTCTGCACAAGTGGGACGTTACGAGCTATGTACGTAAGCCCCTTGAAAACCTTCGTCCCTTTGCCGAGTTATATGCCACCTAATTCTGCGGGAATATTGAAAACGCTAAACACCAGCCAGTGCTTATCGAAATTACATGATCAGTACATTTCGTAACGCCACCCAAGATCAACCATTTCCTGCGTCACACCCCTCTTGACCACCTTCGCAATCTGCTCTGGATCGCCAGAGTCCAAGCGTTTGTTATCGCGCAGGACAAGCCATCGATAAACAGTAATCGTGAGTGCGAATAAAGCTGCGCAACCCATCAAAGTCCCAAAGGCAGCGTAAAACCGCGGGCCCGCATAGTATAAGTAGGACGCCCAAATATTCGAAGTTCCACCAATGGCGTTGACTAGAGCCGATGCCGCGGCACGCTTCGAAATAGGCCGGGCAAGGTGAAGATTGATCGTCTTGTACATGAGGATTTGTGGGCCGACAGAAGAGAAGGGCAAGACCATCATGCTGAAGTAGCGCGCGCCCACGTTCTCGGTTGCCATGGGAATGATATACATCACCATGGCAATCGAAATGCACCCAATGATGATTGGATACACAGTGTTCTTGCGATCCGAATAGTAGGTGATCCCATAGTAGATGAAGCCGGCAAGAATGTATGGAGGAGCGGTGAGAAGGAGGCTGAGGGTGCTTGAGTAGCCAAGAGAGTCGACGAGTGTTGGGAAATAGTTGGCTATCGAACCTTGTGCCTGGGACATCATGTTGCAGAAGATGAGAAGCAACATCTTTGGGTCGGACAGAGCATCGAGAAAGCCTTTCAGTACACTCTCTTTCTCTCTACCCTCAGCGGCTCCAGCCTCAGACTCCATCCGCCAGACTGCGAGGTCTCGTTCTTCCTGCGAAAGCATGCGACTGTTGTGTGGGAACTCCGGCATGATGCAAGCACAGACAGCACCAATTCCGACGGTGGCGCTGCCTTCGATAATGAACAGCCACCTGTTTGCTCGTTGGTTAGAATAGCTTCTGACCGCTATAAAGACGTCCAGGGCAAATTGACTGCTTCGAAAAAGGCCACTGGAGTCTGGAAAGTTGAAAGACAAATAATAAATGTAAAGGAAAAAAGAAGAACACTTACTGCCAGCCTGCTATACCATGCGCTCCGTCTAGTTGAAGGATGGCGGCAGCAAAGAGGCCTCCAAACGCATTACCCACTTGTTGAGCAATATAAAGCCCAGCCAGGCGCTTGCCAAGCTCTTTCTTAGTGTACCATGCCGACAGGTAGTATACTGCTCCGGGGAAGAAGACTGCCTCGACGATTCCAAGAATGGCACGGACGGCAAGGAGTTGATTATAGGTTTTGACCGCCGACGTAGCCGCCGAAATTGCTCCCCAGATCACCACAGCGAGACAGATGTACATGCCCGGCCGCGCAATCCTCGTGATCAGAAGATTGCTGGGAATTTGAAATGGCAAATACCCCACGAAGAGGATCGATACGGCCGTGGCAAACTGTTGAGTGGTCATGTCAAGGTCCTCCATGATCCCTTGAAGTTTGGCAGCCGAGAGGTTCTGACGGTCGATGTAGTTCAAAATGTACAATATACCGATCGGTGGGAGAACTGTAAACAAAGCAATTCCACGGTTAGCATGAAGCCTGAGCATGTAACCTCGACAGGAGGTGTTGGATGTGATGAAGGCGACCCATAATTGACCTAGATCGTCGTGCAATATGAAATGCAATGTGGTTTGAATAACATCGCAAACAAGAAAAAAAAAGAAAATAACTAACTGAAGAGATCCATCTTGCGTACAAGTTTCTTTGTACGAATTGCAATTTCCTGATTCTCTAGATCGCGCAGAGAATCGGGTTTGACCTTGCTGGCTGCATTTTGGTCGTCATATTGGCCCTCACGAACCGACATGTGGTCCTCATTGTCATGAGACACTGGCTTCTTGTCGATGTCCATCGTTAAGGTATGAACACTGCTAATGAACAGAGGTGAGGCTTTCCCTCGAGCAAGCAAGAGTAAGACGAGGGCAGATCAGGATACGGGGGCAAACAGTGAATGCAGTGTTACTCGGGAATCTTGCACATCCCCACAGACATGAGGACGAGCTGGACTTTTTCAAGATTTGACAGCTCAATGAGCAGGTTGGTCCTTGGATTACATTACAAGCCTTGTCTTTGGACCAACTTACTGGAGCACAAGGCTAGATACCAGGGGCCTTGTGATAGAGCTGCGAGATTGGCTCCCGTATGCAAGATAAAGCCCCTTGATAGATAAGCGCACAAGCGTGGACAGATTGAGTTGGGAGGAGCTCCTCCTGGCCGGATCCCAGTCAAGTTGCCGGCTGCAGAGAACAACGCGCTAATCTGAATTCTACTGCTGCCGACTCGCATCTTGGCTGAAAAGTACCAGGTAATTTGTATTGGTCATTTTGTCCGGCAGTGTTGATGGTGCTCCTCTGTGCTCCTCCCTGGGGCGTGTTGCAGTTGCTGATGGACACAATGAGTATATTCTCACATGCAGCTACTCTCGTGGAGCACTCATTATCTGGATAGATAAAAGGCAGCATTGGCAAGCCATACTGCATAGGATGTTGGCCAAATTCAGACAACCAAAGCCGACCTTTTGTGTAGCCACATCCATTCTTTTTGTCAGTCGCCCTTTGCAGCCAGTATACTTTCCCCCCAGAAAACGGCAAAATGTCAGCACCAACAGCACAATATCCCACCGCCCAGACAACGCAGGTCCAGAACTCTCGTCTGAGGCTACTCAATGGCCTGAGGACTGGGCAGTACCCACTCATGACCTTTTTGGCTATCCCCTCAGTACGCCAGGCGCAAATTGTTTCTCTGTGTGGTTTCGACGGCATCATTATAGACTGCGAGCATGGCCACATTGGAGATGAGGCGATGCACAACTCGGTCGCCGCCATCTCCGCATTGGGAGTGTCGCCAGTCATTCGCATCCGTGGGCCTGCCCACGACATCATCAAGCGGGCGCTCGATACCGGCGCCCACGGTATCATGGTGCCACAAATCAACACGGCTGAGGAAGCCGCGCAGATTGTGGCATCCTCCAAGTTCCCACCTCAGGGCGTGCGTGGCCAGGGCTCCGCATTCCCCGCTATCGGATACGGTCTCACAACGCCTGAGTACATGAAGGTTGCCAACGAGACCCTGGTGACTATGATCCAGATTGAGACGCGCGCCGGTGTCGAGAATGTCGAGGCTATCTGCGCCGTACCGGGTGTTGACATGGTATTCATTGGCCCCAACGACCTAGCTCAGTCCCTGCTCGGCTATACCCCTGCTAGAGGTGACGAACCGGAATTTGTCGCCGCATTGGATAAGATCGTGGCAGCAGGGCGGAAATATGGCAAGTGGGTTGGGCGAATGGTGAACAACGGCACTGTGGCGAAGGATGTTCGGGGGACCTTTGACACCGTGGCAATAACTGGTGACACGAAGGCGATACAAAACTGGTACATATCTGAAATTGACCTGGCTAAGTCTTGACAAGGCCAGGGGCAAGGGGAATGAATGGGAGGGAGAATAATACCTCTTTCTTCCGGGATATACCAATTCAGGGGTCTATTGATCTTTGTAACTACTGCATGTGCTATAGCCACTTCGGCAACATAATCAAGGGACACCTGCACCAACTATTAAAAAGTATTACGGGGACGACGTTCTCTAAATGGAGATCCCTTGAGGGACTCTCACTATTTGCTAGTTGTGATAGTAGGGAGCATGGCCTCTGTATCGTGTCACCGATGGTCCACTTGCAGAGCTAGCAACGCTACAGTGGCCTTAAAGATATACATTATCATGCAGTAGCTATGAAGCTTCTTGAAACCCTCCCATATTTGCTTGGTAGTGTTAGAGACGCCTGACTGCTCAAAGTTAGGCTAAAAGGCCAAGAAGAAAACAGCCTCGGTATTAGCGGTATTGCGAAATCCAGTTGTAAAGAACATTGTGCAGGCGTGGCCGGTTCCTGCTTGGGTGTAGATTTATAGGTACATGGTACATCACAAACTTATTCATGTACCCCTGGGCCTGGCTAAGGCTCGCACCATGTTTAAAAAGAAGCAGATCTCATCACCACTGGGATTCTGCTGTGTTCTTCTAGCTGATCGTCATTCAGGAACCCTCTATGGAAAGATAGCTGTGTAGTGAGCCAATGGATTCTTGCTCCGATAGGAGGGAGACAGGTACGGCCTTGAGGTAAAGATGATTTTGGTGCCATCTTGATAAGTGCTGCGACATGGTAGAACAGGGTCCGCACGTTTCGGCCGATGTGGCGATGTTAGCAACACTTGGTCGTGCAATAAAAAAACATCACGCTTCAGATATTTCATTGCACAGCAAACGGGTGCTTGTGGTCTTGAGTTCATATTTAAATGAGGTTTAGAGTTGATGTAACCTCCTGCAACTGCTCAGCATCTACGCTTGTGCAATGCACTCGATTTCAATGACAGTGCCATCTCCTGGTGGGATTGCCTGGAGGCATGATCGAGACGGCATGGGCTTAGGCAGGAAGTCTATGTACACCTCATTCATAGCTGCAAAATCCTTCATATCCGCCAAGTACACATTATACTTGACCACCTTGTCTAGGCTCGACCCTGCAAGCTCCAAAACCTCCTTGAGATTCTGCAGAACAGTCCTCTTTTTGACTCAACTGTTAGTAGTGTGTACACGTGTAATCTTGGGCTGATGAAACCAACCGTGGCCTGCTTAATCTCTCCAGTAGCTGTTTGGCCGGCGCAAAAGACAAGCCCGGGAACCTTGACTGCGGGGCCTGGGGAAGGAGGAAGAGAAAAGGTCAGCTAACGATTATGGACGTCTCGAAATGGATAGTCTTGTTGCGGTCACATACAGTTGTGCGGCTTGGGAGGGAACTTTTCGCTTGAGATGAGCTCGCGAGACATTGCTGCTGATGATCCTAGGACAGGGGTAAAAAAGAAGGGGGGAGGGGGACAAAGGTGTGGACTGGCGTGTGTTGATTGTGCGAAGTTCCCGATTGAGAATTGTATACCATGTATATTTGATGAACCTGCTGACGAATATATTGCCGATTTGGACACGTTCCACGTCCTTTTATCCCTTCGAATCATAATCATGGATCTATGGAGCAAGACGTTGTGCTCCATGCAAGTTCACAGGAATGAGGAGCTCTATCAGGTGGATGACCCACTGCCCTAGCCGTAATCCTTGTCATCGGGTGGGAGGAGCTCCTCCCGTGCCACCTCTCTTACGAATATGGACAAGCTCAAAGCTTCAAACCTTATGCCGTACACACTAATTAGACAAATGGTCGAAACGCAGCCCACTGTTGATGCAAGATACCTTATCGGTCCTGGACCAGCCATGATAGAGGAGCTCTCAGGAGGAGCAGCCTGCGAGGCTGAATAAGTGGGGCGACAAGATGAGGCTGCAGCGGAGCAACAAAGTGATGCCGTGAAGAAGCAGTCGGCAAGGGCGGAGCACGGCTGTCAACGGTGCGGACGCGAGGAGTGTCACATCAATAGATTGGACATCTCGATCATCCATCCCAGCGAAGATACGGATGATACGATGGCCATGGAGGAGGGCGTCGGCGGAACTCTATGCTGTCGAGTTCTGTCTATCGTACGACAGCGTTGATCCAGGGTTGCTCCTCCACACGACGCTCCTATACTGTGATTTGCCATTTGCCGAATCTTTCCATGAAGTCCCGAAAAACATATATGGCGCTCGCTGGCTTCACTCATTCTATCTGCTATCAAAGATAACCAGCCAAGTTCACAACTCGAACCAAACACAATCCACTTGTACATCCCTGGTTCATACGCGACTCACATACACCAAACCATCATGGCCCCTGCCGCTCCATTCAACCCGCCTGCAGCCGACCTCCCAGGCAAGCCTTTTGTGCCGGCCTGGAGGATCCCACCTGCCACCCAAGAGAAGCACAATTTTGCCGAGCTGACATCGATTGACTTGTCATTGCTCGATTCCGACGACACAGCCGCCGTCAACAACCTCGTCCAGCAGGTCAAGAGGGCCATTCGTGAAGATGGATTCCTCTTCATTGAGAATTATGGTGTCTCCATTGAGCAGGTAAGAGCGAGAAAGGCAAACAATCAATCACAATGTAAAATCAATGTCGCTAACGCCGCTGCTGCCTCTCAGCTCCACCGCCAATTCGCCCTAGCCCAGTACCTTTACGACCACATCACAGAGGAGGACAAGGAACGACTTCTTTTCGATCCCGATACAGGGAGGTGGTCCGGATACAAGCATCCCTATGGTTTCAAGGTAAAAAATATCGTATCCCTTTGGTCATGGGGCGGCAAGGTGCTGATTTGACACCCCTTCAGCGTACGCGTGGCGCGGCCGACGGCATCGAGCAATTCAACTGGTACCCACGGGAGTGGGCAGACCGCAGCCGCATCCCCACTTGTCTGCATCCTTTCATGGACGAGATTGAGGAGTTCTGCAATTACCTCACCAAGTCTGTCAACCGACGGCTCCTCACCTTGTTTTCGCGTGTCCTGGAGCTCCCCGACGACTATCTCTGGGAGAACGTCCAATCCCACGGCAGCCCAACTGGTGAAGGCTACTTCCGTCATGCTCTTTTCCGACCCGTCGGTCAGCAGACACGGGAGGCTTCCAAAGGTCTCCGGATGCATGGGCACACAGATTTCGGCTTGACAACGTTACTCTTCTCTGTGCCCATTTCGTGTTTACAGATCTGGGGCCAGGACGAGCAGTGGCACTATGTGCCTTACAAGCCTGGCGCGCTTGTTGTCAACATTGGTGACACCCTTGAGATTGTTTCGGGTGGCCACTTCAAAGCCACGCGTCACCGCGTGTTCTCGCCACCAGCAGACCAGCTCAACTCAGAACGGCTGTCTTTAGTCCTTTTCAACAGTTCCGTCGGCGATCTGCGCATGGAGCCCGCTTCCGGTAAGCCACTTCATTGTCTTGTTAGACGAAAGGTTTTTTTTCCCCGGAGCAATCCAGTTGCTAACGGACAACTTTCTTTTTGCGTAGCTTCTCCACTCATCCAGCGTGAGGGTTGCGTTGAATATCAAGGCGTCTACAAGGGATTCAAGGAGCTCACGTCCAATGGCAGACTTGTACCCACCAACCGTGAATGGCGCGAGATCCAGATTGCCACAGCCACTGATCCCACAGACACTGAGCGCAACCGCGTTGGTGCCGACCAGAAAATCATTGATGGCAAACTGATGAATGAGCGAGAGTACATGGGTGTCAAGGTCGTCTTGCCTGTCTAAGCGTTGCTAATTAAGGCAAGATTTCGTAAAAAGTTTTGGGGGGGGGGTGGCGGCGATAGCCTCACCCAAGTCGCAAACGTGGCTAGCTGGGCTGGTTGTAAATTATGTGCGAATGAATATTCTATAACTATATCAATAAAAAATTAACAATAAAACCAGAGTCCAAAATACAGCTCCTTTCAACATCAAAACCTCTTGTTCCTTGACATGTAATTTGATGGAGCTGCTGCTGTTCCCCATCATTTGCAGCTATTTTGACTTAACGTACTGCTATTTAGATGCCGAATTGAAGACATATCTTGCTTGGGTTTCCTGTTTCGACGCGCATTACCTAAAGTGATGGCATGGCGATTTTCAGTCCAGTCCACAGCTCCTGGTCTCTCTGAAGTGAGAACCTTGGAACCCCCCTGTTTCACTCTATGACTTGCTTTGCTGAAAGCTTGGCTATTCTTTCGGCACTCTTGTGGGCGAATCCCCGGATAACGTTCTCCAATCATAGGTTTCCATGTCCCTATTACGACTCGCGCAGATCTCTAGGCAGAAAACCATCCGCAGTATCCAACATGGTTTAGTGGGTAACGCAGATCGGATGTGGGGGTGCGCTGCAGATAAGGCATTTTGGGAAGCACGGGGCCGGGAGTCGGGACCGTGCTCGCTCCCAAACGGTCGGTTCTTGACCTTCAACGATGCTTTGTTCTGTGATGTCTTGGTCTCACCAATACCTATCCACCTAATACAGCTTCATCACCTGCCCTGTCGAATGGTCCCGCCTTGTTACTGCCATCATGTCTGTCGCTGTATCCGCCAGAGGGGAGCAATCCACCCAGCCCTTCCAGTGCCTTATCTGTCGGAGCCGATTCACCCGGCACGAGAACCTCAAACGTCACACTGCTCTCCATACGCGATCGTCGGACAAGGCCTCCTATTCCTGCGGGCTGTGCTCTGCCACTTTCTCCCGTAGAGACCTATGCACCCGTCACATGAGGAGGAAACACCCTGAACATGATGAGGCGCCGACTCTAGAGAGATCTCGCCCCCAACCGGCCGCGATCCCAGGACGATCCAGGAGGAAGAGGTCTCAGGACGTTGCATCGATTCTCGGCTCTTCCGCAGAGAGCCGCAGCACGTTGTGTTCAGGTCAATGGCGCAGTGAGATGCATCTAGACATGAGTGGCTCGAGTTGGCCTCCAGAGCTCTCGGGGGCGGCAGAAGATACCTACCGGCCCAACTATTCGCTCGACAGTCCGAATTCATCCACCGGTACCACCGGCGAACATACGAACACCGATGAGGGCGATATGACTTTTGAGGTTGGCCATGTTCAGCCGTCTTTATCATCATCATCATCATCATCAGCGATTACGTCAGCACATCTCCCTTCGTTCACGAGATGTTTCACCGATATGGGATTGAGTACATCGCCCGTGATGCCTGCTCTAGATTTCAGCCTTCTTGAGCTCGACTTACCCGCAGCAGCGGCGGTGGAGGCCTGGAAGACTCCGTTCCCTGATGTCAGCGCAGTATCCAATCAGGCACTTCCAGAGAGCTTGTCACCACGGGATCTACAATTCCTCCAGGACGAGTGGTCTCCATCGGCGTCGCAGATCGAGCATGGACTTCGTCTCTACTTCAACTATGTATCACCCTTTTTCCCCTTTCTTCACCACCCAACATTTGACACGACCGGAAGACCACGCTATTTAATCCTGAGCATGCTCAGTCTTGGCTATCAGCATGGTGGAGACCCTGACTGCGGCGAAGGGTCGTGTTCTGGTCCGAGTGTGTCTTTACATTGTTTTCACCAAGCCCGAGTTCAACTGGCCAGCATGGAAGGAAAAAACGACGACTCGAACGACGGCATGGCGATGGTGCAGGCCTACCTCCTGCTCGAGATTTGCGCCATGATGTATCTCTGCGGAGAGAACTCGACGTACGGCCTGAAAATGCATCCTCGGATGATCTCTCTAACGCGGTCTAGCGGTCTGACACAACCGACACGACCGAGTTCCCAACCAGCCAAGGACCTTCAGGAGATGTGGGAAGACTTCATCCGGAGTGAATCACAAAAGCGAACAGTCTTGGCTGCGCACCAGATTGATGCGCTCTGGTATCAGCTCTTGTCTATCCCTCGGTCACTGTCACATCTCGAGATCAAACTCGAGCTGCCTTGCCCATCAGACTGCTGGGCTGCCAGCTCCGCCGAGAGCTGGGCATATTGCCAGCTAATGACGCGGTGTCCCTCAACTTCGGTGCAGTACTCTGATGCCGTCCGCCACTTTCTCTCACCTGCACCAGATGCCGATCCACTACCTCCATTCGATCCTTACGGCGCCATAAACATCGCACAGTTTCTCCTCTCCAGCGCACGGGAGGTCTCGGGTTGGTCTGCAATGACGGGGAGGCTCAGCTTGGAGAGGCTGGAGCCCCTGCGGTCATCACTAGTGGCGCTGGCTCCGTCCATCCGCCCGCAGGTCGAGTCCGCGGACTCGCCACTGGCAGCGTTGCAGGAGGCGACATGGGAGATCGCCATGATCGAGTTGCAGATCTGGTCGCCCTCGCACACCTGCGGCATCATCGAGGGCAGCGTGGATGCGGCGCTGAGGGAGTCTACCAGACTGGCGGCCACAGGCGAAATCTCGTTTGGGACGAAGACGGCCGAGGCCGCCCAACCTCACCTCGACTGGTTCCTGCGCTACCTTGACATAACGACCACTCCCGATGCTGAGCCGCCGTGGACCGCCCTGTACGCATACAAAGCGTTCCTCATTGCATGGCAACTCCTGCGGAAGCAGGCACCAAACGCAATGCAGACTGTCGGTGTAGAGGACGGCGATGCTGAAGCGGCTATATCCTGGGCAAGAAACGTGTTTCAACGTAGGAGCGGACGGAGCATAGGCAAGATTATCATGACATGTTTAGACATATTGGTGGCAGGTAATACGGATCATGCCTAAGGGGTCTCATCACGAGCCTCGGTCTGCAGGAAACACTACTCATTGGACTGATAGCTAATCTATTCTGTATTGTGCTGTACATCTGCTAGGTTTGTGTAGTAGAGCGTGACGATTCTTTTGCTCGTAGAGACAGGGCGAGCAAGGCAACCTCCATCCCGGCTGTATTGTTTCCTGCAGCATTGCTAGTATTCACAGATGCGATATTACTAACGAGTGTCCTTGTTCTGCACAGACAAGGAGTATTACCACAATGGCTTACCACCATGAACGGATGCAGAAACCATCGTTGGTCTGGCCGGGCGAAAGCAACGCAACATGATTTCGGATCTACAGGTCAAGGGAATTTGGCGATCAAATGTCAAGGACACACGGTGACCCGCATCGTCCAACCAGAGGCATTCGCAGTTTCTTACTCGGCTCGCACCTGTCACATAATTAGACTAGTTACGACGTCTTGGCTGAGTACCAAAGCGGCATCCTCGGTGAGTCGTCAAAAGGCTCACCAGCTTGGACGACGTCTGGTCTGATTATAGGCGCTGCAAATTTTTGTGATAACTATAATCTCGTACCAAATATGCTGCTTGTTGCAAGTCTGGTGCGAGAAGAGCAGATGAATTCGACAGGCCTTGGGATATCATACATCACAGTCACGGATTCTTTGGACTCCATTCGTAATCTTTGGGGTACGCTGCTCCCAGCGTCTCTATCATTTGGTGCTTCGTTCAACATCCCGCTCTACACGCTTGCGACAAGTGTGATCAGAGATGAGAATGTGGCTGTTGGGGCCCGCTGGTTCCTGTCTCCAGAGCTCGATCCGGCTGAAGATCCTCATGAAGGCAGGGTTAGCGAAACATGAGTGCCCATAACCCAAGCTTATGCATACCACACATCTTCATGGCCGTAGAATATCTCTGGATGAGTACAAAGGTATGGTGAAGATGTCGCAGGTAAAAAGAGTGACCACTCCCAGCTGACTGGAAGCGATGGTGGTCTATATAGCTGACGGGGTCGGACTCGCACAGAGGATCATTACCTAGTAGGCGAATTCGGCACAGCTTACGAAAAAGAAATGCAAGAGCTCGACAACAATGGCTAATATATCAAAGTGGCCAGCACGGTCAAGCACTTTGTCTACGGTCAAAGCAGCGGCGGTATAAACGCAGCCTCACAATACGGCGGAGTAAATCGCTTTATGAACGAGCAAGCGATGAAATTTCTCAAAGTGGTCTAGAATGCTAAGCCTATTTCTTGATGGCTTCGTATAGTGCTGTGAACCGAGTGCACATGGCGGCCAACAAATACATGATTCAAAATGTCCTCCGAAATACAATTGGCTTCGACGGCATAATCATGTATAGTGCTGGGAAAATCAATGAACTACAATCGTTGCACTTGGCCGCCGGTTCAGCCAGGGATGCAGCGGTCAATGCCATGAGGGCCGTCATCGGGTTGGAGCTCTCGCCAGGCCAGCCAGCAATATTTGCCAATCTGCTCGGCTGTGCTGATGATTACGCTGTTGTCACTTTGGTTGGTGACGCTGTCCACTGCGCCTTCTGGAGATTAAGTTTCCACAGGCCCTTTTGATGCGCCCTTGCTTACAATCGAGAACCTCAATACGACGATGCGAGAAGCGAGTCATCTAGAAATCGCTAGAAACGCATCGGAAGAGGCTATCGTCTTGCTTCATGACGGGGTTTGGCCGCTCTCAGAAGCAATCACCAACTCGAGTAACATAGCAGTCTTAGGACCCCTTGCTAAGCTCCTGGTCACGGGCTCCTACGCACCCAACAACTCCACACGGCCCCTCCATGGAAAACCCTTTCTTCAATCCCGCGAGGAAAAGGTTGGCGCCGTTAAAGTGAACTACCTCAAAAAGTTGACGTCACCAATACCTCCAACTCATTCCGCATCTTCGCCGCCGTCTCTGCAGCGAAGCAGGCTAGTTTAGCCATCATTTGCCTTGGTTCGGTGTTGGTACTCGCTAAGGATGGCGCAGCAAAGTGGCGCACAGATGGCGAATTTTTGCACGTCCCTCTTGAGCTGGCTAGGACCGCAGCAAAAACCTTCTCAACGCGGTTCTCTGGACAGAGCTTTGCGCTATCGAATTCGACAGTGGTGAGGACGAGTGCAATTCTGCAGAATCTTTTTCGCGGGCGAGTTCACGGGGAGGGCATTGGTCCAAATTTTATTCAGCAGTGTTAACTCAAGTGCCAATTGCCAATTCATCTGCCTCTAATAGCGGAGCTACGCCCATCTTTTACCACTGCCTGCCAAGCGACGTAGGCTCTTACTGAAGTCTGCCGGCGCTGGACCGGGCAAATCCGCCGTTCAAGTTTGGGTACGGTCTGAAGGCACACGGCATTTTGGTTTTCGGCACCGGAAGTAAGCGCCATCTCTAGAGGAAACAAAGTGTCGTTGCCAGTAATATTAGTGTCAAACACGGGTTGGTGTCGGAAGGAAGTCGCCCAGGTCTACTTCTGACAGCAATACACAGCCATCGAAACTCCAAACAGACAGCTTATCCGGTTCAGCAAGGTCGACCTGGCACACGGGGAAGAGACGGTGATGAACTGAACAATTATACATCGCGAGGTTGGATACTGGCAAGACTTAGAATGGATCGTAGACTCGGATAATATCTATGCGAGGGCAAAAAAGCTCGTATTGCAGTGCGCTAAAGAGAAGAGAAAAGAAGAGAAAAACCACGAGGGCAACTAACTGAGGCTATCAACAGGTCTGGCTGTTGGCTGGCTGGCTGGGCCGTGCACGGCCTAGGGCCAGTGACTCACTGGCCCTCGCACAATATCACTTTCTGGATTGGGAGTTCGTCGAGAGAAGATGACTTACAAGCCGTACTGCCAACTTATAATCACGGATAGGACTGGCAATAGATACAAGCTCGAGCATTCGTATACATCAATAACAAAAGTTATTTTGCTCAGTATGTGAGTAAAGTTCAGGGTACCTTCTTAGGTATAGGAACTAGATGCCAGGCCTTCTCTTTACTACGTATCTTTTTTCTCGGTTCTTAACCACCCGGGAAAGTCTAAGATAGAGGATTCATACAATTCTCGTGCCTTCTTGACCGTGTTTTTCCCGACAGAGATCCTTTGACCGACTTTTGCCCAGAGGAGTCTGGTATCAAGATCTTGCGTGCAACTGTGGTCGAACTTGGTTCAGCACTACGTATCCCCAATGCTGCATATTCCGTTGTGGTGTTTTTTTCTTCTTCTTGTTCGTAAATCAGTTGTCTTGTAGTTTGTAACATATTGGATGGGTTACAATGCCTCGGAAAACATTTTCAAACTTCTTAATTGGTAATAGGCTACTGTCGGGAAAAGATGATCGCCAGTCTCTCAGAACTGGCTGCAGGTTCTTCGCTCTCGCTTTCCAACATCCTCGCTGCGCCCCGCCCCCCCCTTTCCGGCGCTCCAGTGCCGTAAACCTTGCACTATGTTACGTCCATTACAACCCCCAGGGTCCAGTGCCGTACCCCCAGGGACTGATTTTCTCATTTCGTACCTGAGCAAAACACATTTATGAAGTGGATGTAATTGTTGTTTACCTACCATGTTAGCCAAGCTTCTTCTCGAAATAATATTTATTATAGACAAGTATTGCTTGGATTTCGGCCTCTATTTACTTAATTATCATTCAACTATTGGAGTAGGTCTGACTTCGATTTGGCATTTGTATAGTATAGTAAGAACTGCTTGGGCGGAGAAGTGGTAAAATCAATGCCTGGGATGGCACATGAAGGCCAGGACTCCTTGTGTGTGCAGATTTAAACTAGTGCCGAAATCTTCTTTGATGTTAGTATTATAAATCAGGCATATAGGTATGTACTATAAGTCCTTGCCGGACCCGTTCTGTCTGGTCATCCAACTTTACATCATGATGCGAGAACTTGTAATACTCTGCAGCGATTTGACTAGATCATTGCGAGATTTGTGTTTTACCGGTCAAATGCTGGAATTTAACGTGTAGATAATTAACTCTCCCGATAGTCGGCGGCGGCGGTAGAAGACGAGCAACTTGTTTCTACTGTAACTAGGGTGCTATAGCACTGGGGAAACTGATTCTTTGGGTGGGGCACTCTGCACAAATTGTCCGAATCCGGTAGGGCCGTGACCCATAAGCACCACAGTACCATAATCTGGTATTATCGGTATCTTTGGGCAACTGGGTCAGTTTCTATGGGGCTTCTTTCGCAACGACCCCTCTAGTACTTCAGTGACAGGATATGACCAAGGATTGACAAGACGCACGGGATACAAGGTACTCAGCTAGGGTGCCCTTATTTCAGTACTAAACCCGTACGTACTTCATGCAGCCAACGTTCAACTAGAAGAAAGCCTTGCCCCACCGGTAGGCACAAACATGTCTGTGTGGGGGGCGCTATCTGTCATATATCATGCACATAAGAGGAGCGAGACCGAGAGCGAAATACTAGTAAGCAGGGTTGAACCCGCGCCACGCAACATTGCCCTGCAGATCCCCCCTAGTTGCGGGCCGTTTCCATGTAAACGGCAGTTCGTTCGAACACTCGGATATCTGGGGCAGGCGGCATTATATCATAGCTACTCGATGCAAACTACCAAATTTGAGCTCGATATAGAGCCGTGAGTATATAATAAATCATGAGTCTCCCTTTCTTCCCGAGGACGCTTGGGATAAAATCTATCTCTTCTTTACAGCCTTCCGCTTCCCCCAACCTTCGCTTGATTCAAAGCCGATCACTGCCTGCTGCGACACACCTCCCTTCACTATGAAGAAATCACTTGCCCTTGCGGCAGCAGCTAGCTCGATGAGTGAGACGGCTCTGGCTTCGAACTTCTCCTCACCAGCTCAGGCTTGCCAATTCTTCAGCTCCCAATGGGGCAATCTTACTTCGTTTCCCAACTCGACCGTATATATCGACATCAACACGGATTACTGGGACGCGGCGGCAGCACTTGGACCAGCCTGCATTGTTGCTCCTGACACGACAGAGCGTATGAGCATTGCTGTCCAGACCTTAGTTCAATACAACACCCCCTTCGCCATCAAGGGCGGTGGCCACTTGGCTATTGCCGGTTCCAGTGAGCATGCCCTGCCTCAGTGCTAGTGTAATGATTGGGAAGGAAAGTGGACTAATACTTGTTTTAGACAACATCAACTCCACCGGCGTGCTCCTTGCCAGCACCAACCTGAACCAGATTGACCTCGCTGCCGACCATGAGACCGTCGATGTCGGCCCCGGCAACAGATGGGGAACCGTAATGGACTACCTCCAAGACTACCAACTGTCCGTTGTCGGTGGTCGGATGTCCATTGTTGGCGTCCCAGGGCTTCTCACCGGCGGTGGCATGTCCAACTTCGGCAACGAGTTTGGCTGGGCGGCCTCCAATATCGACGAATACACCTGCGTGCTGGCCGATGGCACCATCGCCAACGTGACGGCAAGCAACGAATACTCGGACCTGCACTGGGCGCTCCGCGGCGGTGGGAACTCCTTCTGCATTGTCACCAATTTCAAGCTACGTACCATCGACGTCCCAGCCTTCACTGCGGGCGAGCGTACTTGGACCTCGAACCAGAGCCAGGGCTTCCTCGACGCCGTATACAACATGGCCGTTAACCCCAACCCTGACGTGAAGGGTGCCCTCACTCCTGTTGCCAATGCCGGTAGTTCCCAGAATGGCACAACGTATACCAGCATGATGTTTTATAACGGGAACAACACAACGCCAGAATTCTTCCAGAACTTCTCCGCCCCCATCCTCCCCCCAGCCACCGACTCGTACGGGCCCATGGAAGGCATGGGTGCCGCAGCCACACTCATGTCGACAGGCACCGACGAGATCGCTGGCTTCCGAGAGGGCTGGTGGTTCCTGACCTTGCGCGCCAATCGCGAGGCTCTGCAGCTGATCCACGATACCTATTTCGAGATGATCGCCTCATACTTCGCGGACGTGGACATCTGGATCACGGGTTTAGCCATGAACATCGTCAGCAAGCAGTATGTGCTCGGCGGCTTGGAGCAGGGCGGCCCCGATCCCATGGGACTGGACCCCGATGTGGCACCATACCTCATGATCGAGGAGTCGATCACATGGTACGAAGCGTCAGACGATGCTACTATCCAGGCGTTTTATGATGCTTTCAACGCAAACATTACCGCACAGCTGGAGCCTCTCGGTGTGCTTGTCCCTTATGTGTATTTGAATGATGCCAATGGCGAGCAAGATGTCTTTGGTGGATACCCAGCCGCGAATGTGGAAAGGCTGAAGGCTATCCGGGACAAGTACGATCCTACTCGGGTCTACACTGACTTGATGCCAGGTGGATGGAAGGTAGCTAATTACGAAGCCTAAATTCGTTAGGATAATTTTATGAAGGAAATGCCGGGATGGCTAATGCTATTCTAGTTAGACTAAAATAGACAGAGCTGGACCCATTGGCTACAAGCCTACAATAAACTCTTCTTTGGTATATGTTACCGGTGCTATTTAGAGTTTAATTTCTGTCACGAGCACAACAAAGTAAGAATCTTCAAAATGTGTATTATAATATTAGCTGCTGTTCACGAATTTGGTAAGTAATGGCAGTAACTCGCAGGGAGGGGTTTTGGGCCAGCTAGAGTTTTCGGCCACCCTGCACAGCAATAGACCCCGCAATCGAATGCAAAGAAATAGAGCACAGAAATTCAAACCGGAAAGAGAGTTCATGAGTATCTAGCTCGTTCAAAAGTACAGTAACATCATTTTGATAATATCCATATAAGCGTCTGCGTTGATCGGGTTGGCATTCTGACTTCACCAAGCATCAATACTCGGCCTGTGCCTTCGTGATCCACTCGTACTCATCACCCAGATACTTCTGTGCTCTCAAATCGCCGGACCGGGCGTGGCCCTCAAAATTTTCCGCCCGTGAGCATCTACCGCAGAGTCTTCCCATTTCACCGCTCGCATCGTCGTCCAATATATACTGATAAGACTGAGTCTTCAGAAACTTCCCCACCCACAGGCCGCCAGTGTATCTGCCAGCTTTGCGAGTTGGTAGTACATGATTTGTGCCGATGCACTATTCATCGTCAGAACAATATTTCCTGAGGAAATGTGAAAAGGATCCAGAAAAGCCTTACCTTGTCGCCATAAGAAACACACGTCTTTTCACCGAGGAAGAGGGCTCCGTAGTTGGACATCTTCTCAAGCGCCTCTTTGGGGCATTGAGTTAGGATTTGAACATGCTCGCTCGAATACTCGTCCGCAACCTGGAAAGCCTCCTCGGTGCTATTGACGAGAAGTACCTGACCGAAATCCCTCCAGGCAACCCCTGCCACCTCGGCGGTCGGCAGATTCTCAAGAAGCTTGTCTACAACTCTGATGGTTTCCTTACCGACACGTTCCGATGTCGTAATGAGTATGGCAGGAGAATCCGGACCATGTTCGGCTTGAGACAGCAAATCGGTTGCAACGGTGAATGGGTCTGCGTGCTCATCTGCCACGATCAGGGTCTCGGTTGGGCCGGCGAAAAGGTCGATACCAATGTCTCCGAAAAGAAGACGTTTGGCTTCCGCCACGAACGCATTGCCAGGGCCGGCGATGAAGTCTACCTTTCTCATCGTCTCCGTACCGACCGCCATAGCAGCAATAGCCTGCGTACCCCCAAGGATGAATATCTCATCGGCGCCAGCAAAGTGAGCTGCGGCAACGGTTGCGTTGGGGAGCTGCCCTTGGATTGGAGGCGTGCATGCGATGATTTGCTTTACTCCGGCAACTTTGGCTGTAGTAATCGTCATATGTGCAGAGGCAAGGAGAGGATACCGGCCTCCAGGGATGTATCTAACCTAGTAAGCTATCTGTCCACATGTTTATCTCATGAACTACTTACGTGCCGACTCGGTTGATTGGATTGTTTTTGTGTCCGAGAACAATGCCAGGTTGTATCTCGATCTCGAGATCCTTGATACAAGACCTCTGGGCTTCGGCAAACTTGCGAACATTTGCTTGGGCAGTCTTGATGTCCTGCACGGTCTGTGGGGAGATCTTGGCAATGCAGTTTTGAATTTCTTCCGGAGATAGCTTGAACGAGTCCGGAGACCAATGATCGAATTTCTGGGAGTATGTCCTTACAGCCTTGTCACCTTCGTCCCTGATGGCATGGATGACTGCTTGAACAATGCTGGTGACCTTCTGATTTGACTCTACGTTTGCGCTCAACCGCGCAGTCTTGAGATGATGGGGAGCCATTGGGCCTGTCATCGCTCTCTCTGGAGCGTTGGTAGAGTTTAGTCTGGGACCAGAGGTGTCAATATGGCCCCTCATTCTTATGTACTGACGGATATGTGGGCAATCCGCCCATTGTATCGGGATGTGGGAGGCTTTTGGTCTTCAACACTGCAGTTGAATGGTCGGAAGTACGGAACAGTCACAGATGAGCCCCCTTGTAGGTTCGCAAAAGCCGGCTCAAAGGGACGGCAGTTGATCAGTGACATCAATCCCGTATTCGATCCGCCGTACTTAATTGGCTGCGTTCGTTACTGTTTGTATAAGCATTTGAATTGGGGTAGGACTCGAACGTAGGTGCACGAGACTAGAGTCCTGCGTCTGCCGACAAACAGCCATCGTGTTAGCATTTTCTGCCAATGCGGAAACGATGGGAGGGGGAAAGGGAATGTTTGGTTAAGCTGTTTTTGAAACTACTCGATCCGTATCCATGCCATGCACAGCCTTTGTCTCTCGAATTCACCGACACATTCAATTATGCTTTAAAACGAAACCTACCCTTTTTGCACTATAATGCACTTAATCCACGAAATCTACAAACCCAATCGGATGGATATTGCCTCCCACGCTGTCGTGGGCCATTGAACATGTCCGAAAATGCTCGATGCGGCTCGAGTCATAAGCCGTCGCGATGTTCAATTATGTTGTTTGAAAGTACGTTTTGCAAGATCACAAGGTCCGGGGCAACTCAAATGCCGCATAGCGATGGTGCTTTCGCGGTGGATCTCCTCGCCGCAAATCCCGATGGACGTGGACTGAAGGCCCATAAAACGGTGACGTTCGTTTTCATAACATCTCGAGATTTTGGAAAACATCAGGTGATGATCTCGACATGCCAGTCATAAAACCGTACAACCCCTTCCTATATGGAGACCTAACATTCTTGATAGAACCACAATGCTATGCTTCGCACGTTATAGAAGAAGCGAAGGGCGAAATAGATGTTACATAACTAGGAAAATGAAAGTCTATAAAGCAGTGGGAGATGCCACCGAGCATTTTGTGATTATCCTATGTTAGTTGCTATCCAGAACGAAAGCAGTTTGTCGAATCACCTTTATACTTGCAACTCACCAAGCTCATTCAACCATCTTCCTGTGGAACCATTCTCTAAAGTCTCAACAGGCAACATTGTTACGATGTTGGGGAAGATCGCGCTAGAAGAGGCTTATGAGATGGTCGGTATGGAAGCCAAGTCTCAGCGTGAAGCCTCCTTCTATATCAACCCGTCCGATAGGCACCGGTACATGAGCGCAATCAGCGATATCAATGACAAGCGCGTCAAGCTGGCCGACGAATACGGAATCGGTTATACCATCGTGTCTCTCACTGTACCTGGCATTCAAGGTATTTGGGACAAGGCCGAGGCCGAACGGCGTGCTACCGAGACCAATAACTGGGTTGCGGAGCAGATCAAGTCCAAACCCGATAAGCTGGGGGCCTTTGCTTGCCTTTCTATGCATGATCCTGTACAGGCAGCGAAGGAGTTGACGCGGTGCGTCAAGGAGCTTGGCTTTCATGGCGCCCTGCTGTGCGACTTCCAGCATGCCGGCCCTAACGGGGAGACATACCTGTTTTATGACCAACCGGCGTACGATCCTTTCTGGCAGGCTCTTCAGAATCTTGATGTCCCTCTATATATCCACCCCGCTGCTCCCGCGGATATCATCTACGACAAACTATATGCTCAGCGCAAGTTTCTCATTGGGCCGCCTCTGTCCTTCGCCAACGGCGTTAACCTTCACCTCCTTGGTATCATTACCAATGGGGTCTTTGATCGCTTCCCCAAGGCCAAAGTCATTGTCGGTCATCTGGGCGAGCATATCCCATTCGACTTCTGGCGTATCAACCACTGGATTGAGGACGTTGAGAGACCTATCGCATTGGAGCAGGGCTACGAAAGGATCTGCAAGCGAAATATCTACCATTACTTCAAAAACAACATCTGGGTCACCACTAGCGGGCACTTCTGCACCCAGTCTTTGAAATTTGTAGTCGATGCGATCGGTGCGGACCGCATCCTCTTCAGCGTGGACTACCCTTACGAGACGATCGAGAACTGTTCTGCTTGGTGGGATGGGAAAGCCGAGGAGGTCAAAGATGCGGTTGGCGGGTTGGATAACTACAGGAAAATTGGCAGGGAGAATGCAAAGGCGTTATTGAAGCTCGACAAGTACCACGACTCTGAGGCCCCCGTTTTGTGATCTAAAAAGCGATGAGCGTATGTTCAGATTAGCAAATTTCTACTAGTCTCCTAAATTCGGAGCTGGGAGTTCATTCGGACCTTTGTTCTCTTTTGTTTCCAGACCGCCGAAGCCCTTGACGAACTGATTGCCTTCTTTGACTTAAGTCCGCTCCCTGCTCAGCGATGAAATACACGGTCGCCTTGGGATTCGCTATACGCATTGTATAACGTTATAGATTACATGAGATGAGCAGAGGGGTGTTGTATATGCGAGAATGTCAAATTGATATTGCAGGAGAAACTGACAAAATGAACATTAACATGAGTGTAAGACCTTGAAGAGACTTATATGGGTTGTTAATGCACATATCTAAAGGAAACCACTGCATCCCCGCCATGGCCCACCTTGGACCCCGTCACCTGAGTATGACCTACAATACCCCGTTCCTCTTCCTCCTCAAAGTTACTGTTCTGTTTCTTGAGATAGAATTTGATGTAGAGCGCCATGCCGGCACAAAGCAAGCATGCACCACTCATGACCCCTCCACCAGCATAATATCTCGGAGCTTGATTATCCGGGAACATGTAGGCGGTATAGAAGTGTGCGACGCCAGCCCCCATAAAGTTCATGATCGCCAGAGCAGCTGCACGCTTAGCACGTGGCCGTGGCAGTGAAGAACTCACCCAGCTCACACACAGATTATAAGGCGAATATGAGCCCCCGGTCATCAAAAACATTGAGAAGTACCGACCACCAGTTGAAGGGACAAACATCGCCTTGGCATGTTAGTTAGCAAGACTTCGAAGAGGCGTTGTAGCGGGTGTCGTAATACTCACAAGAAGGTTGCCAAGTAGCGCAAAGAGCATCGGAATTGCGATGTGATAACCACGTTCTTGTTTGCGTGCCGCATGAAGCGAAACAGCCAGGGACACGAAGAAGGCGAAGAAATACGGAGGTGACGTAAGGAGCAAGGTTGCGGTATCCCCGTAGCCCAAAGTTCCGACTATTGAAGGGAAGAAGTTGCTGAATGACTCGGCGGTGATGAGGGACATTTGCATGATCACAAACATGTACAGCTTTGGGTCGATGAGTGCTTGCTTGAGCCCCCACCAAACAGATTCGGGATCTTCATCGATGATGCCAGCATTCTCCTTTCGAATTCGCCATTCCTAATGTTCAGAGTAATCAGTATTTTTATCTACTCAGAAACAAGACATGCTAACATACCGCAAAGAGTTGCATCTCTCTCGAAATAAGAGGATGTTTACTTTGGAGCGGATAATCTGTAAGAACTGGCAGGAAAAGGAGAGCAATGACTACAGTCATTGAGCCCTCAATGATAAAAAGCCATTCCTATGTTCCTCAGGTCAGCTTTCGCAGAGATAAGCAACTTCGACTACTTGAATACTCACCCACGAAGGTCTGCCAGCAGCTCCATCCATGTGAGCGGTAACTGGTCAACAGAACTCTGTCAGTATCTATCCCTTTGAGTCCAGAATAGACTCTGACGTACTTCCAGCGGCAATAAGACCCGAGAATGCCGTCGCCAACATGTTTCCTCCATAGAGGATGGCGATGCGAGGCGGTAGCTCTGCTCGAGTATACCAACAACTAAGTAGGAAAAATACAGCTGGCAAAAACGGTGCTGATATATGAACTTAGTAGACGTCACAAAGGAGATTTGGCAGGTATGAAATTCATACCCTCAACAAGTCCAAGAATGACTCTGATTGATGCAAGCTGAGCAAAGTTTTTGGCAAAGCCTTGAGTTAAGGATAAGACTCCCCATAGAGAAGTAAGGAGACAAATGTAATAAGACCTATAAGACCTAGTGTCAATATTTTTGTTTTCATCAGGCGATCAGTAGACTTACGGGCGAACTTTGCCAATGATTAGATTGGACGGTACCTGAGTAATGCAATCTATCTTCCGTTAATATCTTCGCCAAATCGCTATGCAAATATACTCACATCCCAGATAGAACATCAGTAAGCATGTGTTGTATTGCTCATCTGTGATACTCAAGGTTTCTGTCAATCCGGTAATCTTGGCACTGGCGATGTTATTACGGTCGCTAATGAGAGCGAGTGATTAGTGCTGTTTAAGTCATAGATATATAAAGGTGTAGTATTGACACACAGAATGTTTAAAAGAAACAGTACAAAAACCACAGGCATGACCGTGCAATCCAGCCTTCGCGTGAGGCGCTTATTCAATTGTTGCTGCTCATCGTGCGTGAGATGGGTGATCTCTTCAGGCAAAGGAAGATCGTCTGAGGCAAGGTTTGGTGGTTTGTCGTAGTGCTCAACACGTTTCTTTGGCTGAACAATCTTATCGGACATTGTACAAATCTCTGCTAGCTGTGTGGTCTTATCGTATGAATTCAACGGTCCGCTTTCGTGTTCAGACAGCCGTTTTTAATGGAGGTACAAGGCGAAAGCCACACCATGGTCAGACTCTTCAAAAAGTAATGCGAACAAGTCAAAGGCCGAAAGCATCGGAAAGAAAGCCGATATACAGTAAATCGATTATCGTGTGGGGTATAAACGGAGTTCCACAGGAGGTGATGGCGTGCAGAGTTGCGGGGTAGCGTCGAGTGAGAACTTTTGTAGCTGACATACTGTACCTGTAAGAAATACATGCAATGTCAAGGCTTTAATTTGGGTTTGAGTAGAAGCCCCCTCTTTGAATATCACCTTCCTCGGCTTAGTCGGACATTTCATACGATGAATATAAATGCTCTTTACCCGCGCTCCGTTCGCAGGTATACGATGAAATTTGAAGTAGAACTACCGGGCGGGTGCTACCTCTCAGCAAATGAATCTCAGAGTAAGGTTCTGAGGCATTTCAACTGTACCTGGAGTTGAGAAGAAGCAACACAATAAGGACAAGGACGTCGAAGCGCTTCATTGTTTTCGGCTGTACGCTCCTTGTCAAATTTTCTCGGGAACAAGTCCGACGTGGCGTCTCATGCGAAGTACGCACTACAATCCATGTAGCCAAGCTCCTCTCCACACAAATGGCAGGGGTTAATGCGGAGAAGTACTCCATTTTCCCCGTGGGGAAAAGAGCAATCCCAAGGGAGAACCAAATGCACACAACAACATTTCCTTCAGCATTTAAGATCAGATCTTAGTCTGCCTTCAGTGGTGCTACTGTATCTGAACATGGGTAGCTGGCTGCTTTGGATCACAGACAGTACGGATAAATATCTGATCCTGTAGTTTGGCTGGAATGATACAGACGCTATGAGGAACATTATCAGCGACATCTGATGGACAATGTTGCAAATCTTCGGCAATAGCCTCCAGTCTATGAGTGGTCGGGCGAAGACTTTTGAGAACAATGAAGAAGAACAGATACATACTCAAGATACGAGCTCATCTTGTGGCGTGCATCAATATATCCCAACTCGTAGAATCGTGATTCGGCCATTCCTCTGTACGTCTCTAGCCCTTCCTACAAGTCTGTCCTCCGCTCTGGTGTCACCTGTTCTTGAATTCGGCATCTAGTAATTTGCTGAGCTAGCGTATGTCTTCACCAGTTTCGGCTCATTAAGTTGTACGCCCAAAGACTCAGCATCTGCCTGGGGACGACATGGTTTCCGCAGTCAACAACAGCAGACAATCCATCTTAGTCGCGAGGTCGGACCTATGATCTGAGCTCTGGCCCCTATACTTGGAATTATCTGCCGGTACGTGCCCCGCGTCTATACTAACCTCTAAAATCAGTCCCAATCCTGTTTCACTACAAGACGATAATCCAGAATAAACAAGAACTCCTGATGCCTCCGAGTCGATAAGACATATCCTCAGCTTCAACTCCAAACACACCATACCCAAATAGCAGAATCGCATAGAGTTGGGGAACTATGGATTCCCTTCTCATTTTTGCGTCAATTAAGCAGGACGAATTATGCAAGAGACACTGCAGTAATGCGGAAATACGTAAGTACCAAGAAGGTCCAGACCATATTGATGGCATGTATTTGTTAGCAGTACAGCTACTCAAGTACCAGACGACTGTACATATAAACTCAAGATAACAGCTTCGGCTTATGTCGGATCGGATGCTGCCTCAAATGCCTTCCTATTGACTGGAGTCAACGGTTCTCCAATGAGACTTCCATCGCCTCCAACAACGGCAATAATATTCTCCATGGCGTTGAGCTCAAAGTTGATGCGAGTGTTGAGCGCGCCACCGCCGATATGTGTTGTCAGGGTGACATTCTCCATGGCTGCGAGTTTTTTCGAAACTTGTGGCTCGTGGTAATGTACGTCGAGCCCGGCAGCGGATATCTTGCCTGATTCAAGGGCTCTGATCAAAGCGTCTTCATTTACCACTTGCCCTCTCGCAGTGTTAATGAGCCGTGACCCTGACTTCATCGCTGCTATCGCTTCATCGTTGATCAAGTCATAAGTGTGCGCATTCAACGGGGTGTGTATGCTGACACAGTCCGCAACTGCCAGGAGGCTGTGCAGCGTGGCATGGTATATCACGCCAAGCTCCCTCTCAGTCTCCTCGGAAGACCGAACAATGTCATAATAGTGGATTTCCATGCCAAGGGCTGTCCGTGCCTTGTATGCTAGCTTCTTGCTGATGTTCCCTAGCCCGATAATTCCAAGCACATGACCACGAGGATTGGCAGAGATGGTCGCGATGACCTTGTGTGTGGCGTCAAAAACCTCCGGATCGCAAGTTCGAGCCCCGAGCTGCGACTTAGTAAAGTTGCGAAACACGGAGAGGATCATATACAGCCCGGTGTCAGATACAGCCTCGTCAGAAGCTCCTGCCCCGTTGGCGTACCAGATCCTTCGATGGCCTAACGCATCGACGTCCGCCCAGTTGAAGCCCGCCCCAGCCGATGCGAAAACTCGGACCGAAGACGGGAGGAGCGATATCAGCTCATCATCCCATTGACCCATCTCGCCGCCGGTCTGGAAGTGTGGGCGGAAGATGGCTGAAAAGTTGCCATATTTTTTGTCCTTCAAAGCTTGAATGAACGAGGCACGGTCGAGCTCCTCGTTCTGCCTGACGTCGAATCGCTTCAGAAATTCATCCTGGTAGAAATCTTTATTGTACTTGATTGCTTCACCAATGTGCAGCACAATTGGTTTCGTCATCGTGATGATTACTAAAGCCGTTGGCTCTAGGGGTGCGAGCGGTGTTGGTGAGTTTGTAGATGATACCCTGGCACTTCTGCCTTGTACACTTTTAGGCAGGGCCACGTTACCGATACAGCGGATGTCTCGTGCAATTCAATTTCATGGCTATTAAAGACCTGAGCGCGACCCGGCATATATGATGCCGGATGACGAGTGGCCGCAGGTGCGCTTTCGGAGAGCCGGAGAGAAGGCCGAAGGGTGGATGCTCGGCAAAACTCGGTCTAGATGTCTCGTGCGTAACCAACAACCCCCTCATACTATCTGTGGGACACATGATTAGGTTGGGATGTATTACTCAGTCCCACTTTCTCTAGTCTATTTGGTGCAGAAAATACGTTGGCTTTCAAGAACAATGCTAGGCAGGTCTGCTAGATCGCTGTGCATTTCAAAGCATGGAAACCTTACCGGTTTTATCAATTAGAACCCCAAAGGCGCGAGAACTAACTTTACTGCGTTCTGCCCAATGACTTCGTTTTGATGGTGAGTGAACAGTCTGTGCAGAAGCACAGGCAAATAGGCCCTACAAATACGAGTCCATTTCTCTTTCTCGAACTGCAAGTAGGATGCGACGCCTGCAATGACTGAGTTTATGCACTTGGTATGAATATATAAAAATCGTTTAACACCCAAAGCTTCAATAGATTTCAGTGGAAAGTTGCAATGACATCCCCTTCCCTCTTTTCCCTATAGGTAGGAATCATGGTGAATCTTGAGCATTACCCCGCCAACCACTCTTCCATCTTTGTGTTGTTACTGAGAGAAAGAATAAGAACCTTCCCAAGCACGCACGCTGGCTAGGACACACAGCTATACCTCTGAAGGCCAACGGACCGGATCCGAAAAGCGGGAAGCAGATGCGTGTTTAGCCACCGAGTCGATACAGTTGCGCCAGCTCACTCGCCAGCAGCACCATCGTGAGGTACGTCCAATGAAAGGTAGGAATGCCTTGGCAGTTTCGCGTAAGTTGAAGCCATGAGCTTGTCGTTCAAAGACTACCTCACAAACCCTTATGTGTCGACGACGTATAGTCAAGGATTGCTTTAGGATTAGGCTTCTGGGCAACCATTTGAGAAGACGTTGAGTGTCCAGAAGGTACTAGAGACTGTGGTGCGACTACTTCGGACCAAGTTGTGGTTGAGAAGCCCGAAGTTCCGCAGGTGAAGCTGTTGTCGGCAGCTGGCCAGCTGGGGCCCGACACGTTCAAGGGTGAATACCTGGGCTTGCAGGAGGATGAGACACTGAGCAGGATCGTGATCTTTTTCAATAAGAGCTTCGGGAGGCGGGGATGAACCGCCACCTAGTGTTTCTTCTATAAGATGGTAGGACTTAGATTATCTGTTGTTTCGAACACGTTCAGCCCTGTGCTCAGATACATCAGCTCTGGAGCTCCTAGGCTCATGTTGCTGTCCAGAAGAAAATCAAAGTCCCAATTCAGCGAGATGTCGTTTACGGACGGCTGGTCAGGGATGTTGGAGCCGTTCTCTTCTCCAGTGCCAGTAAGAAATGCGCTCTCGCGTATTTGCGATATTGCCGGGCTCTGTAGCCTATCCACAACTGTTTTGAGACCACCGGCCATGAGGTGAATCAAGTGCCAATCTCCTACAGGCGTAGATCGATAAAGTACGACGAGTGTTGAGATCAAATCGATGACAATCGATTTCTCAATGAGAGATCCCCCATAGATCATGGCCAGCTTAGCAAGGAACATGCATGCAAAGCCAGTCATCGAATGTATGTATGAGGGCATGCCTGCCAATGCCGATCGGATGTCGGGGTCTGTTATCAGAAGGTTGATAATGGAGGTGGCTGCAGAGACCGCAGAGGACGCTGCCTCCAAGAAATGGGATGGTATGCACTCATTACGTAGTCCTCTGAACACGTGGGAGTAGAGATGCAGCTTCGCGAAGTGGAAATGCAACAGGACACCCTTTCGAGGAAAGCCGCCAATCTGATTATGATGGTCTGAGACCTAGTCAGTATGGCAGCCCGAGTCAGAAAAGTCCCTTTGTCTTCACAACATACCTGTTACGATCGCAGACCAGTGCCTTACCCACTGATCCAGCTCGTGAGCGAAGTTGGCGATCTGCATCGCATAAATTTGTGGGACTGGATCGCCCAGATCAGGCCCGAAAAGATCGCGGACTCTCTGTGTGATGTTTACCAGTGCGACTTGACTGGCAAGTCGGGTGTCTTCCAGCGCGCTCGCTGGGTGAGACTTGTCTATGAAAGCCTTCCAACCTTGAATTGTGTAATCTTCGCGAATCACCGGTTGGCGTCCATACAGCATCGACGAATGCTGATCACATATATGTAAGACATACCATAGTCGTACATAGTCTGCTGAGTCCTCATTCCCTTCATTCACAGCCTTTCGGTAATGTCCCGTCAAGTTGAATTCGGCTGCTCGTCGTACTGCACAGCCTGAGACAACCCAGCTTATGTCAGAAAGCCAGTAAGATGCAATGCACATGGCTCTCAAGTAGTCTGAGTCGATTTGGCGTTTGAAAATGGATGCAGCGAAGAGACGCCTAAATTCTTCATTGCAAACTAAATTGGAGATGGTAAGACTCATTGCCACCCACATTAACAGTATCTCAAAGTCCCAGGCCACCTTGGCCCCAGACTTATGGCAGTATGGCGCGGAGAGACATCTGAGATTGGGACAGCTTTACATACCTCCGTAGATAGCGTTACTTTCAGGATCATGTAGCGCTGAGACCGTGAGAACGCAGGCGGTAAGAAGTCGAGAACTTCTACGTAACACGTCCAGTGTCTCATAGCGACCACCAATCCTGTACATGAAAAAGTCCAGATGATCAATGTAAAGACGAAACAGTCGTTGGGCATCCTCAAGAGACAGATTCCCTCTGGCGACGAGGTCATCCACCTGTTTCACCGGTGGCTTCGAGGGACCCGCTTCTCTCTCTGCTGGAGAATGGAGCGCGCTCAATTTCGTTAAGTGGTAAACAGAGTCTATAGGCACCTTTGGAAGCTCCTGGTCGCCATCCTGGTCACATTCCAGAGATATCTCAGGAGAATTGTCGCGAAATAAGCCGGCCTCCTCGTGTGATGATGTCTGTAGTAAGCATTTGGAGCTTCGTAATGTCGATAAGACGGGCAGATCCATTGCTTTGAGCACATTCTGGAGGCTTGTATGCATCATTTCCAAGTCGTGAACCATGGCCATAGTCGACCTATATGTTCAAATGCCATTGCATATCAGCTCGGATTCAGAGTGAATTTCATCGATAGATACGTGAGGGATGCACGAACTGTGACCTTTCGCTTATCAGCGTCTGCAAGTTCTTGTTGAGCACACAACCCTAAAATGGTGTAAGCTTCCCCTTCTGAGTATTGAAAAAGTAACCAGATTTGTGTATGCAGGCGAGACTAATGCTCACAAGATTCTTCTCAACGCATCTTCGGCAAGGAGGGCCAGTGTTTTCATCCATGATACATTTAATCTGCGAGATGTCAGCAGTCTGCACGACTTGAAGCTAGAGCGTCTATACGCACTTTCTGCTTTCGGCAGGCAGCACATGCACGGATCTTGCGGGAAACGGTCGGTGTATGCTGCGCCATCAATTCATTGCGAGCATGGCGTTGATGTCCTGCCGGCTCCGCTCTTGGCGGCGATATGGTGTCGTTACCGGATAGCTGTTGTGGCTGAATGACATTCTTGGAAAACGTGGTTTCAGACTCGGATCCAAGATTTGCTTCGACCCAAGAACGCTTTCTTGCCGCCATCTCTCAGGTTGCTGCAAAGTTCTGCTGTTGTGTCCTCGTTGGATGAATGTAGAAGAAAGTTGGAAAAGCATTCATAGAAGGAAACGTGGGGAAATGGAGCTAAGCATGGGGTCATACAATAAGTGGGTTATAAATGCGGGGTGAAAAAGGGGGTTTGTTTACAAAAGGTGATGCTACCGCAGCAAAAAAGTGGTGCCAAGGATGAGCTCTTATTATTAAAGCGCCGCCTTCAACAAGTGAGCACTCTCTGGCTATTGCAGCGTCGTGAGAATAATGACAATACATAGATTTGCAGCTAAAGACCTAGATCTATCGATTGGACGTAGGGAGCAGTAGCCTATCCGTCCGATCTCTACAAGTCGGTGCACGATACAGACAAGAGCACAAGAGCCGCACCCTTATTGTCACTCCGTCGCCGCCTTTTACCAAGGATTCGGTGTTGCCCAGTGAAACCACTCATAGAGCGTCTGCACCTGCTGAGGGTCCGCAATTGGTACCTGCCCATATAAATTCGGGTCGTCGGGCCCAACATGAAACGATGTATTAGTGGTCAGCTCAGTCTGCGGCCTCCAGCCAGCGAGATCACCGCTATACGTGCCGCCCGTGTTAGGGTTCCCCGTCTTGATGAAGTTGACCCAGTAGCTTGACATGATGTCGGCGATCAGATAGTCAGCAGTCGCCCACGGCGTTGACGTAACCGCGTACAGGTTGCTCAAGACGTAGGAGATCTCGCTAGCGTGGCCAGCACCGTCGTCCGAGCCCGGAAGATCGTGATCCCAGTAGTAGACGTACATGGGGCTTGAGGCAGTCTTGTTCCAACGCTGGGCGAAGGACCAGGTTGAGATCCGTGCGATGTCGCGGGCCCGAGCGTTGGTCGCGTCGTCAGCGGCCGTGTCATTGGTGCTTCCGTCGTAAAGATCGAGAAGAGCCGCTGCGTACGGGCCGTACGTGCTATTCGTAGCCTCCTCGTAAGCTTCGACTGTGGTGTTCACGGTGGGAGTGGCGCCGTCTTCGTCTTTGTTGTTGCCAGCGAGCAGGGGAACGTCGTTGACAGGGCCGTTGAGCAGGCTCTCGTAGTAGGTTGTGGGGATGTAATAACCGTCCAATGTTGGCTGGAAACCTGAAAAATCGCTCACCCCGGTTCCGGTTGCGAGGACGTCGGTGGTAAGGTTACGCAGCTCAGCGACGGTCGTGGCGTTAAGACTAGAGGCATAAGTCTCACTGAAGGTATAAGAGTAGGATTGGTTCATATATGAGTTGGCAAAGCCGGACATTGTAGGGTCGTAGGGGTCTTTGATGCCACTCTCGCAGATGGCTCCCTTGAAAAGGCCCTTGGCTTGAGGACTGTTGATAAGGTGGTATACCGCAGCGGAACCAAAAGACTGGCCCACCGCTGTGATAGAGTCTGGGTCGCCACCAAACGCAGCCACATTTTCCTTGGCCCACTTGAAGATCTGAATTTGATCCATGAGACCATAGTTGCCAGATGAGTTGGTAGAGGACTCAGCAGTTAGCTCTGGCAGGGAAAGCCACCCCCAAGGACCGGTCCGGTAATTGTAGCTGATGAAGATAACGCCTTTTGCAGCGATACCACCTCCATCGTAATTATCGTCCGAAGAGGTGGTGCCAGCTCCGTAGCTCCATATCATCACAGGCAATTTCGCGCCGGTGGAGTTCGCCGGGGTCCAAATATTGACAGTAAGGCAGTCCTCGCTAACGTAGGTACCGGCAATAGATATGCCACTGGGACATTCAGGGCCAAAAGAGTCGGCTATTAGAGTGTCATTCCAAGCAACAGGTGGCTGTGGTGGTTTCCATCTGTTCTCGCCGGCGGTTGACGCTGCGAATGGGATTCCCTTGAAAGTTGTGATCTCATCCCAGTTGGAGATGTTGGCTGATGGGCCAGAAGTGCTGTTAAATGCAGCAACGCCTTGGACAGGACCGTATTTGGTCTCAATAATCTGTTCGTAGAGAGCTGCCTTTATGCCCGTGGCAAACAATTGCGCTACAAGCGCGGTGGCTGCTTTGGGAACAAGCTGCATTGTGGAATCTAGTGTCACTGATGAGACCAAGGAGACAGTGATTATGGGTGATATGACCAAGGATTGTGCTTCTCGACTTGCCTTCTTAGAAGATTTATATACTTGGTGTGTGCAATGCCTTTACCTCCCCACTCGATTACTTGTTATTCTAATCCTAAATAAGACCGAGTCATTTAGTAGAGCAAGAAACGTTGGACCTGGAATGTGGGCGACGGCAGAATCGTGAAGAAAACCACAAAGATGTTCACAACACCTATTTATAGAATTTACCCGTACTATAATCGAGAAGCTCAAGGTGTTGCGGTCCGTAATAATTTGACAAACTCGTACATATGCCGTCACTGCCACGCGGATCATTATTGCTATGTGGCTGGGGCTGCATAAGCTCGGATCACCGAGGCTTGGTGTATCATCGCCGAATACAGGGGGCAAGATATGTTCCGGAGTTATTATATGCACTAATTTCCGAGTCGGCTTCACAAGTCCGGTCTGCTTCGCTTTAGAAAAATATACGATGACACTTGACTGAATTAATTAGTAGAAAGGAGTTTATGGAAAGCACTGTGCCCGACAGCCAGCGAGCTTCTAGCATTGCTAGATTCTTAGGCACTTGTGTAGATAGGTTTATCAATATAGGGCTTCTGGCTTTTCCTTTCTCCCTTCATTCTCTTTTTCAGTGCGATTTTTCTAGATAGATATGTGCTTCATTTTTGTAACAGATTCTAGTGCGTAGAAACGACACAACATGTAGTATTATCAATCTCAAAATTCACCAAATTTAGAGGTTGACCTAGCAGTGAATGTGCTTCCTTGTAATGAGCGGTGGTGGAAGGTGCCACTGTACTACATAGATCAAAAGATCAGCCAATATTCGAACTCTCTGTTCGAATATTCCTTCCAACCGTACATATAGCTGCTACGCCTAGACCACGGGCTGTAACATTTCTGCTCTCACTCATAAATCGAAAACATAACGTCAAAATGATCGAGTAAAGACGTCATAATAATATAACTAACCGAGCAACGACCTAACATCCATCTCTTCAACCGACGCTGACTCCAGGGAAACTCTGCTGTGGGCCCTGGTTACAGGGGTACGCCGCTCATATATTAGAGCCTGCTGCAAGTTGAACCGGGGACCTAAATAGGCACTAGAGGAGAGTATAGGCCCGCTAAGTATTATGTTCGCTAAGTCTTGAGTGCTGAATGAACTGTTCACAGGCGAGCGCTGGGGCAGAGCTGCGATCTGCTTATGCGTGAGAAATCCGAATATAGCCGAACGTATGTGGTCTTTTCAAGTCCGCTATGGCGACCAACGGACCTTGTTACTGATGGGATGGGATAGCCTAGTAAATGTATCCAAGAAATTCATTCATCCCTGTCCTCGTCAACCTGTATTTTCTTGGCTATGCTGAGCCTCTACAATGGTTTCGATAGCCTCGGGGCTTTCAGCTAAATCCACTCTATATATGTCTCACATATACTGAAGAACAACGCTGATAGAGACTCTCGCAGGTCTTATGAGGTACAAGAAAGCAGATCAATTATAAGACGAGCAGGGCGAACGTTGATGAGTACAGAGAGCTTCTTCACCCAGGTAATGGTTTCGTCGATGTTTTGCTTGCCAATTCCATGTCAGACAACCTTATCGAGGCCGAAACTGTGAAGAGTTTCGACGAGAGCCTTCACAGCCTCGACACCTTGCACATCAAGAGTCGAACTTTGAGCGGTAAAACTGAATAGATCGAACTTTGGAATAAGCCGGCTTTGAGTCCGATGGTTGAGTTGCAACATTTTGGATTCAGAATCAGGCAAACCTAAGGAAAGGGACTGATCGAACACAGGAAAGAAAAGTGTGAAAAAAGAAGCAAGAGAGGTACAAGACCAAAGATAGAACAGAATTAGAGAAGTCTGCTGGGTGTTCGATATAGGAGATTCAGCTAGGTAGGATAGCGAGATTCCTCCGATATCGCCGAGCGCCGATATTGCGTGAGTAACTCAACTGTCACACCTCCTCTAGGCCTCCCTGGAAATGAACACGTCCAAGTATTATCGTTCAAACATCAGCTTCCCGAGTTATCCACCAAATTCTCCTGACCTTATGTTCTCAAAGTGAGCCTTACTTTATTCATCAGGCATTCCAGAGACATACCATATATCCCTGACACATGCCTGGCTAGCGAAACTATCTTAGGTAGCTTGGTAGGCACGTGTAGGGTAAATCTCACTTTCAATATACTCTAAACGCTAGTGTCGAAGCAGGGCGATACTGAGTAGGACTAACATGGGGGCCTTGTGGCAAATTGTATGTCTACAGGTGGACACATTGAACCAGAACTAGGGCGCCGTCACCCTCGAGAAAAGGAACGAACAGCCGCCGAAGCAATGGGCAAGGGCTCGTGCAACCCAAGCGTGCCTGTACAGATGAGGACAGCAAACTAAGGCCACACGGGCACAAGAACAGGGTGAAAAACCTGTCTTAGACCTGTCCAAAGGGTTCAAAATTGAAAAGAAGAGAAAAGGATGCTTGATTGTTGCCTATAGCTAAAGAATTTGAAAAGTGGGTGGTATCCTTTATATGTATGAGGACCCTTGACCCACTGTACTCCATGTCCTACGGACTACCACCCTGGCCACCACAACAACATCGAGTATGCTGTAGCCATAGCCCTAGAGTCAAATCTAGCTTCGAGTGATGATAATAATTATATCATTATTTAACTTTAATTTGTATATTTTAAGCGAAGCTGCTCATGATTGCATGGTTTATACTTATGTGTTGTTATAATAGTTTCTGAAGTATTCTCGAACCATAAATTCAACTTGAGAGCATTTTTAAAGCTGACTTTACTTTGACACTCCAGCAATTATCACTTATGATAATTTCCCAGTGCAGATAATGATACTCCATGTTTAGATGTATAAAGCTTCTGTTAGAACTCGATATCACTCATAGAGCTGAAATTGTACAGCAATCGATGATGGACGATGTCAGAATTTTGACAGATATTTGTTGAAGTGCGACAGGTTTGCTCTTTTATTTTTCGCGAGGTTCAACTTCTGGCCCAATGTATAAAAGATAAGTCTTTTATCTATATCATACTCTTTCGAATGGTATCGTCGAAGATGATTATTTCAGTTATAGTTCCACGGATAAGCGAAAGAGACGCTCTATTTATAGTTACTGAGGCCTGAAATCTTTTCTCGTTCCCGATTGCGGAGTCGTATAGCTGCATATCGTATTAATTTTTCGAGACCACCTAAATCGAGCACTAACATATTCTGTACTACTAATACGAAGTATGAAGTTTTTTAGATAACTAACTGGTTGGGATTTTCCACTGTCCGAAGACGGTGGGAGTAGCGGTATGACTCCGCCGGGATGGCCAGAGAGGGAGAATAACTACTACCGTAGTCCTTCGACTTGAGGTAAGACTGCCGGTCTGCGTTTGACCATTCCGAAATATCCTCTTACTAATGCCGGAGGTAATTTCACCTTCAGACTGCCACACTCAGGACCGGGGTCGTGCATGGCAGGATTTCCAACCCCTGCACGAGCCTTGTTCTTTGCGAGAGCTTGCCAAGGCATCCGATTCCCCGTCCTCTGCACGACATCCACCTGAAGTCTGCGTTTGAACTGGCCTTGAGGTTCAATAGACGCGTGATTCAATGATGGCTTCAACCGCTAAGTCGGTCGGCCAGATCAAACGGGTGAAGACCGGATGCATTACTTGCAGGTGAGTACTTTCTAGTGATCAAAGTGGGCTGAACTCACATATCCGTAGAATCCGTCGTGTTAAATGTGGCGAGGAGAAACCGCACTGCCGCCGCTGCGTCTCTACCGGCCGCAAGTGTGACGGTTACACGCCCATCCCAACATCTAGGGGCCAACTTATCATTGCGCTGCGAGAGCAGAATAACGCCAGAGGATCCGGTACTCCTTCGTTGACCCTCACGGTCAGTCCAATCAGCTTTCTGAGCTCCAACGAAGCCAGCCAGTTTGATTACTTCCGTATGCGTACTGCCGTCAAAACAAATACGTTCCTCGGAGCTGACTTCTGGTCTCTTTCTGTTCTCCAACTGAGCTACGTCGAACCGTCCATGAAGTATGCTGTTTTGGCATTGAGTGCTCTACATCGACGTACAGAGTCTCGCGATCGCGCTACCGAGGCTGAAGCTTGGCATCTTAAAGGCCTTGTTCACTACGGAAATGCTGTGAATGCCGCTCAGAAGCTTCTGCAGCGTGCTCAAGCAAGTATCAGCTCTAGCGAGGGAACGAAGGCTCTTGCGACATGCCTCGTTCTCTCCGTCTTCGATAACCTGACCGGAAACTACAAGTGTGCGCGGATGCATTTGCAGAGTGGCTTGCGACTGGCTGATGAACGCAGCGCGCAGCCAAGGCATACTGCTCCTACGATGGAGGCAACGTATGGAGAGGTCACGCATCTTCTAGAGCGTTTGGACCTCCAGGCCATGGCCTTTTCAGACTTTGCAGCACCGTATCCATACCAAGACGGTGCTGCGAGGCATAACATCAATGTGCCGCTGCCAGAGGCATTTTCCAACATCTCAGACGCTCGCCAGCACCTGATCAGAATCCTGCGCTTATTTCAGCCTGGGGTTCGTTTCTAACCAGGAACTTGCCTCGCTCAAAGGGTCCTACATCCACTATGAGTACGCTTGCTGTACCGCCCGCCTGGCGCGCTGGCAAACCCTCTTCAGAGACTTACTTAACACAACCGGAGCATCGCTCACCTTCGACGACGGACAAACTAGAAATATCATTCTGCTGATGCTAAAGCTTTATGAGTGCATTGCTTGCATCATGTCCGGCACTGGACTTTTGGCGCGAGAAAATTGCTGGGACCGCTTCATCAGCGACTTCAGAAGATCTATCCAACTTTGCGAGCTGATTATCAATCCTGCACGCGAAGCGCCGTGCAACGCAGATTACCATTTGGAGCAGGGTCTGTTGATGCCTCTCTTTTTTACAGCAATACGCTGTCGCGATCCAGCTGTCCGACGGCGAGCTATCGCGCTGATGAGAGCTACGCATCGGGTGGAAGGGTGTTGGGAAAGCTATGGCGCGGCCGCTGTGGCGCAGCGAGTAATGGAGGTTGAAGAAGGTTTCCTGGGTCCTGATGCGGTAATTACGTGCGCAGCGGACATTCCTCAGGAAGCAAGATGCCACTCTATCATCACGGGGGTGAGAATGGTCGAGAGACAGGTGGACATGCAACTTGTGAAAATACTAGACGGAAGTTGGTATAGAGTTAGGGAGACGGTATGTTTCTAAAAGGCAGAGAAATACTTCCGTGGCGCAGTGATTTGGTACAAGTATTCTAGCATATCTGGAAGACAAACGTCGCAAATCAAGTTAGAATATCGGCGTCTTCTACTTACACGGCGCTAGTAAACGTATGAAGTAAAATTTTCTAACATTGAAAATTACAATACTTACATGGAATCTAAAGAGACCGCGGTGGAAAAGCTGTTTGCAAGTCTTGAGAGCTCACATGTGAACGTAGTAAACGTGAGCAGCTGTCGGAGCCAGGCAAAATAAGTCATGCCGTGATGACATTTACAAGTATTAGATTGAACCCAACCCCACCTCAGGCGCTGTCAGATCCACAATGAGGTCTGAAAACAAAGTCATCCTAATGCGTTCATGTCGCCGTGTAAGAGAGCAAATGGTCAAGGATAACGTTGACGGGAAGCGTTGCTGGTGATGCTGCTCGTTCATTGGTCGGCTCGCTATTGGCAGCCGCAGGCGAGATCCTTCGAACATTTTAACGGTTGCTGCAACACAGTCCCAATAACCCCTGAATACTCTATGTAATTAGTACTAGGAGATGTTAACAGCTCATTCGCTTGCTCGCTCAAAGCTATCCACTTCCACAAACTTCAACTCTATGCAGCTTATCGTAATATAGGTTGGTCTCTAGGCTGTAGAATCAGTATAAGAAGTGAGATGAGCATCTATTTCTGATTATGCTCTTCTTTTGCTCATCAGCCCTTTCCGCTAGAACTTAACCAATTGTCCACATTCTCATTTGGTTGAGCCTCAACGTGACTCTGAAGGATCTAAATTCTCTGCTGGAGTCATGTTCGCATATCTCTTGAGCACATTTGTGCTTTTGGCTTTCACAACCGCTGGTATCTCCGGCATGAGCGTCACCAAAATCATCCGATCTAACGACATCCCAGGCACATACATCTCCTACAAACAGACCGACATCTGTGAGACAACTCCAGGAGTCAAGTCCTACAGCGGTTATATTCATTTCGCCCCTAGTGCGCTGCAAGGTGTCCAAGGTGTGGGACTGTACAACATCAGCACATTCTTCTGGTTCTTCGAAGCACGTACCAACCCTCGAACGGCACCCCTAGCTGTATATCTCGCTGGTGGTCCTGGAGAGGCCTCCACTGCTGCTACCGTTATGGAGAATGGGCCTTGCTACGTCGGTGACGATTCCAATACCACCTATGTCAATCCTTGGTCCTTTAACAATTTCGCCAACATGTTGTATATCGACCAGCCCGTGCAAGCCGGCTATTCGTACGATACACTTGTCAATGGGACATGGGACCTTCTCACGAATCAAACTACGCCCATGGATACCACGGAGCCGAATTCGACCCTCTTGGCTGGAACGTTCCCAAGTCAGAACATTAATTTTACAGCCAACACCACTGCAATCGGCGCTCGTACACTTTGGATATTCGTTCAAACCTGGCTGTCCGAATTTCCAGATTACACTCGCAACAAGTCCACCAGCATCAGTTTCTGGGGGAACTCCTACGGCGGCTTCTATGTTCCCAGATATGCAGCCCACTTTCTCAGCCAGAATCAGAAGATAAAGGATGGGACTATTCAACGCCGCACAATTGACGTCGATACTATTGGTCTTACGAATGGGTGTGTTGACGCATTGATCCAGGCACCGTTTTACCCCATCTATGCTGTCAACAACACCTATAACATCGAGACCATACCCCCCGCTATTGCAGCAGAGGCTATAAACAACTACACAAAGTCCGGTGGGTGTGCTGATCAGATTCTCCAATGCCGTAAGCTTGGTGCTGAAAGCGATCCGTATGAACTCGGTATACCACCCACTTCACACTATAAGGCAAAAGAGCTTTCTCCTATTGACTATCTTTACCTAGGCATCAACGAAACTGTCAATACTGTCTGCGCCAATGCCTATGCATACTGCTTCAATAACGTCCTGGGCGCCTACGTGATTTCCAAGCGGAGCGCATATGATATTTCCGCTTTACTGCCCGTCGCTATCCCGCCCCTCTCGGTTCCCGGTTTCTTCAACCAGGACTGGGTTCAAACCGCCCTCGGCGCACCGCTGAATTGGACGTACAACTCTGCCGCTGTGCGGTTGAACTTCCAGTCCATCACCGGCGATCCTGTGCGCCGTAATATAGGAGATCTGAATGATCTCCTGCAGAACGGCGTCAATGTCGCGCTCATATATGGGGACAGGGATTTTATGTGCAATTGGGTGGGCGTCGAGAATGTGTCACTCCAATTAGACTGGGCGGGAAAGGAGAACTTCGTGGGTGCGGGATATACCAATATTTCCGTCAACGCTTCCTTTATTGGTGGTGTGGTGCGGCAAACGAACGGTCTGAGCTTCTCGCACATCTTCCAGGCTGGTCACTCGGTCTCGTTCTGGCAGCCTGAAACGGTATCGAAGATCTTTGACCGGGCGATGCTGCACAAGAACGTCGCGACGGGAGAAGTTGACGTTCCTATACTGCATTCTAGCCGTGGACAGGATGGATACATTGGTGCATACAAGAGTAAGGGACCGGCATCAAGTTTGAGCATCAGAGAGACTCTGCCGGAGAGTGATGTGTGGGGCGCATCGGATAGCTGTACAAAAGAACAGCTGGCAGCATTGGCTAATGGGACAGCGGTTGTCCAGGACTTCGTGGTTGTGGAGCCAAAAGGGGTGAGATGAGACCAGAAAACGGGTAAGAAGTCTGCGGGGTGCTGTTCTAGAAGGGTGGAAGTGGAAGGTGGCTGCATTTCTGGTTTCCTTCATTTCACGTCGAAAGATAAGGAGTGGAATTAGAGGATGACATGGTAGCACTTACTATCGCTATTGGTTCGTGTTTGATTACGTATTGCGAGAGGACGAGCGCTTCTCCCCTCAGTGTATTATAGAGACTATGACTATTTGACTCTACTTCCAACCTTGCCTATCTGTCTTATGTCGTTCGTGATCTTGTTGGTGAGGGCCAAATAATTTTTCCAGCCTGAGATATAAGATAGCCAGATATCTAGCATACGAATTCTTTATATCATCAAGCCCCAATTCGTAAAATTGATAGCAAATTGTTTGCACTGGACACCAGTCTGAACTCTGCATAGTAGTTCTGGTCTATTGGCACAGATCTCAACTGAACACTTCTTACGTCAACATAGTTAAACCTTCTCTATCCATGAATTTTGAGTCAACTATGAGCTTCTCAACTCAAACATTGTTTAGTGCGGTGGTTGCGGTGATTATGTCCAAGGCTACTTGATCAGGACTTCTATAGCGTGATACATAGTCTGGGCTATAGATTTCTTGATTTGACTTCTGATCACGGGGATTGAACCACCGCAGCTTATGGATTGAGCTATCTTTACTCTTTATATCAAGCGGTCAGAGATGTATAAAGTGCTCATAGAGCTGTTAACTGAGCCTCCAAGTCTTTTGAAATGATTGAGCCTAATGCAAACGCCTTTTCCCCAAGCGATATATCGTTGAGATACGAAATGGATAATCAAACCTGGTGATACAATGACCCAGGGCTAAGCCCAGGGGTCTGTTATAAGCAATCCTGCTATGAGCAGGAGAATGTTAACTATTTCACAGCTCTGGTTCCCAAAGCAGATGTTAAAGGATCTTTCGACTTTCGAGAAGCACACTTCAGGCTACACGTCTAGTAGAAGTAGCTGGGGAGTTTCATCAATATCCGTCTCTTAGTATGTTGAGCGCCATAGTTCGCCCGCAATGCGGCTCACCTCTTCCATCTTCAATTTTTCCTTACTGATAACTCTATAGCTCGACCATAAAAGCTTCTCATATGTAACAAAACTCGATGTTTCTGTGTTTGAAAAATTAGATAACCCGGTGTACATTACTTACTAAATGTTCAATAATGTAAGTCTGCATTAATAGCTAGGCTGAGCAAGCTGTTTGGTCTCTAGGATTATCGAATCTATGTAGCTATCCAGCGCTCTCCAGCACTCTCTTCAAAAAATCGAGTAACGGAGCCACCCACTCTTTTCTTACCGGAACGTGATGGCCACCGGGGTGCACGATGACCTCAGGCTCCACACACTTCTCCACCAAGTCCTTACACCGTGACTCGGCAACTACCATATCCATGCTGCCGAAAAAGTGGCATGTCCGTGTCATGATACCGCCCTCATATAACCATTCTAGTTGAGCCCCCGGCCGTGCAACGAACCCCGAGTACAAGACGCAGAACCTCAAGGGTTGCTCACTATTCGCTTTTCGCAAACGCTCCACCCACATCTTATGTCCTTCACCCTCGCGCACATCACGGCTGCGCTCCAATGCCGAGGCAACCAGAGCGCCCACCGCGGCGCCTTGACTGAAACCTATCACACCATCGACGCCGCCAGCTTCTTCAATCGCATCGGCAATAGAGAGCATACCCTCCTCGAACCCACGATAAGCTCCCAACTCCTCGTCATGGAGAAACCAGCCATATGCATCAAGCTGCTCGGCCAAATGTTCACCTGCGTCGGCATGCGGCTGGAAACCTGGGATGTCTGAGGGCTGTAGCCGGTGCGGACCTGTCGGGTAGACGCGTGTTGCGTTGATGCCTGGTAGACCTTTGGCTATTAACTTGGATAGGGCGCCTGTCTTAGCACGGAACAGAGGGCCGGACTGCGCGTAGCCTATAGCCAGGTTAGTGCTAGGTCGGCGGCGATAGAACAAGAAGAGAGCTCTCAATGAGCTATAATATTATGCCATTACCGTGCAGCATAAGAATCTTCAGCTCCTGTTTCTTTGCGCTAAGCCCACCAGCGGCAGTTCCTTTCCGGCTTGATGCTTCCTCTTGCTTGGCTAGCTCACGTGAGCTTGATTGTTCATCTTCTGGCATAATGAATTAGGTATCGCTGGTATCGTTTTTGAAAGCTGATATTGTGCACGGTATGCTTTGTATGAAGACAGTGGACAGAATGAGTAGTAACGATAGGTGACTGAAGGCATGATTCGAGAATTTTGCGATCTCTTGAGATATTCTGACTCGAGGTTCCACTGTAATTAGTGGAGATAGTTATCCAGGTGGGATTCTCAAGCGTCACGTGCCTACTTCTCAGATATATTTTTTAAATGCAACAATCTCACATAGTATGATATGGAGAAATATTACACAATCGGAAAACTTCCAAATACCGCTGTGTTCTTGAGATGTCAGTTTTTTAAACATTGCTTAGTACCCCACACTCGAAACTGAAACTATGTTTTCTGCAGATGCTATTCTGTAGACAGTCTCGCCTGAAATTCAATAACATTCGTATGATAAAAATTAAAAAAAAAGAGGCGGAAAATAAATACATATAAACGTAGAAATGTATGCAAATCAGAAATGGTTATATTGAATGGCATACTACCATCCTGCGTTTCCTAAATCATTCTGGCATAGGTCTGAAGTCCGGCTTTACAACCGCTCCTCTAGCGGCACCCATCCACTACCAAAAGCCTCCTCCGTCTCGTTTGGCAATGGATCGTTGTACAAGCCAGTGAGGTTGTTTGCATTTGCTACACACTAGTTGCGGCCACAATAACAATATCGCCGAATTCGCCGTGTAGTATACTATGGTATCTGGCCCATCTTAGCGCCGCTTCTGCTGTGTTGATCCCAGCTTAGCTGCAATCGATCTGATAATGTGGAATGCATCAAAGTAGGCGCCATCTCAGTACCAATCACAGTAGTACAAATCACAGTAGTACACAGTTCCTTTGGCTAGGTCAAAGCGACTAATCGCGGCCACGGACTTGTGTCACGTTAGTACTTGTCTGTTAAGATATCGCCAGCTAGCTGGATTGTACCGGTAACAAGCGGTGCCATACTTCCTCAAGCATGGAAACAATTCCTGCCCCACAGTAATTCGCAGCGCCATGTATAAATCTTGATGGACGTCGGGTTTTTCAGCCATTGTGAATGTAATTCTCGCAGACTTGAGCCACCTGCCAAGCGGGAAAGTTGCTGATGTCCAAACGACGGAATAGACCTTCGTTGTACATATTGTTGACTTCGCGCAAGGTCTCCTCATAAAGAGGCTTGTGATCAGGGAAATGAAGGTACCACTATGAATAATGTGGTTAGTTACAACTTGGTCGACAGTGTGGACTGAAGAGCTTCGAGCTTGCTTATGACAGATGACATTCTTTGAAAGGGGCCTCCACTAGAAGATAATAGCTTACTCACCAGATCAACTTTGTTAATTTTCAAGCACCTAGGGACTCTTCAATACCGCGACATAGGTATACCGGTCGATGAGAGTCTGCACTCGGGCTAGGAGTTGCTGCTGATGCTTAGCTTGGTGGCCAGTATAAGAGCCCGCTCCTGCCATTTGAGCTCTGCAAGATATGCCTCAGAAACACTATTGCTGTAACTGCGCGCAGGACCTATCTCATTAAAGTCAAACTGATAAAACATTCTTTAGGATCTCTTCAGCATTGTTAATGCTGGACATGCAAGCCAATTGATTACTTTGGTATAGCTTTGAACCACAGCACTCTGGAGGATCTGAAGTACCTGTCTTGCCTAGAGTCATAGCGCGGAAGACGAGCTTCACATCTGGATTCGCCTATTCCACCATTGTTGATAGTAGAGTTGAATTTTTTAATTCTAGATTGAAATAATGAATAGGGAATTAGAAATCGTTGATGATTTGAGATTTATACCTTTTATAGTTATAGGCTTTACTCACTCATAAAACAGCTAGATTTGATTTGCTTCTGCATTTCCCAATTAGCAACTTAAATGACAACATCACTAACACCCAATTGAATATATCATCGGGACTTGTTCCTGAGATAACAAGCTGCTTACTATGTAAGTAAGTCATAGTTACTAAATCCTAGAACAGGAACCACAACTTTTTCACTTTTCAGAATGCTACACTAGAAAGCGGTTTTTATTAGCTTCAAATCGCTACAATGCAGGACGTGGCTGGATCTACCTGAAAGATGAGTCACTAGGGGTAAGTTCTGGCTAATCAGAAATTCCGGCTACATCTGCTGGCCATACCGCCTTTTCAACCATCTCTATAGCTTTTACTTTTCTCAACGAATTTCTATCTAAACGTCTTGGTCTTCTCACAGAACCTTCATGAGACTATTATGAAAATCTACAAATATTATAAGCCAGCTGATGTTATTGAACCTATCAAGAACTGTAGTCTGAAGAAACTCTCCAGAAAGAATAATTAGAATATGTCAAGACGTTCTCAAGAAGTTCGTTTGGAAGAAAGAGAATTCCATGAGGCAGCTTAAGAAACCAGTGAAGCTTTCTGTCAGCAAACAAAGGGAAGCAGCTGACTGGACCCCTATTTAGGTACGTGTCTTAGGATATTCAAAATGCAAAGTCATAATACTTTCATTGTCTACCAGGCTACGTAGGTCTGTTTCGCGGCTGGGGATGTGCTTTGCAGCCGCGACGACATTGGTGAGATCCATGAGGTCTATTTGAAGAAGGTCGATGTTGGCCAAGGGTTGCATTATTTTATATTAACGATCGCTGCTGTTTCATTGTCTAATAACTAGGAGCATACATGAACTTGGACGCCGTGTTCTGCTAGGTGGGCTGATTTACATTAGCCTCTGTAGGCTAACGAGATCCGCGACTCGGGCTTCGTGGCCAGAAGGAAGAGAGGAGACTCATATCCCGAAGTTCCTACCTGTGAGTACGAATACGTTGCTTTTGACTTTAAAGACAGTGTCGGGATGGAAATTCATGTTCGAAATGAAAACTTATTTCAATGTGCGAAGATATAATACTCAAAAAAGACAGTTATTTTTGATATTACCAAAAGATGCATCAAGATTAGCATGTTAGTACGATCTTGCTATTGTTCTGATTAGATTAACATCTATTCGAGATATTTGCATCCTGGATTTTATTCTGAGCACAGATAGCATAAGTACTCTAAAAGTGACTCCAATCAAGTTAGAAGCTCTAGTAAATTGCTGGAACATTGAGCAGCAATCCGTATCCATCATTCTAGCACACTGTATCAAGCAGCTATACAATGCGAGAAATCTTTTGCTGCTAGATGAACTTTGAAAGGAGCAGCTTAATTCTGTCCTCCTTCTCTGTCCAGATAAACTCATTCCTCCTCCAAACCAACGCTCTCCGCGCTCTAGAGGTCAACCGTACTTACTCTCACCGTTCTCGTTACGCCGCTCAGGTGTGATAAGAAAGTTATCCGCGTCATCTCTATCTTACCCAGCCGAAATACTCCCTTCAACAATCTTGCCCATCACTCTTCACACATGGTGCCGCATAGCAACTGGATCGATCTGTTTCCGTGGGATGAGGGATGAGGGATGGGCCGGCAACACCTTCCACGAAGATGAATTGTGCGCCGACCGCATCGACGGGCTGTGACAGGGCTTCCCCGACGGTGAGGTCGAGCGACGCGGCATAATTGCGTGGTCGCTACTCTAGTCATCACTTTTAATTTGTTATGTTGAATGCCGGGCGAAGTAGTAAACGAGGCTGCACATTCAACACTTTCTTTTTATATTTTTTAGAGGTTTTGTGTGCGCTGAGCTAGGCTGAGGATGTTTATATATAAATAATTTACTCGTACACATGAGCCGCCACCTTTTTTTCTTCCTTTTTTGGGGGGGGGGGGGGGGGGAGAGACTATAAATACAAAGATAGCGACACCAAGCCGTCTGGCCTGTCCCTATCTCTGCTCAGATCACGGGTTGGGGGATGTCGGAAAGGATTCCGCTAAAAAGCGGTGGTTTTGTGCAGGGTTGCCGGGGATGTTAGAGACGACGAATGGGTGGCTGATGGCAAGAGGCGAGGAGCCATCTGTTCATGATAACTACACGACACATGCAATTGTATAATATCTGGTTGTCCGGCCACTTTTTCGTCATGGGCCGAGCTGGATATTTGGGCCCATAAATAGTATGCATTCACCTGAAATGGCCCACTACTCCTTTTTGCATATACTACTCTACATAAGATTTTGCGAAATGTCGTAGTTCCAAATCTCGTCCCCATAGCAAGCGAAAATCGGTTAAGTTGGCAGGAATTAGTCACACCATTCATTTATCCTATTGTGAGAGACGAACCACTCATCTTCATTTCGCTCTAGATTAGTTTGTTTACAATGTTATGCAAGTTATTCGATTTGATTAACTTCAAGGGTTCTGTCAATTCATTATACAAGTCACAACTTATATAAGTTAACGCACCCACTTCCGGGACCCCCGGTTCCGGACCCCCCTGGTCAGCCACACCACATATATATAATATATTGAATTTATTCTTTTTTCAGTTCTATGAGCCCACTACGATGCATTCCTCTTCATCCGTAACTAATTCGATATCGCTCTCTTCAACCTCGCTTTCCTCTTCAGGTCTAGCTGCTTTTTGAGCCCTCTTAACAGCTCTGATGCCTGCAAACTTCGAATTTGGACTTGTATCAATCTTCTTTCTTTTTGAAGGCCTAGAAGCCTCGATCTGTGCTTTAAATGCCTGATTTTTGCTAAGAGCTTTAGCTAAGGCTAGATCTCTCTCATCCCACGCTTTCTGAATCTTTCTGAACAGTAGGCATTAGCCTGAAACTATAAAAAGTTAGCTATGGTTCTGTTGTAACTGCTAGTATAGATCTCGAGCTTTTCTAGGTGTTGAATATATATCCGATTGAGATAGCAATGGTTTCAGAGTAAGCTGAGATGCTTTCAGTTATTCTGAGCTTGTATTTGCATAGATTTGCAAGCATTGTTAACTGTTCTCGAGAAGAAGAGGGCTTAAGAGTGATTTGATAAGGCTGATAGGCTATAAGCTAGTTGCTTTCCATCCAGATCTGATATTCTGAGCAGAAAAACTCTCCTTGCAAGCTAGGCAATAGATCTCAAGAAATAAATGCTTTCCTTTGATTGTTGAATCGCTCCATTAGCTCAAATAGTTAACTCTTCTTCGATAAGCTTTCTTAAGAAACGAAAAGATACCTAGATCAAGAGGTTGAAGAACGTATAAAGTATAAGAAAGCAAATAAAGTAATAGAATATTGTTCTGAAAACATTCCTATATGAATTCAGTAGTTGTATAGCTGCTGTAGCTATCCAGGATTAATAGTCTAGCTTCTGAGGGATCCTCTGGCTAGCTGCTTGGAATAAAGATCTTCTTCAGCCATTCAAGCCCTGTTTCATTATCAGTCCATCCATTTATTGTTGCAGTAAACTGCTAGCTCTTGAATAGAGCTAGTTCGAGAGGAAATTACTGTTATTATACAGATTTTCCTTTGAAAATAACCAGAGGAAGAAGGTGAGTGCTAGAAGCTGAGATACATTCGAGGAAGGAAGTCCAGATTCGCGATCCAGAATCTTTTCTCTTGATCAAACGTAAAGAAGAGCTCCTAAGAACTATGCTGTTCTCTCCCTAGCCCTCTATTATCCCAGCCTCATCCATATTCCATCTATTTGCTAGCTTGATAGCCTGAATATCAGGAAGATTGAAGAGATGGAACCAGAACCTTATTACCTCTATTATTGCACCATTTGTTCGCTCTACAGCTATTCGTCGAGCTCTCTGGATCTTAATCTCTGGATTCCGCTATAAAAAAGCCTCAGCCTATCGCTTTCCGATAAGCTGAGTATCTCCCTTGATCCCAAGAACTCTCTAGGCAAAGATCCGTAGTTGTAGATAGGTTGGCAGCAGCCCTAGAGCAGCTTGAGCAAGAACCCATTGGGCTAGTTGAGCTTCTTGATGATTAGAAAGTCTCTAGCTTGCTTCGTAGGCTGTTTTATGTAGTTGTAATCCAGCTAGGCGGCGAAGAAGAGTAGTCTTGGGAATACCTCAGGCGGAGAAGGCTTTTTTGATTGACAAGCCTTTTTCGACATCAGCAATAGCCACAGCCACTTCTTTTTCGCTGTATAGCTTAGTTAGAACTTGATGAATATACAGTTAAAAGATGAAGTTATTCTAATAATAACTGGAGGAGAAAAGAAAGAGTGTCAAAGGGGGTTCAAAATAGCGGTGTGGCTGACCAGGGGGGTCCGGAACCGGGGGGGGGCCGGGAAGTGGGTGCGTTAACTTAAGCGCTATAATATTGATATTGGGTTCTAATACCTAGCGGTCCAGGTTTGTCTTTTCGCGAGACTCGTTGTATGCTGCGTGTTGAGTGGGTTATAACAATAGCGGATGACCTATGATTGTGCTGTATATCTTTTTTTTCTTTTCTTGCAGAAGCTCGGAAATGCAGACTTCAGCCCGAGCAACCTCGCAATTTCCGAGTGCAGGCCAAGCCAGGATTGCCTTACGTACCCCCGCATTGCTGATATAATCGCCACATAATATTTATCAGTGACGTATTAATAAGAGCTGCTGCTGCTAATTCATTCCTAGCTTTTATATTCCCAACTGTCGTCACGCCAACTACACAGGAATCTTGAACCTGTCACTCCTAATTACTTCAATCTAGGCAAAATGTCTTGGAATACTTTACTTGTCCTCGCGCTTGCCAGTCTTGGCAGCGCAGGAACGGACCCGCGTATCCAAGTGGCCGTGACATCTACAACACGCATCACTGGAGATATCAGCTACACTCCGGACGGTCGACTATTCCTGCAATGGAATACCTACATAAATGGCACGACTGGGCCATCACTCACAGAGATGCTGCCTGATAATACTACCGTCGCCTACCCAAACGAGGAATGGAATTCTTGGAATGCTAGCGACCCTACGATGGACCCTGCGACACACTTCATTAAAGTTGCTGCCAATCGCCTTGGGCCCGATGGGAACTTTTATGTTCTCGACAACGGATACACGGACACGTACGGCCCAAAGCTTGTTTCTTTCAACCTGACTACAAACGAGCTTGCCAACACATGGCTGTTGGAAAACATGACTACCAGCGGCTCTCAGTGGGACGACTTTCGCTTCAATGGTGATATGGTTTACTTTACCGACTTGAGTGCTGCTATTGGCATCCTCGATCTGACTACCGGGTCCACGCGTCGTGTGCTGGAAAATGACATATCCACCACGTCCTACTTTCCCATGTCTGCCGTGGGCAACCTTATGTCGCTGGACGGAAGCTATAGCTTCACCAACTCAGACCAGCTCGAGGTCTCGGCCGATGGCACCTACTTTTATTATCAGCCCTGCAACGGCAATCTCTGGCGTATTGCTACATCTCTCCTTGACGCGGCGCTGTACAACGACACTGCTGCCGACGCCCTGTCCGCCAACGCCGAGCCCTACGCTCCTACACCGTCTACTGGTGGAACAGCTATCGACGCCGATGGTACTGTTTACTCCAGTGACGCGAATCGCAATGCTATCTTGAGAATCTTCTCGAATGGAACTATGGATACCCTGGTCCAGGACGACCGACTACTTTGGGTAGATGCGATGTGGGTTGACTCACAGAACCGTCTCTGGATGCCAGCAACTCAGCTGTTCCTGGGCTCAACCTGGAATGACGGCGTTGATGCCTATAAGCCGCCTTTCAATGTTTTCACAATCGATATTGGTGTTGGCCCTTCGCCGCTGGACCACGCGTAGAAGCGCCGGGGTATTTGGAATTTGCAGTAGACAAAAGCTTATTCCGTAGAATTATCCGATATTTCATATGATTTTACTTGAGACAACGGTTTTGCTCGTCTTGTCAGTCAAAATCATCTTCTAGACCAGACTTCTTTTTCCTGGATAGGGGGAGTGGCTTGACGTGTGAGAGAGAGAGAAGGGGACAAAGATGACGAGTCTTAGTGGATTTAGGTACTTATCGCAATATCTAATTTAAAATTTATAAAACGACTAGGTTGCGAGAGTGAGTGAGTGGGCTTGTTCACAAATGATTGTAAAGCTGCGTCTTGTGCGCTGTACACAACTTATACATGTACAAATTTGGGACTTATCTACTACTACATAAGATATGTACAACTAGCTAAGCCTAGCATGATCAAGCTTTCAGAGATGCCACCCTCGGGTTTAGTTGCCAACGTAGACCGCTACAATCTGTCCACCAAGAGACTCGTCTGTCTCGCCAGTGTCGCCGGCAGTGGTGACGTAGAGCCAGCCGGCATCGGCCTCTCCACGGCCCAGCTGGCATGCGGTGGGCCTCTCGATCTGGGTGCTGTTCACAGAGCCGGCAATGTAAACGCCGGTGCTGGTGGCGGGGTCGATGCGCTCGATAGCGTAGGCGGCGCTAGTAGCGGCGTAAAGGTAGGTGGAGGTCTCGGCGGCTAGGAAGGCCGCGCTGTCGTAGTAGGGTGGATAGACGGCGAGGTCGTCCCAGCCCTGGCCGGGCAGATTCGCGACGGCCAGGACGGCGTCTGCTGCACCATTGTCGGCGGCGTTGCCGGCAGCGTCGATGGCGATCTTTCCCATGATGTTCTGCGCTGTGTTGGTGAAGTAGAGTGTCTTGCCAGCATCGCCGACCTTCAGGCCGTTGATACCACCGGCCAGGGAACCCGTCTCCATAGACATGAGCGTCTTGTTTTGGATGCCGGGGGCGTATGTGCCGGTCTGGGTGTTGATGGACCAGGTCTGGCCGAGCGAGGAATCGCCGGCGATGATCAGTGACGTGTTGAGGGGGTGGGCACTGAGGCCATTGAGGAAGACAGCTCCCTCGATCTTGGAGAAGAGAGTCACCTCGGGGTCGGAGGTGTTAGAGAAGGTGACAGTGAAGATGGCGTTCTCGCCCTCGCTGTAGGTGAAATTGCCTGCGATAAAGTAAAACAGGTCGGGGGTCTCGAGAGACTCAGCGATGCCGAACAAGGACGAGTAGCCGTATGTCTCAGTGAGGTTCTGGATGAGCACCGGCTCGGGGGACGCCGCAGAGGGGTCCAGCGAGTAGAGGCACGCATAGGGCTGCTCAGGCATCAGCAGCAGGTTGCCATTTGAGCGAACCGCAATGTTCTCAACCCATGTGCCTGGGGGAAACTCGTAAACTGTTCTAGTCGTGTTGGCAGTGGACGTCGCCGCGGCTTTTGATGCTAGCAGGACAGAAAGAAGCGCGGGGACGTTTGCGAAATGCATGATTACTATGATGCCAACGACACAGAATGTAGCTGCCGATAACTTGGACGAAATGTATTATCAATTACCGCAGCGCGTGGACAATGATGACCGTGAATCGTGTTATGGCAGTAGCAGGTGATGTCAGCCTACCTAGATATATGACTATGGTACGATAGTACAGCCCTCTGTATCTAAAAGTCGTCGCAATTGTCCCCATATTTCCAATCCTGGTTCCTTGTAGCATTCAGGGGACGATACCGTCACCGAAACCCCACAGTTACATTGTTTAATGCCGAACTAGTCATGCTCCTTGTTCTTAAATCGGGTCCGAATTGTTTCCGAGGCCAGAAAACTTTTAGCACTTATAATAGCTATAAGGGGCTCGAGTGGGGCATATTGATGTACAATTGCTAGATGGAAGTGAAGGAGACAGGAATAGCAAATCATGCGGTTTATCATGCGATAGCTCAAGATCAAAGAGGAGAGATATGAGCCAAACGCATGTCTCTAAGAAATTGCTAAAGCCAGATTCGCACTTTTCTCTTGAATCCACACAACGTGTGGGAGGAACCAGTACTCATATATTTTCATCCAGCCGAAAGAGAGCCACTTTTACTCACTGCTGATTATAGTATCGCACTACTTAGCTACAATATTATGTATTCCCATATATGTGTATCATATACTTCCAGGATCTTAGCTTGAGCATCAATATTGTTGATGAGCGCGTGCATCAAATTTCACAAGAAGCTGACTCAGCCTTTAATCCAATCAATCTTATGATATATTCATTATAGGTTTGTTTCAGCTCAACTAGGACCGAATGGTAAGAAGTAAGCAAAGACATCAAGGAAATACTCGCTGGCGCAGGAGTTCCTCTCAGTAGTAGGACTAAGATAGTCAGAGATACCAGTAGTGTTGGTCATGAAATAACTATTGAGGTCAGCATTATAGCAGTTAAGGGCGTTATAGAGGTCCTATGCACGACTGTGACAATATTCCCGGACCCCTCAAAGTCTTTAACAAGCACCTTGCAAGCGCTCTAGCTTACTGTCCACTTCAGGTCGCTAGGACCTAATAGCTTGCCCAGGATTCCGAATTATGGAATATATTTTATAAGAGCTAAAAGAGGACGTGTATATGACAGGAGATGATTATAACGTTTTCCTAAACTTGTTAAGCATTGCTTGCGAGTTTCTGTGAAAGGGAATAGGTTTATATGACAAAGATAGGATGAGATGAGTAAACCAAGCACAAACCAGGATAATAGAAGAGCTGTTCTGAAAACAGATAGCAACCTTGCTAATGCAGTTCCTGAAGCTAAGGTACTGAAATAATCTGAGTGATCTTGGAAATGTGAAAGAATTCACATCAGCTCAAAGGCTCTTATCCTCTTCTCCTACAGAGAGACATAATCTCGACAAGAAACCTGCCAAATGCTCATTCACTAGAGAGGAAAAGCGAGACGATAATGCTTTTCTTTTTGTTTCAATCAGGATAAATAACAACCACAAACATTTAAGCAGTCTGAGTGAGAGTGGCTATCATTGATCAGCTTGCTGAGACAAGCAGTAATAATGATACTGTGGCGGATTCAGGAAGGACGCCTGTTTCTAGCCTACTGGCATCAATAAAGTCCTCCTAGCTAACCTCGACAAAACAGGCCCAGAGGGCATATTCACGCTAGACATTATACTAAAGGTCAAGAGTTAGGCAGCTAAGGATACCATCAACGCTTCACCTGCTAATAGCAACTAGGAGAGCAGGTAGATAGGACGAGTTGCAACAGCTGAATATGCAGTTACAGCGCTGGCTGTACTTACTCACCACGGGTCGTGCTTGTTGTCAATATTGGACAATGGCAAAGATGTTGGTGGGGAATGGCTGGGCGATCTAGTAATGTGCACTGCTCAACTCGCTAGCAGCTGAGTGCAAGTGTGGTGGGTCAAAGTGTAGAGAGCAATAGAGAAGATAAGCGCCAGTGATCCAGGAATGTTCATGTCGTTGTCGTCGCGCAGCTTTTGCCCCCTCACTCGGGGACTATCTCGCGCGTGATGAAGTGGCCTTGCCCTATAGCAACAATGCGATCGTTCTAGCCAGCCTGTGCACATCTGTCAGTTCCATGCGTACTGCTATGCTATTATACCTGAGCTTGCAGACAGCATCCTGGGTAAAACCCTGCTTGTGAGGGTATTAATAACTTTTGAAAGAAGCTAACTAACTTCACCTCAGTCTCGACAGTTCCTATGGCTGAGGGCGCCTTCTTCTTCTTCCAGATGAAGGCAAAGATATTAGATTAGCCTATAGAGCTAATATTTAAGCGGGAGTTCGGTTATATAGAGCAGTCAGGGAAAGGATCTTGCTCTATCAGGTGCGGAATTGGCATCCATAACCTCATCGAGGAGCATGCGGCTGAAGTGGAATAGCCTGCCCTTGAGCCTGAACCTCATATCTACTGATAGAATTTGCATTCTGTCCGAAGACTTTAACAGGTAGCACAGCATAGCAGCGACGACTTGTATGGTTGCAAGCTGCATAGAGACCTTGTTTAGGTCTAACATAGCAATAGCTAGCTAAGGTTGCTCTGGCATGAGAGTTCGCAATATGCTCCCATATGATAGCAAATTTAGGCTATGGTACGTTCATGTTGTTATGGCTCGTGACAAACAATAATATGTGCGCGCTATTAGCGGTGATGAGCTTGATATTCTGCTTCTCCTTCTCAGTCAAGGTAGCTAGCATAGGCTTGATCTGCTAGCCTTCACTCACCCAACTATTGCTGTCATTGAGAGACGAGTACCGTCATTAATTGAAACCTCAAGATCATGTTTGTAATAACTGGTAGACGAGCTTGGTGCCCTCGCCCAGAAGCTGCCTGCTGTGCACAATCTTGACAACCGGCTCGTCGTCCTCGTCCTCCTGTTCCGCTGTTATGAACTGACCGCGAGCATACAAATCATACCGCTTTAATGCAGTTTTTGCTTAGAAAGTGTCTAAAATAGGGGTTGTAAGAACCATCGGGGCTGCCAAAGTTCAGAACCCGCAAGCAGGGGTTTTTATGCGAGAGAAGGTTCACGAAGGCCCCATATGCTCTAGTTGAAGCTGCTGCTGTACACAGATACCTGACCAGCTGCGCCTCTTGGCCATCATCACTATTGCCATAGCCCAAAGATAGCAGGATAATAATGTCAGGCTTCCAGACTACTCTGAAAATGAGCTTGCGCTGTTGCTCGCTGCTGCTGCTGCCGCCCTAGTACCCTGTCACGCATACATCATCTGACGTGAGAATAGGGGGCGGTCCTGCTTGTTGCGGAGGCAGATTTTGAGCATGTAAAACACAAAGCTCATGCGATGAGCATTAGTATGGAAGGTGAGGTGGCAGATCTTATCTTCCTTTTACTTAGCAGTAGTATGTGTAGGTTGAGCGCGGAACTAAGCTTCCTCAACAGCTACAGGCATGCTGTGTTGGACATATAAACACGTGCTGTGGAGTTGTGGCGTGCTGCGCAGCCGTTTTGCTAAATCCAATATGCTGATAGCTAACCTTTTAATAACACTGAACATGCTAGCAATAATTCTAGCCTTGGATATCCAAATCTCGGCGAGTGCTGCAAATTCGAGCCTTATCATTGAGCTTTTCCTTTACAAAATAGCTGTACTAGCTGCTAGCTGCAAGAATCTCGAGGTTGTTGTCAGCTGCACCACAGCTGAGGCTAGGCGTAAATCTGGTGAGTGCGTTTGCTAAAACAATAATCACTCTTACTGTAACATGTGACATGCGTGGAAGCAACCCCATTGTGGTAGCTAGCCACCTTAAACTCCCACCAGGCTTTAAACCAGCAGCCGACAGAGCCATAGGCTTGAGGATAGCAAGTATCTCGACACTAGTAACAGCTGCATTGGTTGGTAGTGCGAGAGTATTGAGAAAGTAGACCTAGCGCAACCCGACCTCAACTGACTCAGCCGCTCTAGCACACAGATTCGACAGCTATAGCCATGTATCTAGCGCTAGGATTGACAACCATATCCCCAAGAGATTGCTTTCTTGTGACTTGCATGTTGTCTAGCACAGCTGAGCATCAGATGAATAGAAGTCCTTAGAGGGATATGTGAGTAAGTTACAATTACGCTAATACACTTCATAGCTCAATACTTATTGAACTCAGCAAATCGTCATTCTTCGAGTATTTGGACTCCAAGTCTCGGTATTATATTCATTGCAAAATTGTATGGATCAATGTCAAGTGTGTACTTGTGAATTTGTTAGTTAAGAACTAGCTAATCATTATCTGAAAACCGTCAGTGAGACTTTATCAACTTAGGCTACTTGGTCCACATGCTGAGTGCTCATCTTTCCCTCGGTCTCGGTCTGCTCGCCCAGTAGCGCGATAGCTCTCAGGAGGCCAACCTCTTCCTGTATAGCAGCCAGCACTTCTATGTCCTCCTCACTTGACTTGGATCTGTTTTGTACAAGAGGTTAATAACCGTTATGTGAAAATCATCGTCTTCCGGTTCTGGGAAAAAGAATCGGAGACAGAACAAAGGTCAAACATACCCAAAGACTTGGTCCATCTCCTCGAGGGTCTTACCCTTTGTCTCTGGGACAAAGAACCACACGAAGACAATGCCCAAAGCAAGCCAGCCGGCAAAGAATATGTACAAGCCCCACGAGATACGAGCCAGCATGCTAGGCGTCATTAGAGCAATGACAAAGTTGCACATCCAGTTGGCCGATGCTCCGATGGATGTTCCCTTAGCACGGATAGACAGGGGGAATATCTCGGCGATCAGAGTCCAGGAAGCAGGTCCCCAGGAGTAGGCGAAGTTGACGATATACAGCCAGATCATAACAACACAGGCCCAGCCCCCAGCAGCGTGTGATGGCCAGTCGTTCTGAAACTGAGAAGCAATCACGCCAACGATGACCAGTGTAGAGAGCATGCCGAAAGACCCAAACATAAGCAAAGTCTTGCGCCCGATCTTGTCAATGACGAGGACAGCCGGGATCGTGGTGCACACATTGATAACACCAGTGATTCCTGTCGCGAGAAGGGAACTTGTGCTGCTAGTGAGGCCCAGAGAGGTGAAAATGATAGGGGCGTAATATATGACTGTTGCGCAAATATCACTTATTAGCGGGGCATGAACCAAAACACCCGAAAATCAAACGGAATGATGAGGATGATGCAAGTCATTCTCCTACCTGAGTCGATGCCAGAAAATTGCTGGAAAAACATGACGAGCGATGCTATGGCGACGCGCTTGAAAGAGTCCTTGGTCCGAACGATCTGACCATACTGAGCAAGCTCCCGAAACCATATGTTGTTGCGCCACTTTTCCGAGAGGTTTGGAAACCGCTTCTCAAACATGCGCCTCTCAAAGATGCATTCGGATTGAATGTCGAGGTATTCGATCTGGATGAGCTGGTCGTCGATCGGAGCGCCACGAAGACGACTGAGCGTCTGGAGGGCATCTTCTTTCCGGTTGTGACCGACCAACCAGCGAGGTGAGTAGGGAAGAAACCAGACGCCAACTGCGAGCACGATGGCAGGAACCCCTTGAATGATCAGAGGTAACCGCCAGGCCCAGTCGGACTGGCCGTCTCCGGTACCACCTGTGTAATTCGTCCCATATGCGATCCAGTAGGCAGCCAGAATCCCAATGGTAGTAGCCAATTGTTGCATTGAGACGAGAAGACCTCGGAGTTCGGGGGGCGCTAGCTCTGCGTTGTATAGAGGACTGGTCATGGTAAAACAAGGTTCAGCTTGAGGTGACCTAATCACACCGAGCCAAAGAGAAGGGAGAGGGGGGGGGGGGCACTGGTGGCATTCAGCAGTCGAAGATTAGAACAACGTACCCAGCAGCGGACAGCGTGCCGACCCCAATGCCAGTGAAGAATCTGCCAGCATATAGGAAGCCTGCCGCGTTGGCACCCGCAGTAAGGTACGAGCCCAGGATAACCCAGATGGCACCAGAGAAGATTGTTCGTTTCCGGGAGAAAACCTCGCAGAACACACCAGAAGAGACAGCTCCGAGCCACCCGCCGAGCTGGAGGACTGAGGTCAACCAGCCTTGGGCGGTTGGATCGGCAGCGATGGAGGGAAACGATCGTTGGAAAGAATTCATGACGAGGGCTTGACCGAGCACTCCCTGCTGGTAACCGTAAAGAAGACCACCCTGTGAGAGCGACTGGTTAGTGACGTGGGGTTTTGCAAAAGCCCAAGTCTCACATATAGACGTTCACGGCAGGATTCTCTCTTCTCGAAAGAAATTACTCACGAAAGACGCAAACAGAGCAATATACAGTATCTTCATGTCCGACCGCAAGGCTCGCAACGCACCGCTGTGGTTGCCGGCTTGCGCTCGGGCGCTCGCGGCGGCCCCTATGACCGCCGTGTCCCTTCCGGAGGACATGATGATTACTGGGAGAGAAGCTGTCGTCACGAGGTCCCGGGTTTCATGAGCTGTGAGATGATCTGAAATGGCAATCTTGAAGGTCAAGTCGAGAGCAATGTCTCGAACCGCTCCAAAGTGGTTTCAATCGTGGGGAAAATGGGAAGGGGAAAAGAGTCCGAGTTGATATAGATTTAATGACGGTGACCGATTCTCGTCTAGCGACAGGGGCTGGACGAATGAGACTTGATCGTGAGCATCAAGTTCTCCCCCCGGCAAGCACATATAGAATGATAGACAAGTCGAACCTGATGGTGGTAATACGTCTTCTCTGCCACACATTCTTCCCCAGATACTCCACATGCCCTCGACGCGCGGGACAATGGAGATGGGGCGCGGGGAAAAGGCGGGGGAAGTGCATGGAGCGGGCTGGGGGTGGGTCAGAAACAAAAAAACAGGGCATTCGATGTTGTAGGGGGAATTTTTGCACAGACTTGAACAGACTTTCTCCAATCAAGTTCTTTAACACCGACGTAAGCCTCTCCACTCGGAAGGATACCCACACCGAGCACCACAGATAAACCGGTACCGGGTGAACGCGAGGTGCGAGAGAAGAGAAGGAGGCTGGCCATTTCAGAACTTTGATTATACCGATAGTGGAACGTTAGTGGTTTGTTCCATATTCAGGATGATGAAGAGAAGACTGCTGCTAGTCATCGATCTATCAGACTCAATAACATGTCTCGCTATGGAGATGTTCACACGAGAAAATGATAGGCCTGTTAACTGGATCCGAATCCTTCACCATTTTGGGTTTCGAATCTTCTTGCAGCTTCGCTAGCTCACACAGTCATCGTTCAGATTATCATGGACACTCTTAATACCACATCGGCTATTGCCAAACTCAGTAACGATTTGAGCAATGGTCCCGGCAGGTTAAGTTTCCGTTACAAGACGTGATATACCACCAGTAGGCTGGTGATTACCACAACTCACCTCGAGCCGCTCGTCACGACAGTATTCGTGTCTTCACAAAGAGAGAATCGCGACAGCACTATGGCATGGAAGTCTAAGGGAGCGAGATTCAAGTATTCGTGAGTGACGAGTGCAATAGCTTAGAGGAGTCCTCTACTGTTTAGCGAGATTATGACTTTTTATACGTAGGAGGAGATGGTAAGACCACAGCCGTCGTATTGTCTTTCATGTACGACGCTCGTCTTTCTAATTAAGAATGTCTAATCACGTTAGTCACGCTGAGAGCTAATGTCTTCGCGCCGTCGTTCAAGAGATGTGATTGATGAAAATTGAAATTAAGAAACTCATATATGAATCATAATCCAGAAAGACTCAACAACCTACCGTACAATTTGGGGAGGAGGTTTCCGATGCTTGGCCCCTTTGCCGCTCCCAGCATGAACACGTCTCGCGGTCATTGATGATATTCGCTTAGCGAGCCCACTTAAATCTAGCTGTAATCTTGGTATTGACTTGAGCGATTTACTAGATTCATGGGTCTGAGTCAAGTGCCCTGATAGCCCACTTTTTACTATGTGCCGTGGTATTGCCGAGGCTATCCCGTCCCCATACTAGAGCACCTCGTCTCGAGAGAGGTGAACCTCGTCTCGAGAAAGGTGGGGTCGGGCGATAGCGGGGGCTGGCGGTGTCATCATCGTGACGAGGGAATAACTATCTTTGGCATTCTATAGAAATTAGAGGTAGCCTTAGTGAGGAAAGGGATCAAGCAAATCCAACCGCTGTCCTTCTCTTTACTCCCCTAACACGCCTACCAACCATCCCACTACACCATGTCTTTGGCGCCATGGAGGCTGCTCCGAGGCAAAACCGCCTGCATCACAGGCGGCACTACCGGGATCGGACGGGCCATCACTCTCGAGTATATCCGGCAGGGTGCCAATGTAGCAGTCAACCACTTAGGTCTTCCCAAAGATGAACATCATAAGCAGAGCTTGCTGAGCGAGGCACAAGAGCTTAAGCGTCGCAGCACCGAGGAAGCACCTGTTGGGGAAATACTGGAGATTGCTGGTGATACCACCAACCCGGAAACAGGCAAAGCGCTTGTGGGCGCCGCTGTGAAACGATGGGGAAAACTCGATGTCTTTGTCGCCAATGCTGGGATATTCAAGGCAGCCGAGTTTCTTAGGTAAGATCTCGCAGGAAATGCAAAGAAATTCGCGAAAGAGACATATTGACACGGCGCACGCAGCCTAGACAAGCAGCTCTTCGACAGAACGGTCCAGGTCAATGTGAACGGTGCCTTTTACTCCTGCCAAGCAGCGGCGCAGCAGATGGTCAAGCAGGGCCATGGTGGAGCCATCATTGGCATTTCTTCCATCAGCGCCTTGGTAGGAGGGGGCCTGCAGACTCACTACACGCCGACAAAAGCTGCTGTCTCGTCTATGATACAGTCCATGGCGATTGCGCTGGCAAAGGACAAGATTAGATGCAACGCCCTGCTCCCCGGAACTATTCACACGCAGCTCGCAGAAGATGATATGCAAAACGAGGTGAAACGGACCTATCTTGAGCAGCGTATTCCCATGGGCCGTGTGGGAAAGCCGCAAGATTTGGCGGGGCCTGCTGTCTTCTTAGCTTGCGAGGAACTGAGCGGATATATGACCGGCTCACAGGTCCTAGTAGATGGCGGTATGTTTGTCCATTTGCAGTAATTTGAACAAATACATGAATGCAGATATCCATTCAAGACTAAGTATCTCATCAATGCCGCATTCTGGTCTCAAGTGAATAGATGATGGGGGGGGGGGGGGATGCTGTATCTTATGCATGCGGAAACAATCTGCGGAATACATTTGGCGATGCTTATTCATTATTCTTTCGCGGTGTTTCTAAGCCGTATGGGTCAGCAGGTAATTAAGAGACAGCGATCCAATCTCGTTGATCCAAGCCGCCAATGGCGTTTGTTATAGCGAAAAGAGAGGTACTCGACATCTCCAGACCTGAGAGAAGCTACGGATTATATTGCGAATATCTATATTAGAAAAAGCAAGGAAGAAGCGAACTCGAAAGCAGAGACTATGTAGGCCTCAGAGTTCTTCATAGCTAATGTCTGTATATATATACAAGCTGGAGCTGTAGATAGCAAAGCAGTAGAGAATATTGTAATAAGCACTGCTGTTATGACCCATCCAACACACAGGTCACGGGAACAGGCCCCGCTAACAAAGAACTAGGTATTACAATCCTACGTCAAGCCACTAGGACAGGATTACGTAATCAAGAGTTAGGATTACAGGATCAGTACGGATCAGTAGCTGATCCAAGATGATCCGGATCAATAGGATCACCCAGATAATCCAAATGATTCATCAGAAAATACAGTCAACGGATCTGAATGTTATGATGCACTGCAATATCCGAAGATCCTGAAGTATACAAAGGGTTTATGCTAACAAGAGCGGTATCAAAGTATCAATCCCTGAATACGGAAATATAAACAAGCAATCTATGCAAGTGCTTCAACTGTCTTTGGAGCTATTCAAGTGTGTGATAAATGAATACTTAGATTAACAACTGAAGAGCTATATCTGATCTATCTAATAGTAATGAATATGTTCTTATATATTCAGCTCTTCAGTGTGAACCGTGCTAGTCGATAGCGATAGTTGCAGTTCAAGGTTGCATCGATAGAACTGCTCGCAGTTCTCGCAGTCTATCCCTGCTCTGTAGAGCTTGTATCCTAACCCTGGTTAGTTTATTCATGTGTTGGGCTGTAATGCTTGATCTCTTGTTAGCAGAGCTCGTTTCGTAATCTGCAGGCTGAATAGGTTATAATATCATCTCCCTCCTATCAGTTGTTGTTCTCAACAATCTTCTGAAGATTTTCCATCAACTTGTTCATATATATTCTCATTCCTTCCTAATACGGAAAATAAACAGAATCGATAAACCTTGTTACAAAAAGACAGAGCAAAGTGCTTCTCTCTGGCTTATTGCTTTCTCTCAGTGCTCCGTTATGCCTTCCTGCTCCTATTCCAAGAGTTGTAAAGCTCTCTGTCTGGCTTCTGAGGAGGATTCGTTGCATTGCACCGAGTGCATTCGAAATAAGCGGGGAAACTGCGATATGCATAGCTTTACTTCTGCACAGATGCAAAAACTTATTATGCAATATTCGAAGATTGAAGCTGAATTGAATATTGCTGAGAAGAAAGCGATGCTAGCGAATATAAAAATGTTCTGATTGTACAAATAGTGCTGTTTGTAAGCTGAGAAGATAGTATGTGCTGTTTGTTAGGATCTGGATATGATTGAGAAGCTTAATTATATGGAGGCGAAGGAATCGGCAAAAGAGCAGCAGGCTTGTATTTCTGCTAGCTTTCTTCTGAAGCGGTTTGATGAACTGTGTAATGATGCACTGCAGTATCCGAAGATCCTAAAGTACACAAAGGGTTTATGCTAACAAGAGCGGTATTAAAGTAGTAACTAATTGAATACGGAAATATAAACAAACAATCCGTGCAAGTGCTTTCATTCGCCTTTGGAGCTATTCAAGTATGTAACAAATGAATACTTAGATTAACAACTGAAGAGCTATATTCTGATAGTCTATCTAATGGTAATGAACGTGTTCTTATATATCTTGCTCTTCAGTGTAAACCGTAGGAGTTGACGATCGATTGTTGCAATCTCTAGCCTGAACTGTAAGAACTGATGTTAATAGTTGCGATTCAAGGTTACATCGACAGAACCGCTTGTGGTTCTTGCGATCCCTTCCTGATTAGTTCTCATTCCTAACTCTAACCCTTAACATATGAAAGTCTTGAGGAAGCTTGTACTCATACAACCATAGTGTTCGTAATTAGCAAAAGCGAGCTGCTAACTCTCATACCAGCTCATACAACTCACTTAGCCAACTTATACAACTCACTTAGCTAACTCATACAACTCACTTAGCTAACTCATACAACTTACTTAGCTAACTCATATGCAGTAGTGTTGTGGTGGCCAGGGTAGTAGTCTGTAGGACATGGAGTACAGTGAGTTAAGAGTTCTCATACATATAAAGAATACTACTCACTTTTTAAATTCTTTAGCTATAAGCAAAAATCAAGTATTCTTTTCTCTTCTTTTCAATTTTGAACTCTTTAAACAGATCTAAGACAGAGTTTTCATTTTATTCTTATGTGTAATAAGCACTGCAGCAATCCGAAGATTCCAAAGTATACAAGAGGTTTATGCTAATAAGAGCAGTACTGGATGTGAGCCTTGAATACGGAAATACAACTGAGTAATTGTGCAAGTATTCACTGCCTTTGGAGCTATCAGAGTAAGAAAGTAATCTGATACTTAGATTAACAACTGAAGAGCTATATATTTAATCTATCTAATGATAATAAGCGTGTAATTATATATTCAGCTCTTTCATATGAATTGCTGAAATCTCTAGTGTTGTGGTGGCCAGGGTGGTAGTCCGTGAGACATGGAGTACAGTGGGTCAAGGGTCCTCATACATATAAAGGATACCACTCACTTTTCAAATTCTTTAGCTATAGAAAAAAAAAAAAAAGCATCCTTTCTCTTCCTTTCAATTTTGAACCCTTTGAACAGATCTAAAACAGGTTTTTCACTCTGTTCTTGCGCTCGTGTAGCCTTAGTTTGCTATCCTCATCTGTACAGGCACGTGTTATGACCCATTGTTATGACCCATCCAACATGCAGGTCACAGAACAGGTCACGAGTAACAGGGACCAGGTGTCAAGGATTCAACGTCCTGACAAAGCATCGATTATATAACCCAGGGTTAGGGTTATTAGCGGATAGATACAGTCGACGTCTATCCCGTCGATGAGGGAATCGATGGAATCAACATCGATCCTATCTATTCGGACTGAAGAACCAAGTATATGAAGGTTTACATTTCCTACTGTTAAATAGATTTCCTTTAGATAGTTCTTCAGTTGTTAATCTAAGTATCAGATTACTCTCTACTCTGATAGCCCCAAAGGCAGTAAACACTTGCATCGCTTATTAAGACTTGTACGGTTCCGTATTCAAGAACTTGATACTTTAATACTGCTCTTGTTAGCATAAACCCCTTTGTATACTTAGGAATCTTCGGATTGCTGCAGTGCTCATTACATTTTGACAACTCTTGTTCAAGAACGGTTCAGTATTACCTCTTGAGCAATACGGAACACGATAGCTCCTCCAGGAACCCCTTCGTCCTCGCACGCCCCTATTCAGAAAGAACTGATTAATCAGATATACCAGCTTATCCAGCATATTCAGAATCTGCATAAATAACAGCAGGCTCAAAGCGCTATCATCGCCAACTAGCAGGCTTAGCTAGCTCAATAAGCTCAGCAGATGCAATTAATCTCTGCAATTACCAGCAGTGCTGAGAAGGTATACAAGATGAATAAGCTTGCTATATACAATAGCAATCAGAAGATGCTATATAGATTCCTTACCCACTGCAGAGCATACTTTTTGCATCACACAACTCAGTTCATCATAGAATCTGAGAAGATCATCCTTGCAGGAACTCGCCTCAAGAAGAATGCTCTCATTTAATACAAGCCTTCTCTATGCAACTACTTGGAGCATCAGAATAATCTCAACATACATACCCAGAGTACTAAGAACATATTCGATTCCTTTGAAAGCTTTGAGAAAGCTCTTAAAGAAATCTTTAGCAATTCTAACAAAGAATGCATTACAGCTCAGCAGCTTATAAACCTTAAACAAACCAAATTAGCTTCTGCTTATATAATCAGATTCAAGCAGCTCTTAGCAAGACTTCTATAGGAAAACAAGAATCTTATGAAACATTATTATAAGGAACTCAAGAATAATATTAAGAACGAAATCTTCAAACAGAATTAGCTAGAGAACTTTGCAACATTCTTCAATCAAGCTATTCATATTAACAACTATCTATATGAATAACAAGTGGAAAAGTTTAAGAAGAAAGAAAGCTAAACTTAGAGATTTCCAGCTAATACGAGCAAGAAACTCCAAAACAAGAATAGCAGTTGATATAGCAGTACAGCTTAGAGCAGCACTATGCATGCTGATCTCATGAAACTCAATACTATTAACAAGCAATATAACAAGAAGAATAGCATTACTTGCTACAACTGTAATAAATAAGAATATATTGCATGCAACTGCTATCAATTCCGGAAGAATAAATAGCAACTAATCTAGAAAGAACGCTAGATGAATATTGCTCAACAACAGAAACCCAATCAACTAAGCAAAAACACTCCCTTGGAGCAAGTATCAGACTCTATCGATTATAGAAGTCTCAGCTGAACATTCTGCTATAATAATAACTGCTTAATACATCTCTCGAGTAAGAAAGATTCAGAATAATTCCTCCAGAAACCTAGATGCTACAGGCAGATAGCAATAGCAGAGCAAGGATATATGCTTAGCACAATTGCAAGCAGCAACGATTCGAACTGCTCCAATGTTACTGAATGAAGCATTCAAGCGCTGGAAGAAGAGCTTAACAACAATACCCTCCGCCATTCCCTATCATCTGCACCAGATACTATAACTAGAGAAATGAACAAGGAATAGTACCCTCTTAGTTATTAGTACAAATATCTAAACAATACTGAAAACGCTTTTCAAACAATGGAAAAATCAAGCTAGAACGAATGATCTAACAATTTACTAGAATCTCTCATAAACAATAAACCCAAGAAGCTTACAGAAAGATTCCTCTTTAGCATTGAATAGAACAAGGAAACAACATGAATTAAATATCTTGTCTATAGAATAAAACTAGAGAAGCTCTTTATCTGCATTCCCTTGCAGAGCATCGAAGCATAAGAAGATAAGAACCCTTGAATCAGCCCACTTTACAACCTATATCACAAACTAGCTTGGATCTCCTGCATCTATTATAGCTATAGAATGCATTTCTCAGATAAGGTATAACATGAATAATTCTTCATTAGAGAATCAGAACAAATCCTTTAAGCTATTAAAGAACAGAAACTCTGCTTCAGGAAGATTCTCAACAAGCAATATCATAATGCATATATCGAGCTACCAGATAATTGCTCCATGCAATATATAAATAAAAAGATAAAATAGTAGCAGTGCAAAACAATACTCTGCATGATTCACATTAACAACAAGATTTGCAACTAGTATTAACAAAAAAAAGATCAGAAATAATAATGATACGAGCAAAAGCAAGCCAAAAAGCTCGCTCAAGAAGCAGCAAAGCAAGCTTAGAAGAACAAGCAGTTCTCAGCAAACCCAAAAGAATAAGATCATCTGTAAAGAGACTGCAGATAATCAAACTGGAACAATCCCTATATAAAGCTTCTAGAACAGATTACACTCATATCAAGTTCAATATATACATTCAAGAATGCAAGTATAGCGCACTATTGAATAGTAGCGCTCAGAGAAACTTCATATTCCCATATATCATCAATCAGGCACAACTACAATAAAGATAGAAGAAACGCTCATATACTCTCAGCACCATAGAAGAACAATCTATTGCATACAATCAAGGAATAATCAATAAGAAAACTAATCATCTATCTATCTTAATCCAAGAATATATAATCAGAGCTTCCTTTGATATCACGAATACAGCACAGCATAAGCTAATTATAAAGCTTTCATAGCTTAAGAAGCATAATCCTTAAATCAATTGAACTACTAGCCAGATCTTATGAGAACAAGCTGTACCCAGAGAGATAATCACAATCAATAGCGCAGAATCAAAGCTAGTAATTGAAGAATACTCAGAAAAAGAAGCTTCATACAACTTCTTACATACTTTCAAATCAGCAGAGCTAGCAATTCAAGAAGAAGAACCTAGTAATAAGCAAACCCAAATAGTACCAGAATGCTAACAGATTAATAAAACAATGAAAGCAAGACTCTCAGCAAGTTGGTTCACTCCAGAGCAACAAGGAAAAGCTTCAGAATGTGAATTATAGAACCACACAGGAAAAACCTCGAAATCAGGCCCTCGAGCGCTCGATCTAGCCCGAAGCGAACGCTCAAAGCTCTCAAAAACATCACTAAAAACAACGAACGAAAAGAAGCATGCTCAACAGTACCTACTATTCCTCCAAGTAGCAGAAACAGCACAAGAACTAAAACTAACACTTGCAAACATATTATAAGAATATTACAAGTTCAAGAAACTATTTCAGAAAGAATTGGATATGGAATTGCTAGAATACAGCTCATACAATTACG